AGACAAGATAAAAAAGCATGCAGCAGACTCTCTTCTTTTCTTTTCAACACTGATTTAAAGCATTGTACTTTTATAAATCCACATTACATCTGTTGCCTTTGATTTGAAAATTTCTCCCGCTCTCATCATCCTTCAGTCATGTCAATGCATAGATTAATTTTTCATTTTATAAGTCTACATTTCAAGCCGGAGAATGTTATAAATCAAATATGTCTACATGTGAAAGATGGATGACGCTAGCTCCAGGTCTAGTGCTGTGCGAGAACAGATTGAAGGTGCTGAAAATACACATGGGAGAGAGTAGGTACTTGATTGAACGTGCTGTGACATCTCATCAAAGCGGTTCTCTTGAGGAGTCGGTTTTCTCGGTCAAACAAAGGTCAGCTGCATAAGCACGTATAGAAAGTAGGAGAGGACACAGATGCAAGAGGACGACTTTGGTTTATAAGCATACCAAGACCTGCTAACTGCAAGTAAACACAAGGTGTGGCAGAGTCAGTGGATTGTCCTGGGATTTGGAGTAGAGTTGTCTCTGAGAGGGAATTCATACCTGTGAGATTTCAGGCCCCGTACAGTGGTATCATTGCACAGGTCTGTAAATAGGCAATTAAAGGGATATTCCGGCATAAAATCAATTTAGGGTCAAACACACTGTAGAGAGAGATGAATGTTGCTGACTGCTTGCTTCTCTAGTTATACCAACTTTAGTAACAACCGTAGGATAGCAATACACAGCGGTCTGAGGAGCCACACACGAACCTAAACCAAAACGCCACTCTATAGCCACAAATAATGTTCAGAACAGCACCTAACTTCACCAACAGTACATACAGGGTCCTAGCACTAGCCACCAACCATCTTTTTAAATTTGCCTGGTTTCTTTAGCAAAGAGACTAAACACAACTCACCTACTCTCCTCCAGCAGCCGCTTGTTTGTACGGAGACCTCAGCGAGTCCAAACTGACTGCAGCGGGGTGACACAGCTCAAGGAAGAACATTTCTGATAATTTCTTCATGGAAATGCAATCAGACCGAGACACTAAGGCGTCTCAGTTTGATTGCATTCACGCCAGAAAACCCCTCAATGCCGTTACTTTTCTAAAACATTTAATGTAGATGTAAGTTGGAAAATGGATGATCAAAATCTTTCACTCAATATATATATATATATATATATATATATATATGTATATATTTAGCAAATTTCCAACAAAAGTACCAAATAAAATCCCCCAAACCAAAAACTGAGGTGAAAATGAAAATTTTTTAATAAACACAAGGACATCACTGGAATCACTTAGGAGACAAGCAATGAAGCCAAAGGGGAAACAAAGAAACTATATACACACAGGGTAGTCAAACATAGGTTTTATACAAGACATCAATCAGGGTGGCGCACACAATCATTGAAGTAAGAAAACACAGGCAGTACATGAAGATGTGACACTAAGGGCAGAGGAACTACAACATATAACAGACAACAGTTAAGGAGTCCAGAAACGTACAGGAGAAATATTCAACAATAAAAATGCAACACAACCTTAATACTTGGTTCCAACATATGTTACACCTCTGACAGACCCTAATAGCCTTTTCATAAAGCCAATATATAAAGCAGCTTTTCTCCTCTTCTGACTGCTCCAAGCACTTTCACACCACGTCATTCACACCCTCATACACTGATGGCAGAGGCTGTCGTATAAAGTGTCCATACAGATCAACTTATCAACTAATCACATTCACACACCTGTGACACAGTCATTGAGGGCAGCTAGGGTTCAGTGTGGTTCTGAAGGACACTTCAGCACAGCAACAGTCAACCCCCAAGCTTATAACTGAGAGAAAAGCAGTTTTTACACTGGACCACAGCCAGTTTGTTCAGTTATGGTGTAGCTGTGGACCAAGGCAATAGAGAAACACAAGATGGGGCAGTTCAACATACTTTTATTTTTTCTTAATCATTGCCAGTGGGGATAAATTTGTCCTGAATCAATGTTGTTTGGGAGAAAAATCGCAAAGTTGTTGTAGCTACAAGGAAGCTACACCAGGGATGATATAATTGGACTACTCCTTTAAAAATCTGTTTCTTATCATTTCAAGAAAGACCAATTGAACACCAAAATAAATAAAAAGAAAATGTAAAACACCTAGAGATCTAGTTTTTCATATGATTTTGACATGTTTACTATGTATATATATATATATATATGTATGCACTTTTTTAAAGACAAGAGCAGTGAGAATTGTCAATAATGTAGAGTTTACTCTGCATTAAGGCAGTGAAACAGAATTCTATTGAAATAGCAACACTTGATGTTGTGTTTAGACAGAAAGCAGTTTTTAGTTTTTAAGATAAGATAAATAAGAGGAAATCTAAAAGTGCAATAAAAAAGTTTTTTTTACTGAACAGTTTGGGGAGTAAACATACTGCAGTTCAAGAAAATATGGAAATGAAGAATTCTTAGATTTCCTGAAATTGGCAAGTAGTGGGTTTCCTTTTCTTTTCTTTTCCTCTTTTATTTGTAAGGGGATATGTCATCAAAATGTCATCTGATTTTGCTGCTTATTTTCTGCATTTTCTGTTACTTTAGAACTGGTTGTCATACAATTGCAGGCAATCTTTTTTCAATAGTACACTCATGTTATTAAAAGGTGGGGAATAGGATTTTTTTTTTCTCCCAGCTCTTTTATTGACTTGGGCTGTGATAAAACTATGAATTGTTTTCTGTCTTGTAAAGGAGAATTTTGTCCATTGCCATGATGGAATGAATACACACAAAAAAAAGGAAATGAGACATTTTTATATGTGATTTAAAATAAAACAGGCATCTAGTGACCTATAGAGGAATTGCAGCGCGGCTGCCTTGACTTCATTATTCAGCTGCAGTGTTTCCTCCCTGCTCTTATAGGTTATACCTCATTTCTGTGCGTCTGCCATATTCCATTTCCTCATTCTTATTCTGCTTTCATTCTCTAAATCCTTCAGGAACTGGGACATGACAGCACACGATTTAAGGAGCTAGGGATGAGTTCGACTTTAAGTGGGAAAGAACTTGCCAATAAACTAGGCTGATAATAATCAATGTTTATCATGCAAAATCAACCAGAGAAGATGTCGAGTGATATTTATGTTTCTCCTGATTGTGATTCCCATTCACAAGCAAACCGTGTGAAGTCAGAGTCAAAACATGACTGGTTATTTACTGTTTAACTACTGTTGACTCATACTCTTGCAGGTTGAAGGTTGAGTCTTAGTAAGGTGAGCTGTGGTCTTACACTAACAGAACAGCAATTTAAAATTCAGCACATAGTCGTCTATTTGAGAGTGCCAACATATTAGAATGAGTTATAAAACAGAGCATCTGTCATCTGTGCTCACTTATTCCTGTCCTCCCTAATGACAGAGAGATATTTGACCTTGCCAATCCAGACATCACCACAGAGGGGATGAAAATGTGTATACTGGAGACTGTTTACCCTCTCTGTACTGAATCCCTAATCATTGATTTTCTAAAAGGACATTCGCTATCTCTGTCCTTCACTTCTTTCCTTGCAACATTATCCTGTGTTGGAAAGAAATCTTATCTGACCTTTACACTATTTACTTTTGTAGTTTTGTGATTAAAAGTCTATGCTTTTCCTAAATGCGTCATCTAAATGCCAAAATTGTAAATGCAAATCAGGCAAGCAAAAGCACTCAAACATGAACCACATTTGATTACGAAGAGCAGGTGGTGCCCTCTGTGTGTGCATGAGTGTGGGTTAAGGAGACGGGGTGTACAAGGTTTCCCTTTACCATTATGAATGAGTAAACATCATGTTTAGTGTTTAAATAAGATGCAATGGGTTTCATCTCTGTGTATCATAAGATTATACCAAATGTGTTTCTCCATGCATGTGACCTGCAGTATGATTTTTATTCTTCTAATCCCCCAATAAATAAACATGACTGTTCTAGCGTGTGTGTGTGTGTGTGTGTGTGTGTGTGTGTGTGTGTGTGTGTGTGTGTGTGTGTGTGCACGTAAATGGCCATGCAGGGCTCAGTTGGACGTCAAATAATAGGCCACCATCAATCTCTGTCACACTCCCGAGGGAGTAGATGAGTGTGTATGTGGACAAGAACACAAGGGGAGGGGAGAGCTTGGGCCAGGTCAAGTGCGTGTGTGAGCCTGTCTACTGAAGCAATGGAGTAAATATGGCCAGGACAAAGGCAGGGCTATGGGCAGAGGAACAATGAATGAGGTGTGTGTGAGTGTGTGTGTCTGCAAGACTGACATATGGATGATGCACACGGGTCTAGCCACAGCATGTCATTAAGAACATCTTATCTGGGAAGGGTGGCTATGCTATCTGTGATTGTTTGGTGTTACTATTATGATCTGTTCCCTCTGTTAGAGCCATAGTGACATGTTCTTTCTGTCTGACAAGATCACATGAGCGTCACCTTCCTCCTTGTCATCCTTTGGCACAAAGACTTTTCTCCCAATAAACACACACTTCTAGCTGGTTCTATTTAAAGCTTGCTTTTTTTGAAAAATGTAGAAAAAATTAATAAATACCTCACATGTATACCTCATGATTTTTTTAGGCTTTCTACACACCCAGGGAGAACTGCAATATTGTTCTTGATAAAAGAGTTGTATGACTGTAAAATGTATGAAAGGCAGTTCTGATTGTAGATCTTGGAAGTTAGGACTACTCCGTTCTAGTACTGGCTATTTAAGATTAAGTTCATTGTGTTTATAATAAAATAATACAAGTTTGAACTAGTAAATGTATATTTTATCTCTGTAGTGAATAGCAACAGTGTTTGTTTACAGCAGCGGTAGAGTTGCTCCAGTGGGTTGGGATGTGGCAGATTTCTTAACCAATCAGCATCGCCCATTCGCCGAGGAAGCGCACGAGAGGCGGGTCTTGTGACTTCATTAGCCAATTAGCATCCCCCTTTCTCAGCGCTGGGATAAGTTAGCAGTCGGCTGCCAGTCTGGTCCGTAGCCACGATGGATGCAACACCATGCCTTCTGCTCGTCCTCCTGTTCTGGACAAGGATACAAGAAAATAACGGTAAGTGGCTTTATGTGGACGGTATGGAGTAGTTTTGTATGTATTTGGCGTGTTTCTAGAAAGTTGAACACCCGTGTCCTGCCAGTTCCGCGGAAAAGCTCTTTGTTCAAGAAGCCTGAAGAAGCAGAGTGTGTCTAACTAAGATGGCGCAGGGTCGGTGGCCAGCCTGCTGCTGCCTGTCTGAGGAATGTTTATTGTCTGGGAAAAAAAGGGAGCAGGCAGCTAAAAGTCACATCGGACTTCAAAAGGCCAACGGCTGTAGCCGAGGTTTAGAGCTGGCCTCTCTCTGCCGGGTTTTAAGTCTCTGAATTCCGCTTTGCCAACAAAGAGTAGAGGAGTCCGTCCCGAGGAGCAGCTCTCAGTTTCGCAAATACAAAGTTGGCAGCATCACTGAGGGGATGTTTGCTTTTTGTCAAGCACTGGTTGTTCATTTACTTTGTGGTTAGAGCATGTCCTGTCAGAGTTTTGATTTAGGAGTAATGGTTAGCTGAGCTGGAAAAGTTTGTCTCCTCACGTCTGAGTGCCTCCGTCTTCTTACAGGTGACCGTTATCTTCGTTTGCAGCTCGTGTCACAGTGTTGCTTTTTCTGACAGTCTCGTTTATTTAGTCAATGTTTAGGCAATTTGTTTGGACTCCAACCGGACCTCTAATTCCCGACTTTTTCGAACTTCTGCCTTTTTGTTAAGTCTGAAAGCACTCTCTGTCATCCCATTAGTATTCTTGTGTATTTCTTCACCCGGTTTATCCGCTGTTACAACTTTTAACGAGTTGTTTTACTAACTGAGAACGCCTCTGTCTGTCTGGCAGTTTCATATCTACTCAGCCCCATCACGTTAGCTTGCTAGCACTTAGCTTCTAATAGCGGCGTTGAACTGTAACAGAGTTTCTTCCTGTTCGTTTTATCCTGCATTATCGCTGCATACTAATTTAGCAGTACAGTTGTTCTCATAGTAAGTGATATTTTTCTTGTTAGCACCGAGTGGCCAGGAAAAAAAATCTCTAGTACTTCATCCTCCCAGTTTAACAGGATGCACCGCGCCCGCATACACCAAACTCCATTCAAAATATACCAGTTTAACGCTGCTCTCTTATAACAAAACACATAGATTTAACAGTTTGCTGACTTTTTATGGTGGATCTGAGAGCTCTGTATGAAAATCAGCCTTGTAGTGATAGTTTGGGTCCATAAGGTGTAACTGCAGTAGAGGATTGCTGCAGTTTTAATGTTGTAAGAAAGCTCTTTTGGTGCCATTCATTCACGCCTAATAAACTAGAAGCTCCAGGCATGTGTAATAGGGTGTTCACGGTTACTGATAAGCAGTGTATAGAGGTACCTCGCAACATTTATGAATTGGATTCTGCATTCATAGCTCCTCATTAGAGAGAGCTGCACTGATACACGAGTCACCGCGGCTTGCTACGAGCCATGCTTTCTCCCCCCTGTGCACAGATTTAGATCATCATTTTGCCACGGACCAGTGGTATTTGTTTCAGTAGTCAGCACATTTCAAAAAGGGGAAGGTCTTTTCTTGCTGATACAAACAGCCGATAGTGTTTTTTCCCCTGTTGACTCGCGTACTCAACGCGTTTCCTTTGTGTGACATTCCTTTGTGTGCAGAGAGAGAGAGAGGCAGAGGGAGCCTGATTATGAGTGGAGGAGCATGCTCTTCAAACAGCATACATAAAGATCTCAGCAGAACCCAGTCATGCCAAAAGCTCAACGGTGTCCTCATATACCCCCATCGCTCCCTAACATGCAGGCTGGTTATTAAATTGATATGTTGTCTCAAGGACACACAAGAAGGGAGGGGATCCCGCTTTCTTTGTCCAGCAATGGGATTGTCATGGCGTGAGTCCATGGCCGGAGCCGCATCATTAACATCAGAAAAGAAGCTAATATTTTAGATGCAGATAATCTGTCCTGCAGATTAGAGTGAGGGATCCGTGTTCATGCGTGTATTCCAGCTGGGATATCAAGTTTGTGGATTAGATTTAACACTTATTGAAAAAGGGGGATGCGTGCGTTTTAGCCAGACAACACCTTCATTTACACCTTTACATGTCACGTTGCTGTGCCGTGTTCATGACCACACCCCTGCAGCTCACACACACTTGCTTTCAGCAGTATTCACATGCAGCATTGCACTACTCGCTCCGTGCACATCCCCATGCTGGCAGTGGGCTAAATTAGGTGGTGTCACTATTACGCTCCTTATCCCTCCAGCCTCGGTCATCCTCCTGCCTAACAGGATCTGTCCTCATGCTCAGTCACTCATTTCTCCCTTTTTTTCCCCCCTCAGCCCTCCCACCATCCAGTTTCATTTGTCTGCTCTCAGTTCCTTCCCCCCCTGCCCCTTGGAGGCATAGTCAGTAAACAGGCAACATTTAGCAGGAGTGGCTCGTATAAAGGATGAGTGTTGTGTCAGCACTCTGAGTCAAATGCAAGCCACTGTCAAGGGAGACACCAAATCAATCCCGACAGTTCCTGACGATTCAGGATGTTATCGCAGCTCTTACTACTCCAGGGTCACTGGAACCAGGAGCGATAAGATATAATGTAACCCCCCCCTCTAATATTTTTCCCTGCGTCAGACCTCAGTGTCAGATTTTCATGAATGCTATCCTATTTTTACCTGTTTTGAAGCGGTTACTGTCTTGTGTAACCACCAGTGGCAAGCACTTCTACTGCACCTCTGCTGGGATAAATTAGTTATACTGCACTTTTTTTGACTGACAACTGAAGACAAACATCACAGGTTGGATGCTGCCAAACCAAAACCACTTAAGATCACTAATTAGGCTTAGAGGAGTCGATGCTCTGTGCCTGTCCCCTCTGCTGACATTTTTGAGCATCAAACAGGGGTCCTTGCATGACAGAAAGCTATGGATGCAATGACTTTCTACCTTTTAATATATATTCTACTGTATTAGTGTATTTTTATTTGAACATTACACTAAAGCACAAATTTTAAACTACTGTATTTTTTGCACTATAAGGCGCACTTAAAATCCTTTAGGCTTGTCGGAGCACTGCAGCTACCAGAGTCTGCAGAGTTACTGAACGAGTTAACTAAAGTTTGACTTATCAGACTGTTTAGTTTGCCTTAATGCGCTTTATAATCCAGTGCGCCTTATGTATGAAAATAGACGCGTTCATTGGTGGTGCGCCTTATAATCAGGTGCGCCTTATAGTGCGCTTCTGCCTGATAACCAGCCATGCGGACAAACTTATTTTTCTCAGTTAGGACAAGTAGGCAGAAAACCAAACACTGTGACTTTGAACTATCTGTGTGAAGTTCTCTTGTTGAAGCAGTTCCACAATAAGTACTCGGAGCCTTGGCGTCTATAACTGCAGAGAATAATTTATGAGCCTGCATCACATGTTGATATTCAGCCTGTTACACAATGTGTATGCTACTATAGGTTCTGTAGTTGTTCATTATAATCAGAATTGTTAGTTTTGTCATAGGAAAAATCCTAGTTTCTTTTTTACAGGTAATTAATACTTGATCATTGATATGTCCAAATTCCAATAGTGGTGCAGACTTTGAATTTGCATCTTCAGTTTGAACAACAAAAGAAAATACACTCTACTAAGAAGATTTGTGGATTGGATATTTACCTGCTTGTGTGCAATGTGCACATAGGCATAGCTTAGGTTGTATAATTCCTATCATCTCCACATTAAAAAAATGAGCAAGTTTTTCTGTACAGACTGCATTGTCCTCATGAATCTCTTCATTTGAAACATGTCCTGTAACATTTGTTCAAGGCTGCAGGCTGTTGCTGTTGACTGAATTTGCACAAGGTAAAAGAACTCGGTGGCCCGAGTGCAGTTTCAAAATGAGTGTTCACTCCTTTTGGAAAAACAGCCACAAATCAGGAAGTAATATTTCACAGTAAATCAATAGTCATGGGATTTTTCATCAAGGCCACAGTGGGGGCTCTGCTTCCTCTTTTCTTTAGGGCTCACCAGACATGTTGTGGTGTGTTTTTATCTTCGTACTGATGCTGTAAAATTCCACAGAGACTGCCGCGAGTCGATATTTCGCTCTCCCTTTTACCAGCACTGTATTTTTTGCCCCCTTCTCCAGGGCCATTTTTTATGTCTGTTGTGTGTTCCTACGAAATGCTTGTGGAGCGTTGTTTTTCTAGGTGCTCTGTGCTGCCGCCGTCAGTACAAGCAGTAGAGGAATGCCAGGCATGCGGGTGACCCTGGACGCCCGTTGTCCTGGCCCAAGGAACCACGACTAATTTGAGAGGTTGTAGCCATGCCAGTGACCATCGGATTCAAAGGCACCAAAGCGTTAATGACTGGCCCCCCCACTCTGCTCTCATCATGGGGAGGCCAGGGATTCTACTCTGCCATACTGCTGATTCTATCTGTCAGAGGATACAAATCTGCTTATTTAGGTCATATAAGAAAACAGAGAATCTCTTTTTTTTGTTAGTAATAATTGTAGACCAATTTCACCTCATCAGCTTTTGTCTTTTTTACTGCAAATATAAAAAAGTGAGGACACCCTGTAGGGCTTAACACGAATGCTTCAGTGCAGGTAGTGTGCAAGTGTTGCTCTTGAAATGCAGGAAATTCTACTACACATTTACAGTAATGCTTTCAAAGGTGTTGAATGTCATGCAGACAGCACTTGCACTTCGATGCTACATCAAAGGGAGCCACTTCAGTCAGGACTCCACACACGGACACTCCTCGCCTCTTGAAGCATTTCTCATATTTTTCTGGGCTATTAATCTGGGCCTGTATGCCACATATAGAGGGGCTGAAGAGCATCAAGTTAGGGACTCCTGTCATAACTTCTTGAAAGCACAATGCAATTGACACATTTGATTTATTGTTACCATCTCTGCCATTTTTGGCAAAATGTCATTCGTATCAAATAAGGCTGGGCGATAACACTAACGATTTATATCAAAAATTAATTTCCTTCGAATTCGATATGAAACATGGTCAATATGCTTTTCGAAAGCCGACATTCTGCTGTGTTTTGGTAGACTATACGAATAGCCAATGAAAAGGGGAGTTGCTCCGGGTCCACTTAGCGCTTAACCAATCATGTGCTGAATTAGAACCAAGTAGCAAACAACTGCGGAGTAACAGGCTGCAGCTTTACGCAACTGTAGCACTTTAACATGTGAAGCCGACAGCACTGTTGGTGAGAAAACAGGAAAATGAGTGCTACCCCGGGAGAAATGCGTCAACTTTTTGTCGACAACATCGGCACGAAAACGTTGGTGGTGTGGAGGTATTTTGGTTTTCGAGGTCAGACATGAAACAGAGTAATGTGCACTGCAAATTGTGTCAAGTACGTGTTAAATTTCATTTAAGAATAACAAAGAACATTTAAGATTAACAAGTGACTTTTTTTTTAATATTGTGATACATATTGATATCGACAAATATGGAAAAAAGTTACCGCAATAAACTTTCTCCCATATCGCCCAGCCCTAGTATCAGGCAAGGACTTGTATCAGTCTAATACTTGATATTTTAGTACAACCCAGTTCTCAGAAAAGTTAAGGCACCACATTAAATGTCAGTAAAACCAAATTTGATTGGTTTGCAAACTGAATAGTGCAAATATGAAACTAGAACATCTATTATTTTATGAAAAATAAGCACTCACTTTAAATTCAGTGCCAGAAAAGGTTTTAAAAATTTGGCTCAGGAACATTAAAACACAGGAATTGTTTTGTGTCAAGATAATACCTGAAAGAACGTCTCCTGACATAATTGGTTAATTTGCAACAGATAAGAAACATCACTGTGCATAACAAGAGCGCTCCAGAGAGGCTGAAACTCTCTGATATTATGATGGAGAGAGGTGTACCCCTCTGTGAGAGACTACAGTTGCAAACAGTTAATCAATTTACAGATAATGTTTCTCAGTGAGCATTGCAAAGGATCTCATCATCTACAGACTTGAAGAACCAGGCTGGAAACAAAAAACACAAAGATTTGATCTTAAGGCTCTTGGGCAGCACTTAATTGAAAACAAAGACGACTCTGTAGTGGAAATTCATGCATGGGTTTAAAATCCCCTCCAAAAAACAGTATTTACTTTGAAACTATGTTAGTTTCGGGACTCTTAAATGTAAGGATATAATGATTCTGATAACTTTGAGTTTTTTGGAAGAACATATTTCAGGCTGTATTTCCTACTTGCATGAACAACATCATGTTGCGAATATTTGTATTCACTGGGTAATTTATTTCTCTAAAAGGCTAGCAAAAACAGCCTGACAAGAGCCTGACAGAAAGCGACATTACTGTTAAAAAACCAATCTTTTGTTTTGTGTCAGTCAGATTGAGATGCTTTGATTTAAACATCAAGAGGAGCGGGGGGAGGGAAAAAAAAAAAGAATTCAAAAGCATTTCTTTTCCAGACTTTGCTTTGTGTCAGGAAAGAGGAGCTGCATCTTAAACATCAAACCTCAGCCCAAACCTCTCCCAAGCTGGAGCGCACATACTCCACAATCCCATCACGTTTACTTCTTTCAAAAAAAAGCGCAGCGACTTTCACAGTGTGACATCATATGGTTATATGTGATACCCTTTATGCACCTGTTTGAGTGAAGTTTCTGTATTTTTCTAAAGGCTCCTCTAATGAGGGAGACACTTTGAAGGCAGGAAAGAAGCCGGCGTCTACACTTGTTAGGGCCATGATGTACATGATGTGTTGTGCATTCTCTGGCACTGTTGCACTGTGCGACTCGGCGTCTTCGGGATGAGTGCGTTTCTGTGCACTAGAGCAGAGATCAACAATTAGATGGAACCGTGGGCCATTTGTTTAATGACCAAGAGCAGAATGTGTGTTGCAGGGCTGAGCCACAGGATACTGTTGCCCCACTGCTGCTCTGTTTTCTGGTTTAAAGGCTTTGTGGAGTAACAGGATTTTAAAGACCACTTGGCAAGTTACCTTAATTTGTAAAGCAAATAATAGTCGAGCTGTCAATCCTCCTCTATAATCCTATTGCAATCCTTTTGTTTCTTTCCATTTTTAAACTAAATTTGTATTCTAGTACCAAAGTCTTGTCTTCTTTCTATAATTCCATTCTAATGCATTGCCAATACCACTTCAAGCAGAACTGGAGACACTTACAAATGCTTACAATGTTGACACTTTACGATATGCATGTGCATTTAAAGGTATACGTATAACATGTAGACTGGCTGGGTTTTGCATTTACATAGAAGAAAACATCAGTTATGACCAGTGACATTATGACTGAAGAAGAAGCAAGAGCAGCGCCTGCACTGAGATGAGCCACGTTTAATTCATGGTCAATGTAATCAAAGCATGAAAAGGCATGAACATATTACAGTGGTTTTATGATTTCAGCTTTAGATAAGCAGAAGTTATTTAAATGCCTGAAAAGGCTGTTTAAGGAGCATGATGTCCTTTTTGAAATTGAAATTCAATTCATTTTTCTGAGTTTATCCAGAATTCAGCATTTTAAGACTTAAAAAGTGGAATTATTCATGAGGTGTTTGTCAAAGTACAGAGGTGAGCCAACTGTTTTGTTATTCTCTCCCAAATAACACAGCAGTTATTTGTTAGCCAAAAGATAACTATTTAGGTGGGATTGGCAACACACTTTGGAATGACATAGGTGGACAAAGGTACAGGCGACATGTTATTTACCTTCATATGAAATGACCTTGGTGTACACAGCTGGCAACAGCAGAGCATCTCTCTTATGTATCAGCACAAAGGCTGGTAACAGGGGGTTACTATGGTGATTGGATGTGCCATGTCCATGTCAACCTAAGACCTTTTAACTCTTCATTTTGCTGTCATACAGTAGAATTTATACAAGTACAGTGTGAAGATGAGCTCTGAGTGGCTTTGTTTGATAGGAAGAGGTTTGCAAAGTTCAGTTTAGTTAAACTATATAGCATTTAAATGAGCTACAGATATGACATTTCCGCCTATGAGCAGCACTTTATTAATGAATTTGATTTGGGGGATTGGTGCTAAATGCAAGACTTAGGAGTTCAGACAAGATGATTACAAAAAACCTTAAAAAATTGATGCAGTAAAAAAGCTGAAATTTGTTCAGAAGATTTCACCCAAATGTAGAGAATAAAGTTTTGCAGTTCAAGATTTACTAAGGAGGATCCAAGACCCTCATCAGCACTTATCATGCCCTGTGTTCTGTGCTGGATCATTGTGCTCAGGACTTTGTTCTGATACATGCTTTAAACAGGGTTTTTCATAGGACTACACACTTGAGATGAGTTCAGATGAGGAAAGATTCATTGGGACAGCTGTGCAAAGAGCTGGAGAGTTAAACCTTGTTTCCACTGTAATGTCATTGAAGGTCCAAATAAGCTTAATAATACAGTAATAAGTCTAAATAGGTTGACCTAACTCCAGAACAGTGAGGTATTTGTTCGTTGACAGACACTTGCTCATTGCAGCCTGTTTTCTGTGGGTGATAAGAAGACCACTGTGAGGTAGAACAAACAATGTCAGGATGGTTTTTAATCTTTTGTTCCAGAATAAAGGAAAATAACGCTTTGTAACACTTTTGCTGGCTTATCTTTTACAACACACGCACTTCTGTAAAGTGAACTTTTTTGAAAAGGTGTTGAATTCTTGTCGGTTTATTGAAGAAAAACTTTTTACAAAGGATGATTTCTGGTCAGTCCGCCTTCGCAGACTTTAGGTCTTTGGGTTAGCTCTGTGCGTCACAGACCAACCAAAAGTTCTGTGATGGTGTGTGTGTGTGCTGTTGGAGGTCTCACCATCCTGTCAAGATGCTGATCTATTCTTTCAGTCTTCAGCCAAACAGGCAGTGAGATTTCTGACATCTGGGATTTGTCAAATGACTGCTGATACTGATTTTTCATCAGATCAATGTGAGTAACTAAACAACGTTGCCCAAGGCAAACTGATCTTGTCTTGCAAAAATCTGTGTTGTTTGGCTGGATCTGAAAACAAGACGGTCTGTGTTGAAGGGAGGAAGAAAATCATGAAGTCAGTCAAAGTAAAATAAGCAAATAGAGTAAAAGGAAACATTTTTTTGTTGCAGTATTAAAGCCTGTAATGATCAGGCATGTTGTGGACGTAGCAGCCAACCAGACAGTCAGCGGGTTGAGTCTGAACCGTGAGTCAGCTGCTTCAAACAGCACTCCCCTCTCTGGCCTCCATTAACTTCCACCCCCACCTTTTCCACTGTCCCTGCACTGCACAGGAGAGGTTTCTCTCTCTCTCGCTCTCTCTCTCTTTCTCTTTCTCGCAATGTTGTCATTTATCTCAGACTGCTGTTCGGACTGTCCAGCTCAGACCATACTATGTAAAAAGATAGTAAGCCCTGGTTTGTTTAATGAGGGTAAGACACGGTTTGTTGGGGCTCTTGCAAATATTCTTGGCCAAGGTATTTATCTTCTAAACCCTGTTTCTCTGTGCTGTCAGCATTTTGCCAGAATTAAAATAGAATCAAAGCTTTTCATTGGAATAACTTCTGTTTGAAAACTAAAGAGCATTAAGGAGGAACAAGTACAATGTGTCTCATTCTACCGTGTGTCTGTCAACACAGATTGAAGTAGAGAGTGACATTTTTGCCTCGGTATAACCCTCCAACTGAAACACCAAATGACTGAAAAACAACTTAAGGCAGGGATAAGAGGTTGGCAGCCAAGTATGAACAAAGAAAACCTCTCTGAGGGTGTGTAAAAAAAATCTCTTTGTTGTTTGAAATTGAAAAGTTATCAAGTTCAGGTAGAACAGAACGAGAATGCCTCAACTGAAAACTGAAGCTTTTGTTGTACTGCAATTTACCGATAGCAAAATTTACGATGATAACCGGTGTCATTTTGTCCATATCAGTATATTCAGTGTCAAAAAAATAAATTAAAAAAAGATGTTTTTGGATCAGTGTTACTTCGTCAATGCCACGACGAAGACGTGACGTTGACAAGCTAAACACAAGTCTTAGATGATGAAAATGTGACGAGACAAATGTGTGTTTACGTTGACAAGACGAGACGAGATGAAAACGTTAGTGGTGGACGACGAACAGAGTAGCAAAATTCATGAGCATTTCGTCAGTCAAACGCTAAACATATATTCTGCAGTGTTGCTTTCGTTGACGATGATGTCAACGAAAGCAACACTGTTTTGGATGTGTGTTGGTAAGCTATAGTCTCATGTCCCTTTTTAAGATGCTTTCCCATGTCAGAGACTTGACTCCACCCAATCAAGTGCATAAAAAAGAGGAAAAAACAGGTGAGGAGATGGAGGATGGTTCAATATGGGAGGAGGGGGTGAGCAGCTTGTGGAGTAGTTATCGTCCATTTTATTGTTATAGAGATGAACTGCTTAATATATCGTGATATTAATTTCAAGCCATATCGCCCAGCCTTAGAAATACCACATTAAGGATGCTGAATACCAAAGCCTGTATCCGGAGAGAGCACGACACATCTATGTCATGTACATTTGTGAAAAGCAAACGCAGGGAGAGCGGCAGCAGAGGAAACCCAGAACAGAATAGAGCCACTATGAGTGACAATGCAAATAACACTGCTAGTCAAGTCAATACTTCTACAAAATGAGAAAGCTATCATTAGACCAAATGTATTCCTCGTTGTATATGTTCAGACTTGGGGCAAATTGAGTGTCAGGTGTAAAACTGATGAACCAGAAAACTGCTCTAAACAAACTTACACTCAACCTTTCATTTCATGTCATTTCTGCAATTGTTGCTGTCACTGACTTTTTTTTGGCACGGTGTCAATCAAACGGAGGCTGAGTACAAAACCTCCTGCCTCAAGTATAGGTGTCCACTTGATGGCTGTTTTGATATTCTGTCCATCAAACCCCACGGTTTCTTAAAAAAAAAAGGTCAGATATTTAAAAAAAAATATTTGTTTCAATAGTCGTATCTGTCATCAATGGAGTTTTCTTTCTCCCTCTGGAAAAGTTATGCTTTTATTTGGAATAGACAGGACAGGGAGTTGATTGGAATCAAAGGAAAAGATTTTTTTTATGTGATGATTTTGTTGGACTCCTTGATCACGGCTCTACCTTGAACTGTTTATATATAAGAAGTAGGAAAAGGCCACAATTATTTAGCTGATCAAAGAACATTTTAACCTAATCAGTAGGTCTGTCCCAATATGATATTGATATCGGATAGCGGTCCGATATCAGCCAAAGAAGATATATCTGATTATATCAGCACCCCGATACAGTCAGTCCATTTTAGACTCCACTCCGGCACCTCTAGCTAGCAGCACCTGGATCCAGCATGCAGAGCTCACATGATCACAACAACAGTGTGCACTAAGGTACAAAGTAGCAAGGAGTAGGAGTGATGTTGGCTGTGTGGCAGTATTTTTCGTTTAAGTCCAAAAAAGACGTTGCTGCTGAGTGCAAAACTTGTCTTGCACAAGTATGTGCCATTATCGGATCAATATTGGTATCGGCTGATACTAAAGGCTACAATATCGGTATTGTATAGGAAGTTAAAAAGTTGTATCAGGCAGTGTTGTTTTCGTTGACGAAAACAACACTGCAGAATATATGTTTAGCATTTGACTGACGATATGCTCATGGATTTTCCAACTCTGTCGTCCACCACTAACGTTTTCATCGAGCCTTGCCTTTTCAACGTAAACGCACATTCGTCTCGTCACATTTTAGTCATCCAAGATGTTTAGCTTGTCAACTTCATTGTCAATGAAAACAACACTGGTATCAGGACACCCCTAATAACCAGCATTATAGCAGCCTTCTAAAGGTTGATATCACTAGCATCAACACCCTTTGAAAAAAGTCATTGGCTGCTGTTTTAATATTGTGATTTACAAACCCTCCAAAACATGTTACTGGCCAGGACAGCCATGTATAACAGATTTTAAGGTTCATGGAATAACGAATCGTTGTATTTACATTGTTTTATTATTCTTTTGATTTTCAGTTGCTAGGCAGAAGCAAAACAACTAATTTTCTGTCTATTTGATTCAATCAGTGATTTTGTTTTCCATTTGTTAGTATTATTTAAGTTATGTCTTATGTCAAATGCAAAACCTCTGCAAATCGGCATTATATAATGTAATCAGTTGATCTGTAATAAAAAGGCCTCCAGCCTGTGTCTGTGTGTGTGGGGATGAACTCATGGATGGAGCAGCTGCCAGGGTGCAGGCTGTCTAACCTTTAGATCAAGCTGCTGCATATTTATAAGACCAGTAGCTCCAACAGATGTACTGCCTTCTCCCCTCCCAGTCTGTTCTGTGTGTGTGTCCCTCTCCATACCTTCCTCTTTGTTTTGGAGGAACAAAAAAAGCTGCCTCAGCTTTATTTTATCTTTTGTGTTGGAGCAGGCAGGTTTCCACACAGTGTTTTTATGAGGTCAGGTTGCAGGCGATGCTGCTGTCTGCGTGGGTTAGAATTTTTCCTTCATTTTCAGCGCAGTAAAATCAGCTAAGACTAATTGTGCTCCATATTTCTACAAATAACTGTAGCACAGGCATAATTATCTCCAACATCAGTGTGGTGCTGATCTATCCTGCCATTCAGAAACTTTATAGTTAACACAGATTTCGTTTAAAAAGTAGCATTTTGCTCTACTTTCCCAGCAGGCTTTTCAGGCCACCAGCACACTCTCTAGCTTTGTTTGTCCTGTCCAGAGCGGGCGATAAACTTCCACTTTCCTAGAGTCAAGGACAGTGTGTTGTATTTGGGGTCTGCACCGAGTCAGAGCCACGGCTAAAGATTAAACCTGCAAAGACAAACAATTCAACTGTGTAGATAGCAGCATTGCTGGTCTGCAGTGTGTGAGGGTGTGTGTTTGTGTGTGTGTGTGTGCGGGGGGGTTCATCCGGGTCTGGGGCAGAGGGCCCCTTTACCCAACACACACACACATAACAGAGAACACATCTGGTATGGACAAAGAGCCGGCCATAATGGATGTGGGGAGGCGAGAGAGGGGGATTGGGGTGGATGGGGGCGGATAGGGCCATGACCTATGGAAATGACTCTGGGAGCTGAAAGGTCCCACCGAATTGGGGGGGAATCAACACACTAACACCCACATGCACACACGCACACAGATCTAAGGAACAGAGTGGGGGCAGGGCAACATGTGGAAGGTAGCATGTAGTCCTGTATGTGTGTGTGTTGGTTTATTATTTTTCATTTTGACTTAAACAGAGAAGTGTTACACATGGATATGGTGTGATATATAGAACCTGCAGACTGTGGCTTTATAAGGATGCACTGTACTGTCCTATGGTGAAATGATGTGGCACCAAAATGGTCATAAAATTTGTGGCTTGCAAAAAAAAAAGAAAAACTAATAATTATATACTTGCACTTTACTGCATTGATATCAACATTTCTACATTTGATAAACCATCATGATAAGTCCATGTTACGATAATTATTCCGATATTTAAAAGGAAAATGACACATGAAGATGCTGGTTATTTGCCACCATTTAAAAGTGAAGGCAATATATGACATGACAAGACTTCAGGGGTCCTCAACGTCCAGCAGAGCGTTGTTAACCAAACAAGTCACCCAGTGCTACTTTTGCTAACCTTTTTGCTGCTACCTACCATGAAGAGGGTAAGGTGTTAGTGTACAAGAGCAAAAAGAGTTTCTATATGACTTGAAATGGAAACATCCAGCGTCTCCTTTTTCAGCCACTGAATGTACCCATACCAAATGAGATGTTGCTGATGCCTACAAACATGGTACTAGGGTAAGGTAATTCAGATCTAAGGTTAAGCATGTGTTGGTTCTAATGTAGGCTACTGTAGTGAAACTGTACGTTTACATGCTGTTTAAAAAAGTTCATAGCATCAGTCCAACCAAAGCTGAATTTTTAAAATGCATGTTAACGCGTTTGTAATACTGAAATCACTTTGTTTGACCTTTCATAGTCCAATTGATATACCTCAATAATGTGCTTGGAGATCAGTTGTCTCCATGCATACAGCTCAGTTGGGCTGAAAGTGTCCTAAGCATTTTGAGCATGCTCCAGAGTTTGTACGCTGGGCTTTGGCCCAAAGTTGAAGAGCACAAATGCGTTGCCTGGAAGCCAGTAAGTAAACAGGACCTCAACAGAAGAAGACAGGATGTCAAAAAAGATCCAGCTGTCTTAACAGACGTTAAAAAGATACAGAGCTGTAAAAGTGTTTTTATTGTTCATCATGTGTCCAGTTGGCCACTTACAAAAGTGCTTGTTGCTTATTTTGTACCGGGAGTAGTACTGAACAGAGAAGGGCCCCCTACTGTAGTGGAGGCAGACATGCTTCTGTCAATAACTTGATTCTTACCGGGTGCTTTTAAACTGGGACAAGGACAGTAGTCCAGTTAAATTGAACTAGAGCCATACCGCGACTTACCTGTGCATGGAAGCGTGCTGATTGGTTTCAATACAGTGTTTTTAATCAAGTTTAGTGAGTTATAATTTAGAACAACCATTTATCTAAATAGTTGGTGAGTAGACCTTAAAAATTTACTTGTGGAAACCTGTCAGGATTTGGTGTTTGGCAGAAGTAAAATCAGGATTGCATCTTATCTTTTTTTATTTTGTTAACTTTTTTCTTATATATATATATATTTTATTTAAGATGCAAGTACGCCTTTATACCTCTAATATGCTAATAGGGTCATTAGACAGCTGAAGATATCAGGGACTCTATACTAGACCCGGAGATGATATGAACAGGTGTCTAGGGAGCATCAACAAACCAAAAAATGTTGTATAGATTGTACTCTCAACTTCATAAAAAAACATCACAACATCACAACTCTATAATTTGAGAGATTACAAAAAAGATAAAGAACATTTCCCTGTTATTTCATGGGCGTCATCATACTTACATTAGACATAAACACAGGAAGTGGCAGATACTCATTTAGATGAAACGATGTCCCTTAAAAGAGTAGAAACATTTTTTTGCCATTGTTGCATAAAAATGTCAAAATTCAAAAAAAAAAGATGTTTTGAGCTCAAAATTTCTGAGGGTTCCTCTCTAGGAAGCATTCTGGCATTTTTGTTGGTGTGATATTGTCACCTCCTTAAATAAGCAGTGAGTCAGTTATTAGGCAGACTTTCTTAGTGCTATCATGCAAGCTAAAATTGAAAAAAAAAAAAAATAAATAATGAATCACAGGAGTCTTTAAGACTATTACTATGCGAGAGCCAATATCTTTGGTAAGATTGTGGTTGCCATGGCGATAAATGTAATTAATTCAGCGCACGGCTTGGGTGAGGAGAGAGGTGTGATGTGTTGATGTGGCTGCACATTCACTAAGGTGTTGCTTGTAGAGCAGATAACGGTATGTCTGAGGTGTGGTAGATTGCTCCTGGAAGAGGAACAAAGCATTCAGAAGAGATGAAATATCTTACTCTCTCTTCTGCCATTTAAAGACATTTATTTTATTTTTGTCATTAGGATCCTCATTCAAAATGTCCCAGTATTGATTGATGTAGGATATGATTTATCAGTGAAACACAATAGAGGACCCATAAATCATTGTGACAAATGGTTTGGGTCCATGGAGGGGGAGAAAGGACTGAAGTAAAAACAGCAAAATGTGATTTTTTTTTCTCTGCTTTCTTTAGTTCCTCTGCCAGTTTCTGATAATAAGTGGGTATGATCATGCAGATGAATAAATTATCCTTATAAGGTTGTCATTTCTGACCTGATTAACATAAACACAAATAAATGGCACCAGCTGTGCTCTGTGGTCACTTGTATCGACTGAATTTTCATGGACTGAAGTATCCTGGTGATGAGCTTTATTCAGGTTTTGATCTTATTTGTATGAGTGTTTACCTGCATAAAGAGAAGCTAGGTTTTTCATACCCATGTACACACCTGTATCCTAGTTCCTACATCATGTTAGCGAAGACAGCAGTGGTGTTAATTTTGAAATGTGAGGAATAATAAGATCACTGTTACTTACTGCCGGGTGAGCACTATTAAAAACAACACCTTATTGCAGATAGAAAGCATATCCTCCTTGTCAGCAATGAGAGAATATTAAACATCTCTTCAACTCTAGCTTGTTTTAATCTGTCACTGTGATCACTGAACAAGGGAGCAAGGGAGATACATAGTTGTTCGGGGTGGGAATCACCAGTGGCCCCAGGATACAATATTATCACGGTATTTGGCCACGATATGATATTAGGGCCCGACCAATATGGATTTTTTGGGGCCTATGCTGATACCGATTACTAGGGAGGAAAGAAATCTGATTACCGATTAATTGGCCAATTTAAAAAAAAAATTTTATGAAGTTTTAAAATTTTGTTAATTAAAAAAAAAAGTAATATATCAACATATTTACTTACTTTTTTCACAAATGGCTGCTTTTGAGCCTTTCAAACACTTCTCAGTAACATTTACCTCCGTAATATTCCACATTTTTATCATGACTCCAACTCGGACCAGCCTCTGTGTCTTAACTCACGTTACTAATTTCCGGTCCTGGTCTCATAAGTCAGGGAACATTTTATGGCGGAACATTTTCGAAGTGAAACCGAATCTTTTTCTCCGCATTTTATTTCTGAAAATATCGGCGACAATCGGCGAGTTTTGGACGATTACCGATTAGTCTCAAACGGGCTAAAACTATATTATTGCAATTTTGTCATTTCGCAATACAGTGAGTATTGCAATCGGTGTATATATAGTGATTTATACAATTTTTTTCAACTGGTAAGCTAATATAGCATTTGTCTTTCCTTTAAATATTTGTCTTATTTACGCAGTATCATAATTTCATGGAGCACATCTTGCAAACCTTAAATTTGTTGCACTAACTTTCTCCTGCCAACCTCACTAGACAAACAGTAGATTTTACTTTTCCATTATCATAGATTTGACTTCATATTAACAATTAATTTGAAAAATCGATACTTTGTTAATGACAATCTCCCACCTGTAATCGTATGTGGTGGTAGTGTAGTTCACAGATTCCAAGTTGAGTGTTTGGCAAAAAAAAAAATGCATTTTTAAGCTGCAACAGGAGTCACTCTTGATGCTACTGCTTTGTTATATTGATATATCACTGGGCTGGTGTCGTGTCTTGGTGAGCACATGCCACAGAGTGACATTTTTTTCTTGGTTTTCCATGTAGCAAATTTGTATTTCCCCAAACTGAGATAATTAGGGATGTCCCGATCAGCTATTTTGGCCCCCGATCCTGATCCTGATCTTTTTAATGTTGAAGATCATCAGATACAGTCCGTCACAAACTGCTCTAAAACTCCACAGTGTCTGACATTCAGTGTGGAGATGGCAGAGCTCACCATGGATCCGAAAGACAATTAGATGGCGATCCATCTCAGTAATCTGTAGGCCTTTTAGCACCTTCCAGTTTATTTCTCCTTTCTTTTCAGTCCACAGCTTTTCACTTCAATGCAGCAGCCTTTTCTTCTGACTCTGTTATTTCGCTCCATTTTCAGATGGCATATTTAATTAGTAGTATTGAACAAAGCTCTGCAGCTACTGCCTGCGAAACCATCAGGTGACTGTTTGTCTTGTTTCATTTTTAGTTAAAAATATTTCCACACTGCAGGCTGTTTAACCACAGGGTTGCCAATTATACACACTGTTTATATACTTGAGCTTTTTGAGCCATTTGACCCTTATTTACCCTAACAACTGATTCAAAGTTGTTGTTGTAATCTGGTTGGTTGTGCGTAGGAGTTTTTGTATTAAAGTATAATCATGTCAGACTAATTAACTTGCATGTTTGCATTCTGTACAAATTGTGGTGTATAACAGCTGACATTTATGACCAGGTGAGATGATGAGCTTTAATTGCTGATCACGATCATTAAAAAAGTGCCAAGATTGGCCCTGATGCTCATTAAAATACTGTATTTCAGTCAACTTAATGTTCATGATAAAGCTGTTTTTACTCATACATTTCCTCTAGTTAAAAGTTTTTAATACACGTCTGCAAACACAAGTTTATAACCAGCTTTTCTTTTCTTGCAGTTGTCATCTAATGAAAAAATAATTACCCAGAATTTGTAGCATCCTCTTTGCAGCCTATGCTGTCATTTTTGCACAGGCTGTGTTTACTTCCTGTGCCCTGAAACAGGAAGCTTAACACCAACTTATAATACATATCTTGTCAGCTGGGTGCTTGTGATCATGAAAGTGATTAAAACACGGATGCGACACCTTGATGGCACTTCTAGTCAGGGACTCAAAAGAGTATAAAGCGCTTACTTTAAACCAAAACTTTGACTGGAAGTTTCTCTCAATTGCATCCCACGTGTTAAGGTCTGAGTTATTTGAATAATATGCTATTAAACCTGAATAACCTCAATAAACCTGAAAATGGGTTGAAAAAGTAACCAATCATGGCTGCTGTCTTACTGATGTCTGTACCCGTTGTCAGCATTGTGTGGCATGAACTGGAACAGTGACACAAACTGTAACTGAAAAAAGGACTCGCCATTTGTCTGTCTGTCTTTATAAATAAATGAATACAGTGAATCTTCATACAGCACTCCTTATCCTCATAACTGTCACGGTATTATTTTCGACTCAAAGTTTCTGATTGTTATTCCACTGTGTTATATGATTTAAAAATAAAACGTTCAGTGTTTTAGTCGCCCAAAGTGGCCGAGACTTAATTGGCACTGGTTTCATTTACAGAGGACGTGTTCCTCAAACGGTTTGTCAAGATCAGAGACATCCTAGCTGCTGTGATGTGAGCTTGGTGACAGTTCAAGCAGGGGCTGTTGTTTTATTCAGGACGGCCGTTTGAAATACCAGCACTGCTCCTACTGATCCCACCAAGCACAGCACTGAACATTTTGATTCACATTCAAAGTGCTTCATGCTGGACGTGGTCCCTCGAATTTATTTCATTTTATTTATTTATTTATTTATTTGAAACCTGAAAAGGTGATCTGCTCCCGACACAGATGCTTCATCAACCTCCAGAAAGTACGTTTTCTACATACTTTAATTTGTATAATATAATTTGTCTACATACAAATTATATTAGCCCCTTCTACTCATATCACTCAGATTTCGCTGCTTGTTATGCTAAAAGCAGACCGGTACAGCATGATTAATACATGTACTTAAAGTCAAGGTCTGTCAAGGGTTTAGTTTGTTTTGGCTGGTTCTTTGAGGCCAAATGGGTGAATCAAGAATGCATGAAATCCCTTAAGGAGAGGATTCTGGCCTATTTGTCAAACTCTTGGATAATGAAGACTAATAACTTGACGAAACCTCGCTACAGCTGCTCTTACAAGTACACTGGCCTTTATCTAGTTTAACAGGGATACAAAAATAAAACCATCAACACAGGACAGTGAACATGACATATTTGTGCACACTAATAACTTGGGAAAGTACATATAAATGATAAAAGAAAAATACTCAAACCTAAGGCATTTTAACTTCACCCATCATGATGATTGATTGATATTTATGCTGATGTCATTTCTTTTTGTTGACGCACATAGTCGCAAATGAAAAGAAGAATTATTAAAGCCCTTCTTAAAATAGAGAAGACTTTACACCTGACACACTCCGACATCAAAGGGGAAATATCAAACCCTGGGAAGATGACGACGTCTGAGTCATTTCTATAATTACCATTAGCACTGTGACAGGAATAGTTTTTGAGAGCTTGTATGAACACCCACGTGACATAAACATGGCACAGCATAATGTAAGCCTGCACAATAGATTGCAGAATTATCGATAATGCCGAGAAAATCTGAATTTATCCCATTGAATTAGGGAATCATCGGATGTACACATTTAGTCAATAAGTACTCATTGAATACGTACATCTCACCTTCTAGACAACAAACTGGCTTATCTAAGCCAATGTGAACTATTTGATATGCATATCATGCTCTAGCATTGGCTCTTTATTTTTTCAATTTCAATGCAGGACTTTTGTGTAAACTTTAACTGCATCTGCTGGCTAATGTGTGTGAATCTGATTACCATAATCAATACTTGTATCGGATCAGATCAGTATCTTTTTTTAATTATCGATACATAACTCCACGTATTGGTATTCACAGGGCTGGATTGGTGCATCCCTGCTGAGCATGCAGCTACAGACTCAGCCATTTTGCAGTAGTTCTGTAAAGGAGCATTGTTTTCAGCCTGAAACTTGAGGTGTCTGAATATAAGAAAGTTTAGATTTTCTGACTGCTTGTGATAGTTATTGGTCTGAAAAATGATCCAAATTCATCACACAAAAAGAAACTTGTGTTTTTGCTGCACCCCCTGTGGGGACAACAAACAATTTTACAATCCACCTGGTTGACTGACAGCCACCAACCACTCAGCCTTCTGACTTCTCACCATCCCAAAGCCCCTCTTCTTATCTGACTGAATGTCTTCTCATTTTTCTGTCTAAAAATTTGCATCTACTTCATATTCACTCATAAGACCCTTGTGGGCCCCTGTGGCGTTTTCCCCGCCTGACTGCTGACAGCGCTGTTAGACTAATTCTGCAGACAGTCATCACTAGAGCAGAGTGTCCAAGAAGACTTTTGCAGCCGTGTCATCTGTCAATCTGCCCTCTGTTTCTTTCACCCTCTCTGCTTCCATCAGTTTGTATTACCATTTTTTGGGAGGGTCGAAACAGTAACACAACTCAAGTGCAAGAACTGACCTCCCAAAACTATGTCTTCACATATCACATCATTTTTTTAAGGGGTGTCCTGATACAACTTTTTGACTTCTTCTGATATGATACTAATATTGTAGCCTTCAATATTGACCAATACCGATATTGGCACAAAATTCCGCAAGACAGGTTTTTCACTCAGATAGAGGTGCCGGAGTGGAGTCTGGAATGGACTGCTTGTATCGCACTGCTGATATCGGAGATTTTAGATGCAAGCCGATATTATCCAATATTGGTTTTTTTGCCATTGTCGACTGATATCCGATATCGATATTGTATTGGGACACCCCTTACTCCTTTGTCAGCATAGACTCATGAAAGAGTTGCTAGAGAATATGTTTATTTAACCGTCTTGATAACTGTTGTAGAAACACTGGTCACTGCTTCTATCACAGTGCTAAAGACAATGAAATACTGATTATTGAAACAATGAGAAAAAGCTGCTCCTAAAAGAGCAGAGTTACGGTGAATGAAGCTGGAATCACTGGCCCTCTTTGTGCCTCTGCAGCACTTAATCCTCATCTCTCTCTGCTGCATAGAGCCTGAGCACTGAATGCGAGATAATTCAATTATTGCCACGGACATTTCAGAGCGCTGTGTGTGTGTGTGTGTGTCCGAGATGTGTATCTCTATGGTTTTTGTGCAGGGGTTATGGAATTGAATTGTTATTGATTTGCGCATTGTGAAGCCATTGTCTTTTGCTGTTCTCTTTCCCTCCTGCCCCCTACTGTAAGTCGATATATTAGATTAAACTTTATCCTTGCTTTTCATTTACAGTGTCTCCTGAGGCTTCCTCCTTCATGTTGCACAGGAGCCACAAAAAGCCAGATCCAAGCAATCTGTCTGTCTTTCCTTCACCCCCCAACCCCCCACCCCCACCGGTCCAACGGTTAGGGGAAATGTCTCATCCTGCCATAATCAGATTGTGCGGAATGGCATCAGGTTCATTTGGAGGCATAATGGATGCTCACACCACAACTCCAGTGCCTCCCAGGATAAGCTCTGTATCAGGCGGTGTTTGAAATCAGTAGTGAGCTGTTGAAGTTCACACTTGGTCTCCAAGTGTCTGGTTTAACATTAGGTTCAACATGTTTGTTGTTCTGTAGCGTTGCAACAGAAACCAAGCATCTTCTTAGCAAATCAAAACAGCCGTTGTGTGTTGTCGAAATCTTATATTCTCCTGCTGAGTGTCTGCAAGTACAAGGAGATGATTTGACATTGAAACACCAGCAGCTCTCTGAGAAAATGTTTTTGTCCTCTAGGTTTTTTTTCTCAACATACACCTCAAAATGTACAAACAAACTACAATATACTATCTTCTTTCTCCATCCCTTTTAAATAATAAAACCACAACACAGACCTTGCTGTTAGACAGGTAAATAATTGAGTATTTAAATCAGTGACTAGGTGGATCTTGCTTTTGTTCCAGAGATCCATTAAGATAAGAACAAGCTAAAAAAAGGTGGGCATGTTTCCAAGTACACCTTGCTTTTTCCTGTTTGTCTCCAGCTTAAAGGTCAGGATTAATTGTTACTTAGTTTGATTTTTATAGCAAAATGTCACGCATTTGCTTGTTTTAGCTTGGGGACCATTTGCTGCCTTTGTTATTGTCTAATATCTTAAATATCTTGGTTTTAAGCAATTGCTTGTATGGTATTGTGCCATGGAAAATTGACCTTATTACCGTTTTGTGGCATTTTATAGTGAAAGGAACTGTTTGTAGCTCTCCAGTTTTTTGCATAATTTCTGCTCCAGTAATTGCACTCCAGCAGTTATACCAAAGCTTAAGTGCCACATTGCTCTGGCACATTACGGACTGTACTGAGCAGTCTGTTCTGTTCAGTAATTAAAGTCATTTTGTAGAGACGGACTTTCCATACCAGCATGGGGCCCAGTTGTGTTATAAGAAGAGCCTCTGTGGAAAAATGTAATTTGCAGGGCAGGGGTACAGAAATATTTGTCATGATCTCAGTCTTGCTCAAACATCTGGTGATGTTATTTGTTCCTCTACACTACATACAACCAACATCATGCTCCAACTGTAGCGTCAGTCAGTACACCTGGTCCTTTTGATTTTCCTTGTCTTTTTTTTAATGTACCATCATGCACTATGTTCTTCAGGCCAAATTATAGACTGTATATAGAATGGACGCCATCTGCCTCCTTGCTGGGTGAAGTCACTGCCAGAACAGCACCATCTGGTGACGGGCTGCAGTATAGGTCATAAATCCCGCCTCCTCCAGCAATCCCTATGCAGCTGCGGACAAAATTAAGAAATTTATTACACAGAATTAAATTTTTTCTCCCCTCTGCTTGCGATGTTGACATGTAGTTACTGTAAGACTGGTTTGTGCTCAAGTCCTCTTTTTTTCTGTACAGCTCCATTTTTAAAAGTTATTAGGGGGTTCATGTTTTCTGTGATTGACACTTGATACAGCTTATGGGCGAACGAAGATTGCATAGCTCACCAGGGGGATACGCCGTTTGAGCCGAGCGTCATCACAGTGACTCTCACCGACTCTCCCTCTGAATGCGTACAATGCTACTGCGCAGTGTTGGTTTCTGGAAGTGGAGAAAAAAACTTGAAATTACTGAGAGCTTTTCGGCTTCAAATCCGTATACTGACGAAAGGCTGAACCAAATTGTCCGTAGTATAAACAGTCTGAGAAAAAAAGACATTTTAAGTATTCATTTTGGATTCAGGAAGGACATAGTGCATGTAGGTATTTTAATAATGATAAAGAGCAGCAGATAAACATAAAAAAATGTCAGGTGTATGTTGTTTAAGCTTGACAGGTTGCAGTTTCACAGCACTTACTTGACTTAAATCCTACAGTCCGAGTATATAGTGGATTGTCTAGTTTGAAGAGGATAATTATGTGTCTTTCATATACAGCTGATTGAAGTGCCACTTGTGTACTTAATAGTGTCATTGGGTTACCATAAGTCATTATACAAACTAATAACAAGCAAGCCTCTGTCAACTTCTTCCCATGGTAATTGTCCCCTGATGAGACGCTCTTCAACCCTGACCAATTGTAACCTTGCACTTCCTGGCAAGTCATTTTCAGGACTTCAAAACAAAGGATGTGATGTAAAACCTACTTTGGAAATCACTCAACTCTTAAATTAATTTTTACCCCCAATTCATACTTTACAAGTCTTACAGACCCTGCAATTCATCTTGTCCTTGTAAGACAGCTCTGTGATTGGCTGCCTGCTTGCACTGAGCCTGGAGACTGATTGGGACGTGAATCTAATGTGGTTCTTTTCATGAAGGCTTTTAAGGTTGTCAGCTCGTGCCTTCTTTCTTTTCTTCCTTTCAGTCCTGAACACGGTAACTGACAAGCACCAAGGAAAATCAACAATGAAGCACCAGCATGTTCGTAGTCAGCTTGTATTGAACTGTAGTTATCAACCTTGTCCAGGCTGTGAACACCAAAAACTACCTGCTTTCTTCTACGAATGTCTTAAATTCTGGGTGGAGCAATGTTAGAAGCAAACAAGTTCAGATGTGTAAGACTATTCCACCAGCAAATATAATATTTAACTTTTTTAATCATGTTATTTTTCTATACTGGGAGGGTGTTTAAGTCCATCTTTTGCATGAGTTTAACTCTTCTTGGTTTCATTTTTGGATTAAAAAGAGTTTTGCAGCTTCCTCAAATTTGACTGTGGTAGATTCTAAAGTTTCTTCAGATTTTAATGCTTTCAGAATTGTGTACTTGCTGAATAACAAAAAGCATCACTATAGGCACACAACATTTCCGTACAAGCATTAAGTGTGAAGGTGGGAAAGCATGAAGCAGGATTTTTTTGTCAAAGATCAGAGGTGCTATAAAAACTTATTCCTAACTCACAGGCTGGTTGTGTCAACATTAAACAGCATTGCTATGTATATGAGACATCTCTCTTCATGCTTCTATGGTCTATCTGGTACATTTTCACTTATTTTGAACTCCAACAACAAATTGTGAACATTTGTGAATTAAATGATTTTTAAGAGTGCAGAACCTCTTCTGCTTTGTTAACACATTGCGAGTGAATTTGCTCTCTCCTCAAATCATTTAAAGCTGGAGGCTGGCGTCCTATAAAAGAAATATATTTACCCTCACAAGAGGGCTTCAACCTTTTTCATACCTGAGAGCCACTCAAATGTCATCAATGAAAGAAAGTGCGCTTGCTTTTATTTAGGAAGGATGGGATGTGACCCTGCATATTCAGCCAGCAAATCCTTCAATCTAATCCAAGACAACAAAGACACACAAAGTGATGCTATTCTTAAACAAATGGAGAGAGAACTTCAACCAAAGAGTAACTAATAAGTTTATACATCCGCATGACAACCAAATTCATGCCCTGGATTATCCAATAATATTTCTAGGATTTTTACGTACTGCTAAGCTTCTCGCTGGATCACACATTAGCACCCTCTTGTATTGGATCAACTGCAGGGCTTTTGTCCCTGCGTGATCCTGCCATGACACGGTCTTTCCCAGAGCCACAACCCTAGCAGCTGCTTAGATTAAATGGATCAATACTTATAAATCCGTATTACTTCCCCCCGCAGACAGCCCTGCCCCAGAGAGTGGGTGGCCAAAGCACATAATGAATGCAGCACAACTTAACTGTGACTCCATGTTACAAAGAAGTGAACAGAACCAGAAGTATACAAATTAAGATTTGATGTAAATCATTCTGCATTGCATATCTAAACTGGTGTAACTGATAAGTACAGTCACTATCAAACTTCACTCATACACTGTATTCTTGAACATGTCCCTCAGCTATATCTGGGTGGGCTGCATGTAAGAAAGCCAAATTTTGAACTAGAGGGATTTATAATCATAGATATTAGGTTATGCTCTGGGTTGCTGAACACGGCTGATATTGCTGTCAGGAAAATGCACAATAAGCCAATCGCAAGGGGATCTGTGTAGTTTGTACTCTAAATGCTTGCCTCCATTTCCATGACATTGTTTATCACTTTTGTCACTGTTTGTATTGCTGAAGGGTCCTTGCAAATTCGGTCGCGATACAAACACAGAAGCAGTCAGGATTATGAAAGACTGCTCCTTCTCCAACTCCTGCATCACAAACCAAATTGAGTATATCAACAAGTGAGAGCATGTCCAACAGAGAAAAGGAAAAGTGAAATCCATATGTGAGGTAATGAAAATGTCATAGCATTGACGTCCTGAAATCATCTTAAAAATTGATGGCAGTTCACGGGTAATAATGACTACTATTGATACATCCTTTTTCAACCTCCTTTGTGAGGGTGATGTTTGACTGCAGACAGTTCAATTAAATGCCAGTTGCACACACAGATTAAATTAAGGTGCTTTGGCTGAAATGGTCTTTTGTCCTTTTGTCTTAGTAATATGAGTGAGGTTGTTCTGTTCAGTAATATGCAATATTGTAGGGCTGGGCGATAAACTGAAAATATACCAATACCAAAATTGACCACAATTAACTTATTTTGCCCATGCCCATATTTGGTGTCAAAAAATAAATAGCTAAGAGTTGGTTTTGGATGTGTGTAGGTAGGCTATGGTCTCATGTCCCTTTAAGACTCTGTCCTACATCAGAGACACGACTCCATCCCATCCAGTCCATAACAAAGAGGGAAAGACAAGTGAGGAGATGGAGGATGGTTCAAAAGTTGTAGCGGCTGAAACAGTGGCTGAAGTAGACGAAGTTAATGTGGGAGGGGGTGAGGCGCTTGCAGAGTAGTTATCGTCCATTTATCGTTATTGAGGTGAACTGCTCAAAATATCGTGAGATTGATTTGAGGTCATATCGCCCAGCCCTACAATATAGTCCAAAAAATACATCCACTCCAGATCATGATTCTGCCTTAAAATTGTGATATGTTTGCGTCATTTCCCATCCTTATATAAATGTTACATTTAGTGGCCAAAAATAACTTTTGTGATCACCAGGTGAGTGCTAAAAGTGGTGGAAGTCTTTTTGCAGATTAAATAGAAGTAACAGTTTTGTATTTCCAGCCTTGAGGGCCATGGAAATGTTTTAATTTTTATAATTGTTTTGGCTGCAGCTCAAACACTTGATGGCGTACCCTTGGATCAAATGTGGACATAAATAAAAACGCTCTTTGAAGTTTTCTGTTTCAAAGACCGGAGATGGATTTCATCAGCATGCTTTCACTGATTTTGATGTGCAATTGAAAGAGATCTCAGTCAAACTGACTCACTGGCAGCTATAGTTTCCATTGTTTGGTGAAATCAGTTTTATAAAGAAGTGTCCTGACGGTGAAGGTAAACATCCAATGGCGTATTAAACCAAGACAGAATCATATTGTTGGAGGTCACAGGCTTTATTGACTGTCACCAGACCTCCCATATTTGAACTGCAACAGGGAGACATGATAAAATCCATTTCTCTCCTGTTGATGTATTCCTTCTTGAAGATTGAATCCATCTGAGGAACACTGTAATGAATAATTGATATAAACTTTGATCCGGCAGACTAATTTTGTGCACCCAGCCTGTTTAAACGCCTCTGCCTCTGGCGCTCTCATACGTCCCTCCACCATACAGCGCATGAAGCAGATAGGAGTGAACTGCACAGAGACATAATAATCATTAAAACGGCTCTTGAAGTTGCACTGATAAGGCTAATGAAAAGAGTGTGGGGGACGGCCGGGGGGGAGTCGGCTAGGAAAAGGCTAGATAAGGACAGTCCTTTCCAGAATAATTGTCTCAAGCTCTGGAACTGGTTCCCATGATGCCTCAGTGTGGTCTGTACGAACACAAGACCTCTTTAGCAGTGATGAGAAGACTGCAGTTGTTTTAAACCTTGGGCTAGTTAGTCAATTGATTTATTATTGTACAATTGTTGTCCTGGTATTACTCTCTAAATCAGTATGTTTATGATTAAATATGTATGATGGTGGACTGTCCCGCTGGCTAAGGTTGCATTGAGTTGTGGTTGTGCTCTGGCTCTGTGACTCATTTCTAATATACTTAGGGTTTGTTTTGAAAACATTCCTCGTACATATTGAATTTGTCTTTTCGTTTCGTGTGTTATCGACGTGGTATCAGATGTGGTTCGATTGTGGTTTGCTTCTTTTGTGGAAATTGCTGCGCACGGCATGTTTGCTCTTTTTTTTATGTTTCTTCACATCCTGGGTTGTAAGAGAAACATGTTGCAGGTCTACACCAACTGCTGTTTGTGCCCATGCCAAGTTTGTTTTTGTGTTTCTGAAAAAACATTCTGCTCATTTCAAATGCTCCTATGAACTATAATACTGTTGAAGTTTGACTGACAGACAGACACACTATCCCTATTTTGGAGGACTTTGAAACTGGACTCTAGTGGGTTGACAGAAAGTTCGGTTGAGTCGGCATATCTAACATCGAGAATGTATCTCTCTCACACACTCCTCCCTGCTGTACTTTTAGAATATAATGAAACATGCTTAACTGTTGCTTGTATGCTATACAGGGCCCCCGGGTCTTGACTACAGTGTTTGTTTGTTTTTTAAAGCACTGACATGTTTGTGGTTTGGAGAACATTTGATTGGAAAAAATCAAATAAAAGATTTTAAAAAAAGACTATAGCTATATTATCAGCTCACAAAATATTTCCAACGATAAAATGTTCAAAGGAAAAGAAAAAATTTCCTTGATTAAAAAAAAATATATCGTGACTACTTAGTGGTTAAAAATAGGGCTGGGCGATATTGCCTCAAATTAATATCATGATAGATATATTGAGCAGTTCACCTTGATAATGATAAATGGACAATAACTACTCTGCAAGCTGCTCACCTCCTCCCACATTAACTTACAACTTACAGCTGCTACAACTTTTGAACTGTTCTCCATCTCTTTACCCGTCTTTCCCTCTTTGTTATGGACTGGATAGGATGGAGTCATGTCTCTGATGTAGGACAGAGTCTTAAAGGGACATGAGACCATAGCCTACCTACACACATCCAAAACAAACTTTTATTTATTTATTTCATACATAAATATTTGTCGAAAATTTCGGTATCGGTAAATTTTCAGTTTATCGCCCAGCCCTAGTTAAAAATACACCAAACTGCAAAGTATAAAGAGTTGGATGCTCAGAATTTCTCAGACAAAAATTGTTCAAATAATTTTGTTTTTCATTAGGACAATTAAACTTGTAAATACAGCAGGTTTTGTTATTTTGATTGTATAGTTATTGCACATTCTAGAATAAGTTGCTCTTAAAACATCAAGTGTAGCGATTATGCTTTTGTGAGCACAGGAGGGCTGTGCTTACTGAAAGCACAGGTGAGGAGTGTTGTGATACTGAGGCTGCAGTCACTGTCAGTGCAACAGAACACAAGTCGACACAGTTCCAGATAAAATTACGTGCAAGAGAACTACAATCATTTCATGTTATAGACAAAAAGTACTGCATCAAAATATGAACTCAAAACACTTTAAACTAACATATGAGGAGGAATCAAAGTTTATTTTGTGGAGCAGTTGAAAATCACACCCTCTCATCATATTCGTAAGACCTCCCTTCCAGACTCATCACTAACAGATCCTATTCAAATCCTTCCTATCAGCAGTCCACTGAAGATATAACATCTTATCTACTCAGCAAAAGTGCTTATCCACGTCTCATTCACAGCAGAGGGTGATTTGCATTGACTCCGGAGATGCTAACACAGCTGTACGCACACAGTGTTTCAGTCCCACACCAGGCTCGAGTGTAAACACAACTAAAGCCGGGCAGATTACACTGAATTCATTTCATGCTTGTATCCTGAAATATTGACTCGTACAGCCGTGGCTTGTAGATTCCTTTATTTTATTGTGTGCCTCACACTCGCCTCAGCGTTTTCCCTTCTATTGTTGTAAGAACGAGAGGGAGGGAGAGGGGAAGGAAGGGGGGCCAACGATTGGAGTAGATGAGGTTAAAGAAGGAAAAAAAGGGGTGAGGAGGGAGGATGTGACAGGTGGGGGATGTTATTCAAAAGGCAGGAATAGAGAGGAGGGGTGGATGGAGGGATATGTGGTCCAGCCTCTTTCTTACTACTGACAGGCAGCTTTTATTGTCCGTCTGTTGCCAGGCTACACATGCAACAATGCACAATGCGTAGCGCATCTATAAAACGCAGTTTCTTGCTTCACTGATGCAAATCAGTACGGGCCGGCTATATCATCCCTGTTAAAGCTGAACCCCCAGATGGTGCTGCAGTTGATCAGTATTCCCTCTAGTGTTGACTGACAGTCTTCTCCCTTTTTAGCACACTAATCATTTAGTGTTTGTATTTCTGCATGCTGAACCAGTTACACAGAGTTCAACCGTGTTAAAGATGATCATCATAGATAGAAAGAGCCTAATGGACTCAAAAACAGATTTAGTATGGGCATAAAAGCAGTGGTAACAAATATTCACATCAGCCCAGAAAAAGGCTTTGGTTATTCAGAGCTAGTGTGCCTTTAGACTGCGTTTATACAGGCAGGTCATATGTGAGTACCACTGTTGGATTGTTGTTATTCTTGTTGACTGCTTAAAACATGTTTTTTTTACTTCAGGGTCCAGACCTCGGAGTTCATCAAGTTAGACATGACACTCTGTCCCAAAAATCATTTGGAATTATCTTTTTTACAGATGAATAATAAACAAACCTGCCTATTTTTCCCACTCCAAATTTTCTCACTATTCTGTTTTTTTAGCCTTGTGAACCATGAGCATGAAGTTCAAGCGATCAGCTGGCACAAACAAGGCTTGTTGTAAGCCTTAGAGCTGCAGAGTATTTGATTCAAATGTAATTCAGAGTGTTGTCAAAGGCTGCCAAATATCATACTGGGTTAGTCAATGTAGGCGGAGGTTTGACATTCAGTACACAGAGGTGGAGATGGCAAGTTTTATTGGAGATGATAATTTAAGACTCCCAGAAATGAAAAAACACAACTTGAATATATTCAGTTTGTATTTCTGGATCAACACCGTGGAACGCTGGCATTTAAAGGAAATAATAAATTGACAGTGCCAAAAACTGAGTCCTCAAAAAGCACATCTCAGAATTGAGATGCCACTATGGTGTATTTCAAAGAGCACTTGAAATCCAATGAATGTTGTTTTGGCATCAACCTATATACATTTAGTGGATCTGTATTGACAACGGTGCCTTTCCCTCTTAAGTGTGTTTTCATAAACAACTTTTAATTTTTTATCTTACCGTCTTTCTGCTTTGTTAAACCTTCTTGGACACGCACACATAACACATCTTAGATTCTGAATTGTTTCACTTGGTATAAGTTTGTTCATGACCCAGCTTTTTGTACCAATCCAAAAGTAGAATGCAGAATAGTGCAAAACCACAACCAGCTGTGGACCATTTTTTAAAACAGTGGCATAAAAGAGGTCATGTTCAACTTTGCGCTCCAATCAATAACAAGAGGGACGTACTGTTTGAGCTGTCTGTCTGATCTGCCAACACAAAGTGCAGTAAGAGATTTTCTTGTTGATTGAACGCATACAGGGATAGTAAATGTATGGTTTAAAATAAAAGAGGGATGTTAAGGGTTGGTAAATAAACTTGTTCGGCTGAAAACACATTTGGCCAGCTTGTCCAGGTGTCTTCTATTTTCGGGACGTCCTGTTCAGCACATAATATTGTTTTCAGATTCAGAAAACAAGGCCATTAAAAAAAAAAAGTGTATAGACCTCTTGCTCTTTGGTTCTACAATGAGAAAGTGCTTTTTGTGTGAAATACTTTGTTTAGCACTTTGTGTTTTAATGTCCATGCAGGAAAAGTGCTCTGTAAATAAAGTTTTGATTGATTCGATTGATTCTAAAAACGTCTATATGGACACGGTTTGTTGCTTCATTCATCAATGCTGGTTAAATCTCTGCCATGTAAAAAAAAGCATGGGTTTAAAATGTGTCAGTACAATGATATCCACGCCATGGATCCTGGGCGCTGTGTCAAGATGACAGCAGCATCAAGATCCTTGTTAAAGCAACACACATGAATTAGTCCCTGTTTTATGAAATGCAAATTAAAGTTTGACCTCTCACCACATTTCCCTCATTAAAAAGTGATATCTTCACCCTTGCTAAAAGTGGTTCAATTCTTCTTTAATGTGACTGACAGCTCGAGCCTGTGAATGTCATATCTCTGCCAAACATTGATGCAAAACACAGTTCTTTGTAAACATCTTAACAATCCATTATTCTTCTGTTGACATTACAAACCACCCTCAAAACAGGGTGATCAATATGTGTTCACTTTTTGTCAACAGCATGGGCCAAGCCTCTAAAGTTCTGGTGCTAAATCTCCCATGTTGCATCTTGATCTTTTGCACCATCCTTTCAGTAAATGTCAGCTCTGTCATCCTACAACCATTTGATGCCTCTGTCAAGTACATGCAGCTAAAAAGTGATAGTTTGCCGCCCTTTTTTTATTTTTTATTTGGCAGCTCTTGTTCATTTCTCCTCTAAAATACATATCCAATATCTATTTTCAGATTGAGTGTTTTTTTATATACTTTTTGCAGCATCGTAGCTTGTTTTACAAGTGTGTTTACCACTTGTAAATCTAAAAATCTAGAAAAGACAGTAGAATAGGATAAGCGTATTACTCATGGTTCAAGTAGAAAAAAAACAGTGGCTCTTCCTGTTGATACATCAGCTGGTGTTGCGGTGAATCATTTGTGGCAGCTAGTATTTTGAAACTACATCCTGTGCTTACAAAACGCGATAAGCCCTATATGAACCTCTGACATTTTCTGAACAATTTCAGGGCATTCAGGCTGTGATATTTCCAGGGTCTTACCATTTATACATGGATCCTAAAGAGGGAGATTATCTATTTCAAGCACACTAACAACTCTGTATCCTCTGTTTCCTGTTATTTAGAGTGGTTAAAATTTTGTGCTTAGATGCGTTTCTCAGTCTAAAGACCTCCTTCATACAGAGGAACACACTTAGTGGCTCATGCACTGTATATTAAAATAGGCCTGAGCAGCCTTGAGGGCAGCTAGCCAGGCTTTTGGTTGATGTTTTGTGTTTAGTCTGGCTGTCTGCTTGCTGTCACTCTAAACAGTGTGTGCGTAGTCGCTCACATTCTGTCTGACCACATTGTAGGAGCGTGCCCTTGTGTCTGTCTGCTCTCGCACTTCCTCTTTCATATCAGACGTACTGTATCTGTGTCATATGAGTGTGTGTGTGTGTGTGTGTGTGTGTGTTTGGTTCCCAGTGCTCATTTGAACACTTAACTGTTCTTATTTCAATAGAGACATACTTCAACCAGTGTTGGCTTTTTTAGGATGATAGGATTTAATTAGAAGCTCCCTGTCCTCAATACTAATGTCATCTCCTAAAACAGACTTCTCTCAGTCCCTGATGATCTCTGTTTCATACCACAAGACTTATCAAATCATCTGTAGCTGCACTCAGACATGTGTTTGTGGAGCAATCATTTTGTTTGTTCCCTCTTTCTGCACCGGGCCGATACTTTCACCACAAGTGCCCCCATTCAATGAGAGAACCACTCAGCTTCTTAACATTCAGTTCATCCTCTTACCTTTTCTTTTCCTCTATTCCCTGTCATGTCATGTGTTTAGTTTCATTCGTCTGTCATATTACTTGTAGAGCTTTTCAAACACACGCACAAAAAAAGGAAAAATTCAGTGAATCACTTCCAAAGATGTACTTGCATTAATATAATAGAATGTTACAGAAAGGCTTGTCATTATTTGACATCTGTAGATGCCTTTTCATCTTACCAGCAATTCAAAACCCAAGGACAAAGCAAACAAGTAGTCTGCTGAGATTAAAAGGCACGTCAGTCGATGTATTTATTTCCTCCTCATTCCCACATTGTTTGGCTTTCTTTGTAAAGCATCACGAGTGCCCTGCCGCCTCTGCTGGTTATTTAGATTTTATCTTTTAAAATGTTTGCAGGATCTTTTTTCAGGCACTATGTGCCTGTTGAATAGTGATTACTCACAACCCTCAAACATATAACAACTGGCCTCGGCAGGTAACGAGGGGAAATGAAAGTGACTCCTACACCATACCTGACTGTTCCAAATTGAACTATGAGAATAGACAAATGACTAGTCCAAGGATAAGAAAGCACCATTAAAATATTCAAACTTAGTACAACTTATTTGACATGGCTAAAGACAGTGAAAGAGCCTCAGGGGAAACAATGTTAAAACGGTTTTTCGTGTGTCTAACAGTAGCAGAGCTAGCACCACCAGCCACCTGACCTTCATAGAGGTTAATGCCTGTTACCCATTGCCCTACGAAGGTGGTAATTAGGGTTGTAAGCAACCAAAGAAACTCTTGGTGTAAAGTTTAAATATTCAGCAAACCACCAGACGTTGATTTACGTGGACGTTTTTCAATCTTCCTGTCTCCAACCAGTCTCCAGTGGGTTGGGCAAATCCAAAATGGTGAAAAAGAGGGGGGTGGCCTGGGTGCTCCGAAAACACCCCCATTAGAACTTGGTACATTCCTCCTGATGAAATTAACCATTGACTGTAAATTGACTTGGAAAAAAATTGAGTCAACCAATCGGAATTTTGGTCGACTCAGCACGTATCGACCAACAAGTCAACCTGTCGACTAGGACTTTACAGCCCTGATGGTAATATGCCCATTTTACCAGACACAATCTACAAACAACTGTATTTCTTTTTAACAGGGGGATCTAAATTCGATGACCTGCTCCATGCTCCATTTGGATCCAAATAATTGAATATTAAGTGTATTATGGCAAAAACCATTAGTAAGCTACAGCTGCAGTGCTGCAATGTTAACAATTAGCAATGTAAGGCCTGCATTTGTAAGACCCATTTGTAATTGTACACATCCCAGCTGTTAACCCAAACACAATTATATAGACTTTTATTATTCCTTTCTAAAATATTGTTTTTACCATGTAGCATTAATTATAAATGAAACTGTTGTGTTTTTGTTGAGTAAAAGTGTTTTTTTTTTATGTCTCCTTTGCTGATGATTAGTTTTCAGCGGGCCCTGCTCCTGAAAGGCAAACTGAACCTGGATAGAAAGTAGAAGGCTCAGCTTGATGCCTCGGGGGACAGTGTTGGGGGCACAGAGTTATTATTAAGTTTCAAAAAAGAAGACATTTAGTTTTTTATTTATCACTGCTGGGCATTGCAATTTTAAAGTCACCTAAGGTGACGGCTTCTCAATAAGATTTGCTTCACTCTTTGACACCCACGTCAGGCCGACTGCACCGTGCATACTTTTATCATAGCATTGTTTTCCGGTATGGTTATGGAAGTCACGGGTGTGTTTTTGTTTGTTTCTCCTGAGCCTGACGCTGACTCATCTGTCTACATGTAGAGACGTGTGTCTGGTTTGTTTTTTCCTTCCCTTACTGGTTCATAATCTGCTCTCAGAGCATTCAGTCCTTGAAGTTTGATTATGGTCCAAAGTTATCTCTTTTAAATGTTGCCCTGAAATAGTTTCATACTATTGATTAAGTGATGACAGACATATGGAGAATACATCAATTGTTTTCCTCAAAGGTGTATTCAAGGTCAGACACATGGGGATGTGTTTTAATAGTGAGAGCATCTTGTGCACAGCTCAGAAGAAGCAGCAGTAGTCAGACCTGTCCTACCTTGTGATGACAGGAATTTCGGAAAGATCCAACAGACTTCTGAACAATGAAATGACAGAAGTATGAATCAAATATCAAAGTCGTGATTCAAATAGACTCAGGCTAACAATAAGAACTGACAAAGAATACTTTGAGAAAAGGAAATGAAAAAGTTGTTCCTGTGACTTACAGCTTAAAAAAAAGGGTGATGGCAGTAATCGGAAACAGTCAAGTGTCTTAACTTCTGTTTTGCCTGTGCTGTCACAAGTCAATGAGCTGGGGTTAGACTTTCCTAATTTTACCACCCCTAACTCCAACATGTGGAAAAGTTCAGTTATTTTGTAGTCTAGACGTCTGGACTTTGTTTCGCCGATACACTTTATTTGTGTGTGTTGGATAGACAGTCTTATCTAAGGCTGAGTCAGAGAGGACCAGTGTCAGCTGGCTCTTATTAAGCTGTCTCCTTTTTTTTTTTCTTTTTCCAAGTAACACAACCACTTACAACATACAAACACACACACACACACAAACACACACACAGTTGTTGTTTTGCCTTTGTAATTATGTCCCCCTCCCTGACATTGTCTGTCTGGAATTCACCTCCAGACAATTCCTAAAATTCCACTTGCAACAAAAACCTCCTGTTACATTAAATTTGAGATAATGGAACAGCATTCTTGGACTGGTTATGTATTTCTTTCCGGTAATGTGGATATTTTACTGGCATCATCTCTTGTGTTGAAATCCCTAGCCACAGAGAAGTTGTATCTCCACAGGACGGATTTGCACCATTGTACCTTTCACACTGTTAATACCATCTGCCTGTGTGTGCTGATGTCGAGCACTCTCAGCGCCTTTACTCCTCTGACTGGGGCTTGCCGTTTTAATTATTCAGAGATCTTGTTGTAGGAGGTGTGTGTTGCTTTAACCTGGCCAGCCATGCATGATGTGTGTCTGAGCTGTATAATGATACCAGACTCTCTGGCTCTCTGTCTGCCCTGTGTTTGAGGGCAAGGACACTGAGGAGAGTATGAGAGAATGAGAGATAGTGACCTGGTTTATTCATAGCACTATAACAGCATTACGAATGGTTCCAAGCCTGAGGGATTGCTAAGCAGACTTCCTTACATTAAGCACATTCCTCGTTGTGTGAGTGTCTGGCTTGGTGAAATCTCAGTGTTGAACAGTGTTTGACTGTTTCCCACCTGACCTGTGACTCAAACATAGAGCATCAGGAAATCTTATTTTCAGATCGAACTTGTCTTGGATTTTTTCGTTGACTTTAATCAGCAACGCAGAGGATAAGTTAGTGTTCATCCTGATGCATAATGCAGCATGGATCAGATTAATTTATGAGACGTGATTTTATTTTGTTTGTTTTTTTCTACGCCGGGAGAATTTTCTACACAGTATTGTTGAGATGCTAAAGTGAAACTGTTGGACAAGTTAGAACATCGGCTACATAAACTATGAGTGAACCCTTTCATCAGCTCATGCTTGACAGAACAAAAGACGACTGTAGAATGTTGAAAATCTTAAAATAGCACACAATATAAGAAGTCAGCAGATATTGTCCAAGGGTACGATTGGGCAAGTGTAGGCCTGGCATACTCGTGTTTGTATATTTGTGTTTATTTGTTTGATATTAGCTGATCTGACAGGAGACACAGCTTTGGGTGAGGTTGGAAAGTGGTTACATCATGCAGTTTGTCCAGCATGGCTCACTCTGACTCTATAGGCACACTAGAGGTGCCATCATATTAGCAGTGGAAGAATTTCCTGTCCAAAATCTATACTGATGAACGTTTAAAGGTTGTAATAAGGAAGGTTTTAATAAGAGAAGGTGGCTAAAAATCTTTCAAATAGAATTTAAATTTTTTTCTGGGAAACAATGGTTTTCTTGGTGTTCAGGGCAAACATGGAACATACAAAAAATGTATCTGTTTGTCATATTAAATTTAAGTCATTTTGCGCCTTTTTGATTTAAATTTTTTTTATGTCTTTGTGATTTTAAATTGTTTTAATCTTTCCTTTTTTACTATTTTAAAATGTATTTCCTTGTATCTGTAAAGCACTTTGAATTACCTTATGTATGAATTCTGACTAACCAACCTCGTTTAAAGATAAGACATTGTCATGAAATAGTCAAAAATGGGCTAAATGTATGTAACTTGGCAAAAGGGGGCAGGCTTTCCCTGACATTTAACTGATCATGGTGCACCACCATGGCTAAATAAAAGTCGCCATGCCTTAAAAATCTTTTTATTATTATTATTATTATTTTATTTCATTTTATCAATTGTGGCGCTATCTTGGACTCAGTATGTATGGGCATATATCGGCACTGCGGTATAAGCATTAGTGAGTTGTCAACATTCTCAAGCCTGTTCTGGTTATAAATTGGTATGTTTGAGATATCTTACCAGTTAAACCAGACACAGTCTAAATACATCTATCTCTATTTTTTATATTAAAACCCTGTGCTGTGAGATGGCATCTATTATCTGTCTCTTTACATCCAGGCAGAAGTAGCAGTACAGCTGGGATGCAGTATATGAGAAGCATTTTCAAACATCAATAATTTTGAACTGACTTGTACTGCGGTGTCACTCAGTTGACTCAACACTCAGCTCCCATTTGCCAAACAGCATAAAGAATGTCTGACTGGCTCGACGACGATTTCCAGTTCAACGCAGCAGTAATGACTGGGAAGAAAATATTGGATCCTTGGCCTTTTCTTAAAAAGTTTCCCTCTAGCTGAACTGACGCGGCGTCTGCCCCGTGTGTGTGTGTGTGTCTGTGTGTGTCATGTAGGCACAGTGCCAACAACAAAAGCAAACATTTGGAGCAAATCGAGTCTGTAAGTTTGTGTGCGTAGAGTGTGACTGGAGTGATGTAACGTCTCTCATTCCCTCGGGGAGAAGGCCTTTCCAAGTACACACACTGACACCCGGGACAGCTCACTTGCACACAAACACACACAGTGGATAGGAAGTGTATTTTATTGGGTTTGAGAAGCTTGAAGTGAAATCAGAGTGTTGTAAAAAGTCTGCTCGGTATATTAAAGTTTTGTATTGTTTCCACTCAGGGTACATTTGTAGTCAGAAATATCAGAGTAAATATAAGATTTCCTTTCTTCTGCCTCCAGGTCTTCAGTGTTACTGCGACCGCTGCAGTGCCAACTCCAGCTGCACCACCGATGGCGTCTGCTACGTCGCCATTCGCAAGTCAGGCACCCGACTAACCATTGAGCGACGCCAGTGTGTACACGAGAATGAACTGATCCCACGAGACCGACCCTTCTTCTGTGCCCCGTCAGTCAAACAGGATGAGGGCATCTACCCCATGTGCTGTACTGAAGACTACTGCAACAAGGAGCCTGATCTCGAAATCTTTCCGGGTAAGAGTATGAAAAACTGTGGAGTGGGTACCATCTGTTTTTGTCATGAGGAGTTTGAAATCCTGCTTGTTACCATATGTATCTCCTAGTATCAGAATAGCGTCCTACTCCATTTTTGATTATCCTGTTTTCATATTAAATCAGGATTTCAGAAACCAGGATATAACATTTTATCTCAGTTTGAGAAACCAGCTTCTGCTTCAGAAAGACAGAGACAGAAATATAGTTGTGTGACTTCACCTTACAGAGGTTTCTAGCAGCTACAGCTTAGATACACTGGTGCAGCCTCAGCCAAGTGATGCATCAGTAAAACAAACATGCTGGTGGTAACAAGAGTGTGTTACTTCTGAATTGAAGAAGAAACAGAGTTTTGTCTTATGGTAAAGAGCGAATTTCATGTTTAGATGAGAGAAAGCTTTGATCCTCTGGCTCTTTCAGTCAAAGTTGAGGATGTGAAACATTTACTTTTACTCTCTTGTATCTACCACACCATGTTAGCATTCAGTAGCAGTAGGGAGGGATGGAGATGAATACTAAGGTAGTTAAGTATTCGTTGTTACACCAAGTACGAAAATAATGGGCTGTGCATGCTATACAGTGTTAAACTTGTACAGTATACCATAGAAATACTAGTTCAGTCCTTGACCACATGAGACACATCAGAACTGAAATATTTAAAAAAAATTACAAAATAGATACGAGTTTGTACAAGACATTTAACCTATGAATACAAGATTTTTATGGCAGTTGTGCAATGGTGAGGAGTGCAGAGGAACAGCTTTTGCTAACCCCTAGGAGATGCCGAGTTCCAAGCTTGCAGTAGGCCACTTCAAAATTACTGCTGTAAATATTTTAAAAAAAAATCAACATCACCTCCAGCCTGCACAAGTAAAATGTAGGAATCATAAACCAAAGTTCAAATATTCATCCTCTATATACAAGGAAATAAAAAAACACTTTATGTTTAAAAAAGCACAGAAAGTTAAAGTGAGTGTGTATTTTGTTGATTCACCTCTTGTCTCAGACAAGCATCAAAACTGTTTTCCTGCAATTTCTGAGTTGGTTCAAATATTTTTCACATTTTTTAACATTTAGTTGTCATTAGGGGTGGGAATCACTAGTGGCCCCATGATACGATATTATCACGATACTTGGGCCACAATACGAAATTATTGCGATTTTTAACATTTTGCAATACTGTGAGCATTGCTCACATTATATATTGCGATATATGGCGATTTATACAATTTTCAAAAACTGTTAAGCTAATGTAGTCTTTGGCTTTCCTTTATGTTTGTCTTATTTACGCTGTATTTTATTTTCATATAGCACATCTTGAAAACCTTACATGTTTGTTGCACTAACTTTCTCCTGCTCTATTATGCTATCTCTGCCAACCTCACTGGACAAAAAGTTAATTTTTTTTTTCCATTATCATAGATTTGATTTCATATTAGCATTAATTTGAAAAATCGATACTTGGTAAATGAGACGATACGACGTATCACCAGACAAAATTTCGTGATACTGTGTCGTATAGACTTTTTCTCCCACCCTAAGTCGGCAATCTGACTTCAGCTGCAAGTGTACAGCCTCATTCTCTTAAACTCACAGAAAATAAAGATATAAAGTCGTAGTTATTGTCATTGGTGTAGGACACATCTGATCCGAGTTTATAGAAACTCTGTTTTTCAAAAGTGAGTTGTGGCTCCAACTTCGAGGACAATACGCACTTAATGGAAAGTGAGCTGAGTGCTTCTATATGGGTCAAAGCCTCAGCTCAGAGAAAAGTCGAAGGCCAAACAAAAATCTGCTGAGGCGAATACAGATGAGAGTTCTTTGATGTTCTTATGCCGCAGTCAGATGTATAACAAATACCTCTTTACATGGTACTGCTGTCAGCTCACATTCAGAGGCACATTCTTCTTGTGTCAGCTTAAGAGTGGAATTGAGCGTGAAGGCATTCACTGAAAACTCCACATAAAACACTTACTGTCTTACCTACAGTCACACAATCATACACCCTGAAGGTAAGTAATTATACTGAAGTTTGTTGTATCAGTTCTGGTGCTAAAATGTGTGAAGTTGTGTTTTTTTTTCTACCCCTGAGCTGCTGTTTACCGAAGATAACACCAGTGTTGCACAAAGATATTGTCATGCAGCTGGTGCCATGTGTTGTGATCTTATAGAGCAGGAGAGCTAATCCCTCCACCACTGCCTTTACTCTTCTGAGGAGGCTACTGACACACTTCTCAGGGCAGCTTCTTCAGATAAATCCCTCAGACACTCCCTCTCAGCGCTGCCTTCAAAGTGCTTGGAGTATAAGCCCTGTTTAAAACTTCTAGTGGCTACTTTGTCCTTGAAAAACCTGACAGTGGACAACAGATTTTGGATGTAGACGTATTTTGATGCTGCATGTTGTATGGAGCTGTCGATTTGTGAAAACAAGACTTGCTTGTAGCTGAAAAAAGTGAAAGGTTAAAATCCCCTGAGGACACAGAAACAGTATCAGAGTGTCTACATAAGAGTTGTAAATCAGCACCTGCCAAATGCAGGTATTTTTATACAGTGTCGGGTAAATTTGGCAAATCTGCGTGCCACCGTGGCAGGCAGATAAAAGTACGACTGACGAGGGAGATTTGTAAAACACAACAGCACACTCAGACTCAAATGCTCCCTGACAGTGCCTCCTCTTCGTGTCACAGCTCACGTTTATGTCTACAGTGACAGTGCATAGTGCCTCAGCCACCAGGTAAACATCTGTTCTCTCTCTTCAGGCATGAAGTCAGCCAATAAAATCAGAGTGAAGTGGGTGTGCTCATTTGCAGTGAGTCTATCTAAGGGCTCTTACAGGGACTATGTGCAGGACTGGAGTTGGGTTTTGATTTGGGCCCAGCACAGCAAGGATAAATATCTCAATTATATTGACCCTGTCTCCTAAAGGTGTGTTTTAAATGATGCCTAGTGTATTTTCAGCCTAAGACAATCAAAAGAAGCAGGGAGTGACGGTAAATTCAAACCAAGAGCCTGTGGAGTCAATCGAAACAGTTGGAAACGTACCTCAGGTAATTTAATGACAAATGCACTCTGACATTTTTGCAAATTTGTTGTGGTCGCCAAGTAAGATAGCTGCTCCGTGCAAAGTCAACATACTTTGCCTTTGCCTTTCAAAATACGTCCATACTGTACTTTTCAGATGTTTTGGTGTCTAGTCTGTCCGCTCAGTGAAGTTTTGCTCTACCATGTCCTCCATTTTTGTGGGATAACTTTACTGGTTTAGTTTCAAGAGTGGATAAATTGGCTAAATTTTGATAAGAGCTCCCTCTGCTGGAACTCTCCCCCTAGAGTTCCAATGAAGGGTTCGAAAAATCGGACTTACAGTGAACTAGCAAAAAAGTACAGAAGAGCAACTCAACTTTAAACTCCACAGAACCAGTCACAAGCAATAGCATACTGAGAAATGAACCCCTAATGACTTCAACAACACCCCAAAACACGCCTCAATTATCTAAATGTAAGCTTGTTTATAGGGGGTTTACTCACAAAAAAGCAATAAAGCAAAGAAAGACGCTTTTGAAACAGATACATTTTCAAAGCATGTTTTTATGTGAAAGAATGGTCGATGAAAAGATACGGCTTCATAACTTAGATTTTGCTCACTTGAAGATTCTTTAATGTGGACTTTAATGACGGTAAAGCTTTATCTGGGTGTCTGACCCAGATAGATAGGCGGGTAGGCACACAGGCACTGTCGGTAAACTTGTATTTTGTTTGAACCGTGCGGGTTACCTGTTTACAGAACAAACAGCACATTGTCACAACACAGCATCATATTTCGTCATCTGTCTGCCTCGTTTCCTTTATTTAATTTAGATACAAGGCAGAGTTCACAATGCTGAGATTTACATGGACTTTGGAGTGACTGAACTTTTATGAGGTACAAAGTACACATCTCCAAAAAGATGAGTTTGTCTCTCCGTGACCAGCTTGGTTATGAAACAATCAGACATTTGATTTCGTTTAAATAATTGTCTGTGACTTTGCTGATGTCACCACACAGTTGAGTCTCTGAATTACAGTGCTCGCCCTCTCTTTACAAAAACACACCAAGTCCAAATATGAATAGGAAATGGCTTTTTTTTTTTTTTTTTTTTTAAATAGGTACCATCATCAGTTTGTTTGGTTGGACTGCCACCATGTTTTATCAACCACAATAATTCCTTAACTAAAGAAGACCAATCAATAAAAACTAATTGGAAAAAAAGATTTGATCTGCTTAGCTGAATTTCCTTTTGGGGGCCATTTAACTTCATCCTTGTCTTTGTCTTCTTCTTTGTGTAAGAGAGGAATTCACAGAAATGTTGCTCGTTATCATCAGAAAACACTATTTTAATTCATACAGTGATCTGTTATGTTCACAGTAGGTGGCTACCTTTGGAGAACGTAATATAAACACGATGAAAAAATAAATGCAGTACGCATTTATCAAAATTATTTGGGAATAAGCAGATGTTCTAAAAGTGTTTTGATTTGTGTTTAATGGTAATCAGATTATTGATCGCTCAACCCTGTGGCTCTGTGGGCTGGTGGGGCGGAAAGCAGCAGCACTACAGCAGAGATGACGCTTGTTCAGAGCATGGAGCAGAGAGAGACGGCTTGTTTAGCTGTAGGAATAAACCCTGTTTACATCATTGCATGTGTACTCAGTCCTCAGGAGCAGATTTGCGCACATGCATTCGCAATCGACACAAGCAGATTGTGGTCCACGGCTTTGCATGTAATTATTTTTTCTTTACCTGGGCACCACGGGGATCTGTCCATGTGTTTTAACAAGAGGTCTAACTAATCCATAGGAGACAGGGTTACCCACCGAAGCTGAGGTTTTTTGACTCCGCTGACCACCACGCACAGCAGGAGCTGCCTTAATGACATCCAGTAAGGGCTCAGACTGTTAGAGCACCAACGGGGATCTGGAGGCGAGAGTGTCACACCAACGCTTTCAGGAGAAAAAAAACATAAATTTTGTCTTAATTCTACACCCAAAATAACTTCTTGCCGCATCAGAAAGTTGCTCTTTCTACTCCTCTCTTTGCATCACTCCCAAGGAAAGACATGTTTACACCTCCTTATATGGTGTTCATTGGCTGTTCATGGGTGGGGATTTATACTGAATAGTGGCTCTTAGGAGTTCACTGTCACTTAACTAACAATTGGCATTCGTGAACTAAATCTACACATAAATTCACTCAAGTTTCATGAATCAGACTCATTATAAGCAGTGGTCCATCACAGAGAGCGCTGTGGTTAAAACCTCGGACGTGTTGATATTGTTGTTCTCTAGCTGCCCCATGCCGGGGCTCTGGGAAACTGAATCACCCAAACAAATCAACAAGAGCTTGTGAGGAAACTCGGCACGTTGTCAGCAGGGATCTGAATTTTTAGCTTTTCTTTTTGACAGTGTATAAAAAAATGATAAGGCCTTTTGTGTGAGAGTTATTTTGATGCAGGCCTACGCACCTGAGTCTAGTGATACTGCCAGCAGTCATAAGATGAATGGTGTGTTTTTGCTGACATGTTAAAGCCAATGTTAAAAATATAACCGTTAAAAAGGGGGGTGCTTCTTTTTTAACAATGACTCAACAAAATGAAAGACAACTCTGAGTCAGGTACTTTTTGTTTATAACTGCAGGATTTTAGACATTATCTCCTGAAAAGAATGCCATTAATCAATTAACTACTGTGTTGAAAGGTAAAAATTCATTTATTGGTGTGCTGTCAACAACTACATCATTGTCACTGCATTTGTGTTTATGTACATGAAATACTTACAAGGTGTCTCACAGTTAAGTTTGTAAAGTCAAAGAGAGGTACTGGTTTGTGCTCAAGTTCTCTTTTTTTCTGTGCAGCTCCATTTTTAAAAGTTATAAGGGGGTTCATGTTTTCTATGATTAGTACTTGATACAGCCTATGGGCGTATGAAGATAGCATAGCTCACCTGCTGTTTGAGCTGAGCGTCATCATAGCGTCTCTCCCGCCCAATGCGTACAATGCTACTGCGCAAGTGGTGGTTCCAGGGAGAAAATCCTGGAATGACCAAGACTTTAAAATTCGGCTTCAAATTCGTGTAATGATGGGAGGCGGAGCCACGTTGTTCACATTATATGCAGCCAATAGCTCAAACAGTATGATCAATACTCTTTTTAGAGCAAAGGAATCAAGTACCCTCTAATAACGGTGATACTTTGTAGACAATCCAACATACAGTAAAAAGGGGGGGTCCATTCAAATCCAGTAAAGAAATCTGCTCCATACTGGTTTTCTAAAATACTGGCTCACTGTGAAACAGGCTTCAATAAAATTCAACATGGTGTTAAAAATAATTTGCAGTCATAAACACAACTTGATGAAAGATGAAAATGACCCTGATTTAAAGGCCACAGTGTTATTCTGTTCATCAAGTAAATAATACTGTAACCTTGTGTACTAATGCAGCTTTATCACAAAGTAAATGGTTCTTTAAGCCCAGACATGTTTCGTGTTAGTCTGTGAAAGTTTATTGTCAGTCATTAAAAATTCTCAGAAGTGAAGACCTTAATCCCACACACTAGCCATCTAATTAAAGAAAGTCCCAGTAACTCCAGCTGAGTTGACCATCAAATTCAAATGACCAAATTAAGGGATGTTTTTCTGAGAGTTTAACTTGAGATTTGTTTTCATGTTTTTATTCATTAGTGGTTTTAGAGTAGTTTCTATGCCTCAAGGTAGAGTTTATTTATTCATGTTTTAAAATGCCTTTTTAAGATTACGTTCACTGATGACAAATTTCATCCAATTTTGTTGCTTTCTATCTTGAGCACTACACCAACAATAAGAATATACAAGGTTTCGTAACATAATGATGAGTTTTGGAAGACGGAAGAAAAGAATTGGTTTTAAAAACTTTTAAAAATCCAATTAATCCATGAAGTGGTCCTGTAGGATGGTTTGAATACAAGGCTTTGTATAACAAAGACTCTAATGACAGGTGCAATTTGTTATTGTCATATGGTTCACATTGCATTACACAACAGGCAGCTGTTAATGGTGTGTGGAAGGGATGGGCGATATAGGCTAAAAAAAAATCATCACGAATCATCATTCATCACATCAAGAATTTTCTGACGATAAATCGTGAACAATAACTTATTGCCCATCCTTAGTGTGTCGATCAGATTAAACACAGTCAATTTAGTGTAACTTGTATTCATGCTGACAGATTTTTGTATATCCAGAAAAATGCTTCCCAGCAGAAAAGCAAAAACAACTAGTGTGACCATCTTACACTCAGTCAGTTTAATAACCCTTTGTACAGCTGAATGATAAAAAATGCAATGCATGATTCTTTACCCCAACTGTAAACAATGACATTGAGAATTATTGTAGGATAAACATCTTTGGTTCGAGTGGAAGTTTTAATTAAACCCCACGAGAATAAAAACGTCATTGATCCGCAAAATCAATTTGAAATTCCATCACTTGGTAACATTATTTACCATCCGCACTTCTTCTCCAGCCGTCCGCATTAACGTAATGGAGACATTTGTTTGAATGCCAAAAAGCCATTTATTTGATGAATACTGCAGATGAAGCAAGCAGCGTTACACATCCCATGCTGGAAAAGGGCCTTTGATAGATAACATTGGGCGTCACCATCACCAAGAGGAAAATTGCTTGCACATAGTAGGATACTTGTATTTTTGATTTGTTTTGATAGGTGACGGATAAATCACAAATATGAGTAAAGTTGTGTTTGTCTCCGTGGATACAGAGCAGCAACACGATGGCTGGCAGGCATTTGGAACAAGTCATTTAGAGGCTTTGCTGAGGCTGTGTTTGCATCAATTTACAAAACAGTGTAATAGGTGACACTTGTACACTTATGACTTCCTTTCATCCGCCCGCCTTCATCCATCACACAGACAGTAATGAACTATTCAGGGAAGCTTTATTCACCTCTTAAAGAAAATTGATGTTTACCCCCATGCCTCATCCCTCGCTGTTTACTATAATGAACAGAATAGTTTTATGTATGGCTCTGAGGGGATGAATATACATTTTGATTGTGATTAACAGTCAAAATAGTGACAAATACAGACTCTGTTTGTAATACTTCTGCTCAGTTATACCGAAGGTCATTCAGAATTTGAATGTGTCCCAGCATGCATTGAGTCAAAGGCAAAGAAGTACTTAGACAAAGACATCTGAAAATATTGATGAGTCAAGTTTTCTGGGTCATCTGTCACATCTGCGTTCAGACTACTTCTTCTGTCTTCATTTACTTCAGTAGATGGATGGAGACATTGTAGTAGCTGCCTCTTTGTACCATGTGTGTGTGTGAGCGTGCTAGTGTGTATGTACGCTACAGGCCAAATCTCCCATCACTCAGGCAGATGGAATGTGCCCCCGCACCACTTGGCCTGTTAGCTTCCTGGCTGGAGTCTAGCACTTTAGACTGCCACGTGCCAGCCATCAGTATGCTGGAAGTTAACCTTCTCAACAGCATGTGGCCTCACTTGATCTCTCACATGTTGGTAATGTCTTTTATGTCATGTTGATCTTGGTGGCAGGCTTAACTAACTACACCCGCAGGTCATTTTTAATGTGTCATATTGTTAACCCTCTGTCTGTCCTTGTCTTTGTTCTCTCCCACAGTTCCCACAGCTAAGACTCCTCCTCTGGGCCCTGTAGCCCTCGCCGCGGTCATCGCCGGCCCGGTGTGTTTGCTCTGCCTGTTGCTGGTGTTGGCGTTTTATGTTTGCCACAGCCACAGAGGTCTGGGGGCGGGGGGTGCAGCCCATCACCACCACCATCATCGGGTGCCTAATGAAGAGGACCCCTCTATGGATCACCCCTTCATCACTGTGGGAACAACCCTAAAGGACCTCATCTATGACATGACCACCTCAGGCTCTGGCTCAGGTACCATGATGCTGTTTTTAGCTGTATTAGATAGGGGTGTCCCGATACAGCTTTTTTTACTTGCGTTACAATACGGATATTGTAGCCTTCAGTATCAGCCGATACCAATATTAAGTTTTTATAGTTGAATGGACTGCTTGTATCGGAGTGCTGATATCGGAGATTTTAGATGCAGGTTTGATATAGTCCAATATGTGTTTTTTTGGCTGATATCGGACTGATATCAATATCTTATCGGGACAGCCCTAGTATTAGATGGCCCAGGTGTGATTGCCTTTGCTTATCAGGTATATTTGCTCACATCTAAAGGCTAAACTATACTAGTACCACCCAGTTTTACTCAGCAGTGATTACAGATCAGCTCCACAGTTTTTGCCTCACAGAATTACAACTTGCATTAAAGCGTTTTAACCTGTGTGCAGAGGTCCTCACAGGTCGACCCGCTTCCGTGTGTCCTTGACCACTTCCTAGAAGTAATGGATTGGTCCAAATAATCCATGCGTGCTTTGATTCTGGCTGCTCTGTGTGTCAGTAGCTATGCTCACATGGAGCCTTTTATGCATATCTTTCCAAAAAAAGAAAACCACTGGGGAGGCTTGCTTGTAACCTGATAAGAAAAACTCAAAGTTTATAACACTTCATATAAAATAAGGTTCTCATATTCTCAGTATTATAACTGAACCAGCATCCACAGTCCAATACCAGCTTGTGAGTTGATTTTTTTTTTCTTCCTTTTTTGGAACAACTACCTTCCAATTTGTTCATAAATCAAATTTCTCTCTAAATTGGCTCGGTTTATGTGTGCCTGTGACTCCACACACAGGGAAGAGGACACTCTTCCTTTGCAAGTAAATATCCACTCACTATGCAGTGAAGTTGACGGTGCTGACAGCGCTGGTTTCACACAGTACTTTGACATGGTGAGCAGTAAGGGGAGAAAAACAAGGCAGCACTGGCATCCGTCTGCGACTGCAAGTCCGCGGCCAGAATGGTTGTATAGAAGCCGGACAGCAGGGCAGGTAACATTGTTCTTCGCGGACGTTTTCCATCACACATACCCCACTATTTGGGACAGACTGTAAAACATGACAAGGACAGCAGGGTTGGTGGTTGAAGATGTAGCATTTTGTCATCTAACTAAAGTACCCCCAGACACGATCTCCTGAAAAGCTCTCTGACAGCTGGACTGATTTGAAAACAGTGACCAAAAGACCAAGGTACATATTGAGCCGTGGGGTAAAATATATCGTAGCATCCCTGATGAAACCTGTCCGAGCAGAATAATGATCCTCATACAGTAGCTGAATCTTCCCAGCAAACAGACCTACAGTGTCTGTCTTTTAAAAAGCTTATCAAGTACACCACAGAGGGCTATTACTGGATTGGTCAGTTGGAAAAGGTTAATGCTGGGAAAGATGATTGACACATGAAAAGAGAAATGACATGCATGCTTTCTGTTCCCTTTGGACTTAGTTGCCTTTTTTTAGCTGTTTGAGTGTACACCGTGTCAGTGCACATGTACAGCAGTAAGAGCCTGCAACTGTGAACACAGTAAAGTAAAGGTCTACTGTCATGACTGGCTGGCCCAGATTTTAGCTGTGTTACTGCATAAACACACATGTACACTCACACACCAGACACACACACACACACAACTACTCTGGCAAAAGCTGTTCTTTATCCTTGCCATAAATTAGCACCTCTCTGTGGAGACTGGCACCTCCAGCACTCTGCCAAGGAGAGACTTGGATTGAGTTTTTCTAGCTATTTGCACCATATTGCTCAATATGCAACTGTGCATGTGCATTTGTGTTGTGTGTGTGTGCGCGCGCGTGTGTGTTTTGCCAGATCTGCGTGGGCTGTTGTAATCACTATGCTGAGTCAGAATTTGTGTTGGGTGTTAAATAGAGGAGCATTTTCACTCCACTGTCATTTTCTGTCTTTATCAGCACTTTTCCAAATATTTGATTTAACATGGTCGCAGTTTTATTTCAAATACATGGAAAATTACAAAAAAAAGTGGTTGAAAGAGAACAACACATGCGCTTTGATTCAACTCATTAAATTAGGGTGAAAGATGTATTGTTTTATTATTATAAGATGTTAATTACAAGGAGCTGCATGATCTGGATTGGCATATTTTTGATCGTTGTATTACAGGATGCGCAGGAGGATTATCCAAGAAACAGACTTTAGATACTTTAAAGGGAAAGAATATTATTATGAAGAACAGATTTGCAAAAAAAACCATTGAAGTTTCCCTTTAAGTTTCCATTTATGCGTTCAGCATTTTGAGGACTGGGAAATCAGGTTCATTTATTTTTAATCACTGCTGCTGAAGTGATGAGAATGAAAGACACCATTGCAGCTTGGATGCCAAAGGTTATATGCATTGTGTTAAACAGAATTAAGATATCACCCAAGTACTTTGAGTTTGAGCTAACACAAGCTGACTACCTGTAACAGTATTGCAGAAGCCAGGAGGCACTATCATTGATCATGCATATCCCCACAGACCTGTAAATTACACTCAAGTGTGGAAGTAAACAATGTTGCTAATCAGGTGCCAACTGGCTGCAGACCAGTCAACATGTGGAAGGGTACAAGAGATGTCATCAAGATGCATGTTGTTCATCTTGATGATGTTATCAGGAAGTCCCCAGTTAGTGCAAATGCTGTTACACCAACTGTGATTCATTAGATGTTGGTGAGTAATCAGTCATATTTAGAAGGTAAACCCTCTGTATTGTATTGTAGAGTGTGCAAATCTCGGCAGATCAGTGAGTAGTCAGTTATATCAAAGAATCCACTCACCATTTGGCAGTGATAAGCTATCCCATACTTAAATCTTGAAGACTAAAAAAATGGCTTTTTCATTTTAAAGCCTCACCTTTTAGTTATTGTTTTAGTCTACAGTGGTGTAACAGTACAGCATTTATTCTAATGACTATTGTAAACCAAGTCAAGATCATAAAGTAGATTTCATTTCATCTATTTGAGAATTGTTTTATTTTATTGATATGGACGATAAACTGCTTTAAAATCTGAGATAAAGGAATTTTTGAACACATGGTTCATAATGAGATAATTAAAATTCAGCAATAAAAAGATGGTTTTTTTTGACAGCTCTATTTTTTATACGCCAGATTATAGCAGGGAAAATAGCAATGTCTGTTTTTATTTTTCGAGTTTCACACAGCCCATTAAATTTATCACTTCTTTACAGTGTGTGATAATTCCAGGTCATGATTTTATACCCACTGCAGGTATTTTGCTCTGGATAAATGATACAAACCCACAACAAGTCATCTTTAAAGAACAACGCAACTTTGCATTTAACCAAACCTTACAATGAGAGTTAGGATGTAATTGCAGCAGTGTTTTGTCTGGATTACAGCCTGATCTATTAATTAGGCCTTAACAAGGCTCAAACATGTTTGCTGTAGACAGTCAGGGGGGAAGATAGAGGACTTCTTGTTGCTCTTAAATAATTAAGAGAACAGCTGTAATATAACGAGAAAATGATGCAACGTTATAACCTCAAGTCATCCCTGTTGGAGGGAGGGGAAATGATTAGGATTTAATATGAGCTGGTGTGGTGTGGGGGACGGAAATTCAGAATGTAAATTTCTACATATCTCTAGTGTCATTGGTGCCATTTATTACAAATCAGACTAAGACATATCCTTTTACTGCAGCTCCCGTAACGATCAGGGAACTGAATAGCAAATGATCTGATATTGATGTAGTCCATTGTCATGTCGGTAATGTACAAGCCAAATTCCTTTAGCGTTGAGACTCTGAGTTGGTATTAACAGGATTTTATTTATTTATTTAATTTAATTTTGCAAAGCTATTATTTAGTTGAGCATTTGAAATGTTGAAATAACATATATCTTTTTATTTTTTCCTGGGGCATCTTTTAACCATTTACATTACTTTTTTAAAGGCTAATTACATGACCTATTATATATTTCTTCTTATTATTATTATCATTATTTTTATTATTATTATTATTATTATTATTATTATTATTATTTTAATTTGGAAAGCTACTTTTTTTTTAGGAAATAGTTTAGCCATTTCGTAATCATTTTTTCCCCCTGTGTGAATTTGCGGAAATTTTTAGGATTTTGTCAACTGCAGGTCTGGAGAAATCTTAACAAAGCTGATAACTGATTGTGGGTAGCTGTGATTTTTTTTGGCCTCAGGCAACACTGCACCAATAAACAGCCATGACTCTGTAGTGCAAATCTCTGCATGGGCTCAATCACATCCATAACTGTCTGTGAACACAGTTTGTTTCTACACCCACAGATGCAGGTTAAAACAGCCACATACTTAGTTCTTAAGAGATGAGATTCTGAAACATGTTGGTGGCATCAATTAGTATTCCTAAGATGTTCCATGAAATAATCAAATTTTTCTGTTTTTGGCACATGGCCTTTGGACTCGATTAGAAATAGAGTTGGCATAAGTTGTAAATGATCAAATTCTGTTTTATTAACATTATTAACAGTGTCCCGACCTTTCTGGAATTAGGGTTATAAACGTGTGTCACAGTCAAGCTTTTATACCTTTTGTGTTGTTTCATCTGAATATGAATTGTCTTTTAAGCATCTTCTCATTGCTGCAGTTTATTTCTTTAATATTTCAGCTGTATTTGACTTTTTCAGACATGTGAACAGGTAAAATTGTCAGAATAATTTCCCTTCTAAACAGCAGCTTTGAGGTGAATTTGATGTCCTGTTACCTTTATAAGTTATATCTTCTTTCCTCATCCTCCATTGTTCTTTCCGCTTGACCCATTTTCATGTTTCTTCTCTGATGTTTCATCACCCTTTACAGTCAGCTGTGGGGAGGTTTTTGTTTATTTATCTTCTTTATTCTCTTTAGGCCTGCCACTGCTGGTCCAGAGAACCATCGCCAGGACCATCATCCTTCAAGAGAGCATTGGGAAGGGGCGCTTTGGGGAGGTGTGGCGAGGAAAATGGCGTGGTGAAGAGGTAGCTGTGAAGATCTTCTCCTCCCGTGAGGAGCGCTCCTGGTTTCGCGAGGCTGAGATTTATCAGACTGTGATGCTGAGGCACGAGAACATTCTGGGCTTCATCGCTGCAGACAACAAAGGTGAGAAACCCTTAGAAGACCCCTGGGAGGTCTGACTGACATGAGGCCGCGCTTTCAGCTGTGGGGAAGGGGTGTGTGTTTGTACACAGTGAGCAAGAATGAAATATAAAGCAGACCAGAGCCACTTGGTAGATGTAAGGAAAACATAGGAAGAAACCGATGAAAAACATCCTCATCAGGCTGATCCCCCTGTCTGCAGTGCCAGTGTGGGCTTCTCTGTTTACATTGAACCTTGAGCTGTCAGAGCAGCAATGCAGCTCCACTGAAGTTGAAGTCTGTGCATGCGAGTTTTCAATGTGAATAGACAGGCTGGTAGACAGTGTGGGGGAGTAACAGTTCACAATGAAGGCCAAGCATACATTACACAGTCTAACAACTCCAACGACACTCACACACACACACACTCTCACACATAGAAACCTGAGAGCCCTGTGCCCCTGAGCAAATTGATTTTTTCTGTCCACTACACTTTCACTGACTGGAGGTTTTGCAGGTCTGTCAAAATACAGTATGTGTTATGTATGACATGGACATTAATGTTGAACTTGATTTTCTCTCTTCAAAGAAATGCACCTTAACAAAAAATAAACTCTCACCATGTGTACAACTTTCTGTGGCTCGGTCGAAAACCTCTGTATTCATCAGCTCCACCGAGTTCACTGATGAGTGCTACTGTTAAGTGTGTTCGATGGCCTACATATTTGACACCACTCACTGCTCGGACCTGGCTCAAACTTCACAATATCACCAAGGTTGACAGGACAGAGCTTTAAAATGAACACTGAGAGGTATTTTTGAAATAGATCATAAACAAACAAACAAGGGCTGCAAGTTTAAATCAATCCAAAAATAAAATCTAGATTAACTCAATTTTAGATTTCGATTTCAGTTTTTTATTCAGTGACAACTTCACCAAACTTCTCAAAACAAAACCCACTGAAAACAATGTAGTGCATATGCCAAGCCAGTAAGTGGCAATGTAACGCTGCACAGGAAATGCACAAAAGACAAAAGAAGAGTATGGAGAATGTGTATAAAGGTTGTTTTGGCCAGACACATGCTGGGGCCATAAAAGAGTTACGCTGTGTGTAACAATTGTTTATAAAGAGATGCAGATATACATCCACATGGAGATCAAATGAAAGCCGTTTCCGAATGGATAAAACGCCAATACGAGAAGAAACTTTTGCGTTTACTCCTGAATTTGTTTCCGCGTGGGCAGGTTGATACCGCCTTCAGACAGACTTTACAGCGGGGAGTGGTCTGCTCTTCATCCAAAACTGCGAAGCCGCACCAATTCCACACGACTGACTTGCTCTTGCCCTATTCAGCCACAAAATTATCGCTGTCTTGGCAAACACCATGTTTGTTTACATGGTTGTGTGTGGTAACTGGAGAGCGCTCCCGCAGGAAGAGGGAGCCTATGGAAAATAGTTTTGATGATTTAAATTCTTTTAACATCGTCATAATCAAATAATCCCGTTTAAAATCAATTAATCATGCAGCCCTACAAACAACTGTTTCTAAACAGCTGGTCTCTGACTATTGGGATGAAGTGTTTGGCATGAGAATGAAGCACTGAGTCATCAAATCAACATGGAGGATCACCCTCAGGTTTTGTTTTTCATCAACAGTGTAAAAGACATATTTTCTTGTCATGATAAGTAATTTCCCTGCTAATTTATATTGTGTAGAGATATCAAATCCAACAGAGTCGTAGTCGGCCTAGTAGCAAAACACTTGTAACAAGCACCATGATGTTAATTGGGTTTCAGTTAAATCTGACAATTTCTGTTCTCTCTAATGAAATAATGACAAGAGTTCTTAAGACATCATAAAAGTAGGCTGTCAGTGTTAATAATAGAGAGTTCAAAATCAGATACCCAAGTGCAAAGAACTGATAAATAGTAATGATAACTTGTCTTATGATGTTTTGTAATGAAACTATTACATCAAAATGATGACTCTCACATGCGCAAACAGAAACAGCCTTCACACCTGAACTCTCTGAGGTCGTCTAATGTCTCTCTGAACAACTAATGGTGAGAGTTGGATATGGATGTAAGTGAAAGACACCAGTTGGGGGGATGTAACTTTAGACAAATGGGTGTCAGACTGTAAATGCGGTGGGTAACAAGTTGACCATTCTGTCTGAGATCAGATGAGACAAGATTCTCCAGAGTCAGCACCTGTGAACCTGAAACTCCCTGAAGCTTGGTTGGCGTTTGATCACGCCATAGCGATTGCAATGAGCTTGATTATTTTTCTTTGCATTTCATATGCAAGACATGTCTCCCCATCTACTTTATATGAGACATACTGAAGGGAAAAGTAAGTGGTGCAGATTGATAGGAATGTAAGGAAATGTTGGCATAATCTATCCTCACTGTTTCCATGGCAAAACTATAGTTCTTATTCACTATCCTTAAAGCATTATGGGAACTCTTTGAGTGAATCATCTTGGAATCAAAGGATGTTTTGAGCAAATCAAATGGCAGGTGAGAGATGTAGAAATAATGACCGGAACTCAAAAATCTTACCTTTAGACCTGAAGCCTACATATGGTGACTGTTGTTTACGATTAAATCACTCAGGCGCCTGTGTTTCATAATATATTGATCTTTTGTTTTCAAAGAGCAGAGCAAGGACAGAGCACCCTTCGTTTTTTAACGTTTTATCTCCCTGCTCTTCTTTCCTGTGTGCAGATAACGGGACATGGACTCAGCTGTGGCTGGTTTCTGATTACCATGAACACGGCTCTCTGTTCGACTACCTGAACCGCTACACCGTCACTGTGGAGGGCATGATCAAGCTGTCCTTGTCCACAGCCAGCGGCCTCGCTCACCTTCACATGGAGATAGTGGGAACGCAAGGTAAAAAAGACACACTCAAAGAAACGTCACATTCAAGCTAGGGGTTCTTTCTTTCTTTTTCTTCTTCTTTTCTTTTAGATAATCTTTTTATTTGGATTTCTTTCAAATCATGCAACCCTTTTAAATCTATTACTTAAAAAATAGAAACATGTCTGTATAAGACAAACCAGAAATATAAAATGAAGACAACAAGGAGCAGAAGGAAGTGGGCAGTCTCTAATTAATTAAAGTGCTCGGGATGCAGAAAAAGGAAGAAATTAAGTTTAAATGGAGTCCTTAAAGTGTTGTCATCGGTTTAAGGAGGCATTACTTCTTGTTCTAGATTCATATGAGAAAGCTTTTGCTTGAGATTTGGTCACTTTCAGTGTTTCTAAGAACTGTATCAAAATGGTAGGTACAATATTGATGCTGAAGAGCTAAAAGTAGAAATGTTAGTCTCTACTCCTCCCGGGTGAATGCACATCTATCAGTGACTCATGCAGAGGGTCTCTACGAGGTCTGTCCCATCGGGTAGTAGCAGATTAAGTGACATTGAAAATACTGAAATCGGGGTGTCCAACTGAGTGCCTCAATAAAGCAGTAGTAAGCAGGTGGCTCCAGGGAGGCAGAGCGTGCAGCTCTATCATTTATTCAATCCCCCGGAGCAAGGATTCAGGGTAAACTAGCCCTCTGTGAAAGTGAATTTTTCAACCCCTGAAAGTTGTCACCGTAGGAAATATGTTACCCTCATCACAGAATAATAGAAATTCAGCATCAGTGTGACAAAGCAACCCAATACAAATGATCAAATGTATTCATTTGATCATCCAACTCTGCATGAAGCCTTTCAACATCTTTTTATCCAACACTGCTTCAGGACGGCCTCATTTAAAATGAATCAAACCTTGCTCTACTTTCGAACGCTGCATACAGAATAATCGCAGTCAACTCCGGCTGCTATTAAACCCAACAGAAAAAAAAAAAAGATCCAACTCTCAGTCACTAGTGAGCGGTTTGAATGAGATGACATGAGGGAGCATTTAGAGATGTGCTCAAGGTTGGGTCGGTAAAAGGAGAATTAGACCGAAACAAATGTCATCTTTGCCTTTCTGAGTTAAATGTGATGTTGAAAGGCTTCCTGTTTATCAAAAGATAGAATTGTTCATTCTGTTTGAAATAGTCCCTTATTAAACCATAAAATCACACTAATTCTGTGTAAAACATCCCCAATTCATCTGTGTAGCCAGCAAGGTTAGAGCGATCCAGTTCAGTTATTAATTTCACTTTATCAAAGTGTATCTAGGCACTCTGATCTCCTCCTAACAGCTCCCTTTTTCTAAATGTACCCAGTTTACTACAGCTACATTCATGCAGCGAGTGTGAAAGAGGATTTAAGGGTCACATATCTGAAGAGGTGTGCAGCATTGACAAGAAATGCTGTCTCAGTGTTTGGAAGGATTTTTTAAAAACTACAATCAATATTTTTTGCATTCCTCAAAACTTTCTTAAGTTTATAATCCACGAGAAAAAAAAGGGGGAGGGAAATTTTAAAAAATTTGATATGATCTGAATGATGATCTGAATGAACTAAGATCTATATGTATATTTATATGTATGCACATATATATTTACTTTTCTTTCTTAATTTCATTTATTTATTTTTCCTTTGTCCCTTTGTTCTGTAGCATTATTCTTTTTACTTTTATTAGTTAGTTTTATTATTTCCAAATGTTATCACCTTCACCTTCACAAATACATGCACTCATATGTAGGCATTCACACACAAACTCTCTGTCACACACACAAACTCTCTCTCTCACACACAAAGGGGGTGAAGTGTTATCCTAGCCCCACAAATAAGTAAACTACGCCTACCAGCACATGAAATACAACTAATACCTGCTCGTCTCTGTCTTGTCTTGTCTCCCCCATCTGTCTCTTAGTTTGTTGTCCCTCACCTGTCATGTTCTGTTTTGCATCACTTAATTAAAAATAAATTTTAAAAAAGTCTATATTCCACAGGAACTGTGTTAAGCGGGTGTCAGATTTTTTTATTTTTTATTTTTTTGCAAAAAATAATAAACATACTCTCTATTGTCATTTTACACATTGTTAAAAAAAAAAACAAGATATGGATACGATTTTATCCACTTTATTTCATATAAATGTACTTTTGCCTTACGGCTTGAGAAACCTACTTGTATAAACCTTTAATAAGCGGACACTGTCAGGCTCGTCTTGAAATGTTTGATGCTTTGCCTGCAGGTAAGCCAGCCATTGCCCACAGAGACCTCAAGTCAAAGAACATCCTGGTGAAGAAGAACGGGACCTGCTGTATCGCTGACCTGGGTCTAGCTGTCCGCCATGACTCAGCCACCGACACTATTGACATCGCTCCAAACCACAGAGTGGGAACCAAAAGGTAAGTCCATGCCGCACAGACTCACTTTCTTTTTTAACCAAGAAACAGATTTTTTTAATCTTTTCTAGAAGTTATGATTTAGCGTGGCAATCCTCAACCATCTGCATCTGTATGCACTGTAGTGCTGGCAGGAGGTAACTGGAACCCTCCAGCTCAAGTGTTTTGGCTGCCTTTCATAATGACCTGAGTGTCCTTTTGTAATAAGCTCAACTCACTGGCGTTGTCACTGTGAAGGAGCATCGTGGGTATTTTTTGTAGCACAAGACTGAGTTTGATAGAGTCATCACAGAGGATTGGGTTGTAAACAAAGAAGTCAGGTCTTTAAAATTTCAGGCTGTCTGCCCTGGCAGTACAGACTCAAAGAGGACACTCAGGATTGATCAGGACTTCATCTCTGATCACATCAGGCTTGTCTTTTTTGTCTACCCTGGTTGTGTCATTGTTGCTCGAACAAACATTGTTTTCAGGGACAGATTGAGTAACTCAGGACCTGAGGACTTGATAGACTTTGAAATGAACTGTGTCCTGACTGTCCAAACTCTGTTTTCAAGAAACCAAGAAGTGTTCTTTACTTTTTTCTTTTTCTCTTTTCTCCTTTCACCAGCTGAACAAAAGAAATCAAAACTAATACTAAAGGATCATCCTAATATGTCGTGGGTAGTTCCAGTTATATCAACACTGTGATAAAAAGATGAAGGATGAGTCAGCAATAAATTAATTTTATAAACTTAAAAAACATTACAAGCTCCACTTATGTTGATTTGTTCTGTAGCTTTGGCTAAGTTTCCCTCTATTAACAGAAATTAAGTCAGCAACAGCTTAAAGAGATTTTTAAACAGCTTCAAATTGATTAAGAAAATTAAGAAAATTAGTGCAAACTGTATTAAAAAACAATTCTTGCAATTTACATAACATCTTCAGAGAGATGACAGCAGAATCAGCAAAGCCCCTTGTTAGCTCACCTCAAGCTACACTGGCAGCTGCTTGTCGTGTTCAAATTAATGAGTAAAGCTGCTGAAATAAATCTGAAGGTAGTTTTAATAAAAGCAGAGAGAGTATTTGTGTTTTAACACATACAATCATGTGTAAGATTAAAGAGTACCACCGTTAACATAGGTCCAAAGTAACTCCATGTCATGTTTTCATGATATATCGGTGTGTAGTAAGTGCAAAGTCTTATTATTACTGGTTTTCTTTTAAACCACCCAGCTGTGTCTAACTTTATTCTGATTTGTCAGATTGCCTTCATAACGGATATTAATTTTGAGTAGCAAAAAGAACACCAGGTACAGTCTGAGCACTCATGTCACTCACCAAATGCTAAGTAGCCCTGGCCCTGGCTTGACGTTTAATGGTCAGAATTTATCTTGTTACTTTAATTGTTTCAAAATTACCAGTTGGATAGACAACTTAATGATATTTCAGATAGCTTAGAAAACTGACAAAGACACCAAAAATTAAAGGAGGGCATGGACTGGCAGGGTTATGAGGTTGGTTGAGTGAGAAGTCCAACAGAAAAGTCACAAGGACCTTATACAGGTGCTGCTAAAACTTCTAATAGAGGGGGGGAAAAAAAACAATCTTTACAGTTGACTGTGAATGAAAATGTAAGGTTAAAAGGATTTGTATCAGTAGAGCAGGATAATCTGGAGACTTAAGTGTGAATGAAAATGTTGAGCTCAACATTTATATGACCTGTAAGTATTGTTGCCATGGGAGTGCTGCCAACTGTCAAGACTGGAAGACTACATTTATAGATGTGCAAATATATCTGTTTTAAACAAGTTGTGATTTATTTATTAACCTATTTTACATTTATATTTACAGCTTACACTTTTAGATGTGCTTTAACATAAGCAAAACACAAACAGTGAAAACAAATCAAATATAGTAAGAACCCAACAGCAGAAGGATCTCAACAACAAGAAAATCTAACCAACATGATTACGCTGTGAAGCATCAAAACCCAACAATAGAACCACAGCAATACAACAACAGAGCAACAAAAAGTGAGGCAAAGAGGAGCAAGGATGTAAAACTATGTAGGCAATTAAAAGGGAGAGAAACAATTTAAGAAAAGGACATTTGAGAGGAACCAGTAACAAGAACAACAGAACAAAAACAATAGAAGAAGTAAAAACCACAAGTATGTGAAAGAAATCAGGGACCAATTAAGCAGATAAGACGCTTTAACATTTAAAAATCAAATATCTACGACAAATTGAGTTAAGTACAGAAATAAATAATGTAGAACAAATACAACTAAAAGTAACAATATTCATTATAAAGCAATTAGGCTAACAATTGAAGCAATGAATGAAGAGCTGTAAGGGCGGTTAAATGAATCGATCACAATAAAAGTTCAGGGTATTAGAGGAAAGCTACTTGAGGAATAATAAGATATCAGGCTATAGAGAAAAGCCAAAAAGACAATAAAAGGCAGAAAAAAAAATCTTATCACAAAAAATCAAGTCTATATAAATGAGTTTACCAGAAAGTAAAAATGATTTTGTGACATAAACAAACATGTTAGCATGTGAGACACTACCAATGCCCCCCTTCAGTATTTTTCGCATGAATAATAAAACAGCTTTGTCTTATTTTACGTCCTTTCTTCAGTTTCTCAGTGTCAGCTAGTTCCTCCATGTTGCTGGTCATGTGGTAACAAGCAGGATAATGAATATTTATCTGGTCGTTCTAGGGTTCTGGGGTTAACGTTGCAACAACACGCAATCCAAAATGCTCCTGGTGTGAAAGGACCTCAAGTTGAAAAAAGTTTGCTCAAAGTTACATTTAAATGTTTTGAAGTCACCAACTTTTCTTTGGTGCTGCAGTCACATCTCAAAAACTGATTCATCGCTCATTCCTATTTTACCTGGCTCATGAATGTCCCGACTGCAGGTTGTTTTCATTGTCACTTTCCTTTGTCTGTGCCTTCTTCCATTATGCAGACTTGTCTAGCCGCAGGGCTCGGAGTTTTTCTTTTTCACATTCAGCCAGGCGCTTCCTCTCTTTTAACACTCTTCCCTATTTACCTCTACCAACACGGGGACAGAGTTCATGTGCTCTTGTTTTCTCCCTCTCTTCTTTCTGATTTCTTTGTGTAAGACTCCTCCGTCCCTTTTCTGTGTGGTGGTTCAATGCTGCCGGCATATCACAGGGCCACTAAATGATTCAGTAAGCCCTGGGGTCAGTGCGCACAGACGTTCTGGCCTTGGCTGAAATTCATGCTACATATTGATGATCTGATCCGAGCACTGTGTGTGTTTTTTGATGCCAAAACTAACTGCAAAGAAGCAGCCTAACTTCTATGAACAACTTGTTGTTTGATGTTAAATGTGGAAGCTCTGTAACCTTTAGTATTTGAAGTTGGCTGTTAATGAACTTTTAATTAGTGTTCCAAGAATAGTCCAATGGGTTCGGTGTTTCTGGACAAAGGCCTTTCTGTAGATTCCCAGAATCAAAGTAACCAGACAGATTGGCTTTTCAAAGTGCTGTCTACTCATCCAAAGCACATCGAAAGCTCAGGCAAATCAAAGTTGTTCACTGTGCCTCTAAATGGACTGCATTTGAATGGACTTGTTTTGTTTTCCAACCACTAAAAGTACTTTTAAGTTCCTTGTCACTCTCAACTTGTCACTCGTACATCCAAGCTGACAGGACTGCAATTCAAACTTCCTGTGAACAAACACAAACACAGTCACATTCAGCTTCGCCTACAGGAGCAATTTGGGGTTTAGTATCTTACTCAAAGTGCTCAAGGCCACAGAAACCACAGATGAAATCATTTTTCCTAGATAAGAAAAACATCAGCCCTACCACAGAGTCCACAGCTCTCGGTGTTTAAAGCCTCCAATTCAAAAACAGTCTTTTTGTGAGTGTTTCCTTACTATTAATTAGAGAAAAACATCAAGACTGCACGCTTATTAAATCTGCCCAACCTCTTACTCTGTCAGTGGTCCCTCGGGATTCACCAAGAGTTTCTTTTTTCCCTTTTTTGTTCTTGTAGTGTAATGGTTTTGCTTCTGAAAACAGAGGGCTTCTAATCACTATTTGTACTCATCTCATCTCAGCACTCTCTTAAGCCTTGAGTAGGACTTCTTTCAATTCACTCTTGTAGTCATCTTATAAACACGTGCAAACAAAAAATGTGCTCATAAGCAAATTGGAGGTCAGATCGTTTCTTCTTTTTTTAAAGTGACCTGGTGTTTTATTCCTGATCGAATCAAGAAAGTCTAGGATGACAGTATTTTGCAGTTCTAAACCTGACTGTGGACCTTTTTCATTTGGAGGCTAAATGATCACATTACAAGTCTTTTCTCCCTTGGTTTTAATTTAAGCTCACTGAGAAGTAAAATCACATTTTCAGGAGAGTTCGGAAAAACTAATTATGATTGTTTGCGAACAAATCTGGAAAAAATAAATCAATAAAAATTGGTTATTTCCCCTTGTGGGTCTAATATAGGAGTATCTTCTCTTATCTTGTAAATTATTCAGATCTGTATTTATTTGGAAACTAATGCAAATACAACATACAGTATATAGTGTTAAAACTGAAAATCTTTATTGCTTTATGAAATTATTTTAAATTTGATGCCAGCAACATTTTTAAAAGTTAGGATGATGACACAAAAAAAATGGAAAAAGTTGTTTATAAAAGAGAATATTAGAAGGGGAGAATATCAAGGGAAGTTATGATTGGAAGTGGTTCAGCTCTCTGTGAGAGACTGTGAAGGCAATAACATTCCTATCATCATCTTCAGCACTGATTATGATTAAAAGATCTGAAGAAGTCACTGTACAAAAGAGACAAGGACAAGGGATTTTTTTTTTTTTTTTAAATCATGGATGCCAGATCTTTGTTTTTCTAAGAGTAGAGGGATGTTTACAGCGCTTGTTATTAGTGTTTTTACAAACCCTCTGCTGGCATTGATTTGAAAATTTGTCTTCATTTTTCACAAAAGTGTAATTTTTTTGGATTGGGTTGAAACGATTTTCAAACCATCAAATTCTGTTTTTTTTTTTTTTAAATCACATTCTCTCCTAACTTGAACTGTGGTTGTAATAAAGTGGGCAGATAAGTAGGCTGGCAAAGCAAGGAGGGATTTCACCACCCTTGTACTCTCTGGGTTTACTTTTAAAGTGATGAAAGTACAATCCAAAGCCACAGGTATTTGCACTGCTTCTTCAAATTTGCTCTGGGTGATGCTGAGGGTAATGCTGAAGTTGTTCACCTTCTTACTCTTGGCCTTATTTTCAATCTTGTATGAGCGAGAATTTCTTTTCTCCAACAAATTCTTGGACCACTGAATGTCCCCCCCAAGGATAAACAAAGTAGTCTGAGTCCAATTCTGATCAACTTCGGTACAAAATCAGCAAGACTTCATTCATAAAATGAAAATTATTAAACAAGTAAAAGTTTTGTAGTGTTGTGTAGCGGCAATAAGGCTGCAGACCTTCTGATCACACAGTAGAGTGTTTAAAGACTATAGGACACAGTGTGATCAGGAACATATCTTGTTTATCTAGCTCTATAATGGGGCTGTAAAGCAAACTTGAATGCTTAACCAAAGATGTTACCTACAATAGGAGGTATTTTAGGCAGTGCTTCTGTCCATTATCAGCTTCACTTCCAGCTGGGATCCTCATCTCCTGTAGTCCACAAAAATGAAAAACATAGAAATTCAAAATGCAACACAGAAAGGATTTCAGATAAAGAATGATTATTTTTCTTTCAGAAAGTCCCACGCTTAAAAAGGAAGGACATCTGATCGACTCCCATCATACCTTTCTTTGTCATTACTGCAGTTGATTCTGTCCAAATGATGGAAATATTAATCACAATCAGTTCAGTAGGAGGATGACGTGGATAGTAATGGGCACACAGTGTATTGGGAAGTTACTGAATGAATATTCGGTCTGTGTTCAGCTTGGCTTATCTACAAATTAAGTACCATCTCTTACTTTTAGTTATTGTTGAGTTGTCTTCACATAAACTAGGAAAACTAAACAAAAGTTATAAAAGCTCGATCGCAAAACTTGTGCAGGTTTAGAGACCTTATGTGATAGCCTCGACAGACTGAGAAGGAGGGTCTCTTGTACTCTAACTTAATCAAAGGCTTGAACTGGTTTGTAAAGTGGATTTTATGATCACTTAAGACTTGAGAAGCTTTTAGGAAAATGCAGTAGTGCCCTGGCTGCTCGTCAAGCCTGACATCCAATTCATTTTCATCCACCAACGTTTTACTCTCAGCTGATTGCAGCTGCTTACACACTCAGACTCATGTTTGTGTTGCTTCTGGTTCATTTTCAAAAATCAGCGCGCCCACATGTCTACTTAATCTGTGATGTTACCATTTATCTTAGACTAACATTATAATCTCAGTGCTAAAGAGACAAACTGTGCCATGGTACAAATACGACCATATGCCACAGCAAATAGTTCTAACAGCTCATCATCTTTCCACTCAGGTATATGGCGCCAGAGGTCCTGGATGACTCCATAAACATGAAACACTTTGAGTCTTTCAAGCGGGCAGACATCTACGCCATGGGCCTGGTCTTCTGGGAGATAGCCAGCCGCTGCTCCATGGGAGGTAAGGATCAAATGAAGTGCTGTGTGGAGGGAGGCGAATAATTAGATGTATGGAGAGGAGGTAGACAGATTAAGAATGATGAAGATATCTACTCACCAGTCTGTGCATGGATGAAGGGACGTATGATCAGACGTGCTGATGCATATATTCTGCCTGTGAGCATCAGTCCTTCTGATCATGAATCAGACTCGATTCAAAGCATTAAACAGCATTAATTAAAAACCCAGAGAATTTTTAACATATTTCTTTGGCAGGCATCCATGAGGACTACCAGCTGCCCTACTACGACCTGGTTCAGTCGGATCCATCAGTGGAAGAGATGAGGAAGGTGGTTTGTGAGCAGAAGCTTCGGCCCAACATTCCTAACCGCTGGCAGAGCTGTGAGGTAGGTCATGTGTCGGTGATGTATGGTGTAGTGATAGGGCCAATCCAATTCTGTATTGGTATCGGATTCCAATCCCAACATTATTCATGGATCAGAAATTTCCAATCCAACCTGCAAGAATTTCCGATCCATAAGTCATTTCTTTGCTTCAACTTGTCTGCTAAAACGACTGTACAAGTGTTAATAGACGGTCAGTCTGCTAGCTGGCGGCAAACTGCGCGATGGATTTCCTGAACAGAGGCGTCGCAATAAGATCTAGGGATGAGACATGCCTCAGATCAGGAAATCATACGTACTTATACTTGCCTGTAAAGTGGAGTTTATTACAGCCTCACATGAAATAAACAATGAGGATAATAATGCTGGTAAAGCTAACAGAGCTCTGGTATCGGAATAGTGTCGGTATTGGCAGATATCCAAATTCAGTAATCAAGATCGATGTAGAAAAATGTAGATCGGTGCGTCCCTAGTTTGGTGTTTACAAGTCTCCCATTCTTTCTTGCACAAACTCAAGACCAAGCAAGTGTGTTTGTCTTATTACAGATACCATATTCAGCTGAAAAGTCCAGTCATTCATGATTATAACAAGCCAGAAATAAGACGTAATTGCTTGTAACGAGCTAAGAAAAAATCAGCCGATGGGGCAATCAAGATCAACTTGTGAGGTGTCTTGAATAGGTATCAATCTCAGAAGAAACACCTTAAAGTTGGTGTATACGACGCACTTTTCAAACCCTCTTTGTCATCTTAGAAGTTAGCTGTGGCCCATACACTGGTTTGACCCGGATGAACTCATACAAAATGCAGAGAGAAGCATTCCAGTGTGTTACCACAGTTTACCCTGAGGATTGTGCTCGAAAAGGCAAGCAGCTGCTTCAATGAGCAAAGCATGCTGAATTCACAGCAAGGCAAATTTGTTTAGCAGCTTCACTTCCTAACACTTAACTCCCTCACTGGGTCATGCACATGCTCCAGACACCAGTGCTGCACTGATAAGCAAATAAACCTTTTGGAAGCATTGAATAACAACCCCAAAGGGTGAAACGAGAAATTACGTTTTGACGATATCAGACTTTTCTAACTTTGTCACCCAGAATAATACAAATGAACTTATTGTGATTGACTGTGTCATTGTTATTGATTACACAATCATTTCAGTCATTACCATTTTCTGTTCTTAAACTAATCCAATCAATCAATCAGAAATTGATATTGGTGTTTAAATCTAAGGTGTTTCTCTCTTTTAACACTTTGAACTCCTTACTTTAGTTTGATTATCAAGTTTAGACTCGCTGCACTGTTCCTGCTGATCTCACATATTTTGTGTGGCCACTATAGTAGTGATTATTTTCTTATTTCTTATTTTATGGCGTAGGGTGGGAGTGAGGGAGTGGGTCCTGCCCCTGGTGTCCTTATACCTAAGAAACGCTCCTGGACAGGCACCAAACAGTTCACTGCTTTTTCAGCCCCATCTCCAAGGTTTATAGATAATCATTGCTAGAAACGTCTTGCAAAATTCGCCTTGTCAGGTACAAGAAAAAAACAAGGAGCTGTAAATGGTTGCCTTGTTATTGGTGAATTACGTCTCAAATAGCTCTCTCCAAACAGCCAAGCCTCTTTGGCTAGCTCCCTTGATAATACATTTGAGTCTTCCGATGGCAAAATGCACAGACCTGCTGGTGCTGGTGATGTAGTATGCACACATGGCTGTTGTAGACCAGAATCAGGATCAGCGCATCCTTAGAAGAGGGTAGCCCTAGTTTAGGCAAATTTTGGAGCAGAGGATCATTCAAATCTCACACCTGTCAATGCTGCTATAAGCTTAGCTTAAATTCTGTTTGCCAGCAGGATCAGTTCTGACAGGTGCTGCAAAAAAGAGCTGCACAGCTCCCGAGTAACAGCACCTTGCTGAACACAATGGAAATATTCAGGCAGGAACACAGTTGAATTTTCCTCTCAGCGCCCCCCAAAATAGACTGCAATATACATACTGCTGTTACTTTATGCCAGATTCATGTTGGATTTTTCTTACCCCACCAACAGATATTTTTTTGCCTCATTAAACGCAGTTGAAGTTCAATCTTACTTTTCATGTCTTGAGATTAGGATGTTTATCCAAACTTGTCAGGTGAATGTAGCTCATACTAAGTCTAATAAGATTTGTGTCTTCCAGAAATACATCAAAAATTTGAATTTTTAAAGATAAAATGAAACCATGTGACATTATCAAAACAGCACTCTTTCAACAACAAAGATTAAGGGCATCTGTAAAGAGAAACAAGAACTTTTTGATGCAGGAATGCTGTGTAAGGTTTCGTGGGTAAATCGCTAAAATGCACAATGTAACAGATCGGACAAAATTCATAGAAATATGTGAAAAAAAGATTTGAGTGGTGATCCTCGAAGTTGACTCCAGTGATGTCTTGTGCTGATGAGGTTTGTCCGGTCTTTCTCCAACTCAAGGAGTCCTTGTCAGTAATACTGCTTAATTATTTGGTACTCACTCACACACACATGCACACACAAATGGAGGCCGACTTCTTTTCCCACAGTCCCCAGAGAGGAAATATCCACTCAGCTGGTGAGAGGAGAGAGTGTGTGTATGCGTGTGCGAGTTGTTTCCATGCAGTCTCTGGTTTCAGTGTGAACAGTGTTGTACACACAGACTCTGGCACACACTCACTCACTTGTGGTATCGGTTTGTTTACCGCATTGGGAGTCATTACAGTTTAATTTGAGCTGATTCAGTTAAATTTAAGCCACTGCACTGTGTGAAGACACAGAGGAGTCCATCAGATGGAAAGTAACTGCCGATTCGTTGAATTTACCATCCCGCCAAACCTTATTGTTCTAAGTGAAGTTGCTTAATTATAGATCTAACTCCATTCCTTCACTTTGTGAGGGTCACAATAGACTGCAAAGTCTCTACCTCTCAGTTGCTCAAAACAGGTTTTTTTATTCAACACAGCCTTGTCATAAGGAGCCAACTTTGCCACCCACACACACTGTGTAAAGCTGGATTTGAATTCACATCACATAATATCAGAACTCGTACACCGTTGCATATTTTGACCTCTACCACCCTTTTGTCTGGCAGCCTACAGAGAACTGTGATGTTTGTGATTTGGACTGAATCTGGCTTTTCTTTGAACAGTAAAAATTCTTGATTGTTTTTTTATATCTTTTATACACAAGTGTATACTGGTGTGTGTCAACATATTCAAGTGTCCACTCTCCAGTCTGAAGGAGATCTTGCCCACCAACATGGACAAACATAGCCTTTCAAAAAACCATAGGCATTGATTGATTTAGTTTCTCTCTGCTCAGTGAGTGAAGAATCATCCTCACCTTGTGTTTTAATCAAACACAGAAGACTTTTCTTCCTCTGAAACTTTGATCAGGCCAGTCTCTGAGAAATGCTGGAACATCCTTTCTCCTCTCTCAATAGAGGGCTGCTGTTCAGGGTTCACTTTCCTTTTACTAGCTTTTCAGTTTTGTGGCTCTTTAAAGTTTAATGCTGTAGTTTGAAAGTTATTGATCGGGGATGCAGCAGAATATGAAAACGTCATTGATGTGTTTTTTCCTGCTCAATCTTTTTTTTTTTTTTTCCAGAACCATTATTATAATCAATATTTCAATTCGATGTTTATGTGAAAAGCTGATTAATTAGGTATCATAAGTTTCCCTCGCTGATCAAAAATAATAGAAACAGCAGAAGTCTATTTTAAAGGCACTTTACTGATATGTATACAAGTACTAGCAAACTCGAGTTTTCTGAACACAGAGATGAAGATACTGTTGTGGCGCGCAGATGGCCTAGCGGGTTAGAGCGCCCCACTAATGGGGACCACGATCCCCGCAGCGGTCACAGGTTTGAGTCCGGCCCCTGACCATGTGCTGCATGTCCTCCCCTTCTCCTCAACCTCCAACCTGTCCTATCAATAAAGGCAAAACCAGCCAAAATAATACTTGAAAAAAAAAGTTTGATAATCTCATTCGAAAAAAAAAAGAAGACACTGTTTCCAGGTCATCATTAAACTCCAGCCAATTGTTGCTCATGGTGATCCACTTTGAAAAACTTGCACAACTTGATGTTAAACTATGAAACAAAAATTGAAAAGTAAAATTGAAGTCAGGGAATCAGGTCTTGCATTTCAGTGATAATAACACTTTTTTGTTGTTTTTTTATTCCCTCTGCTTTGAGCTAGGGTTGTCAGGATTTTTATTTTAACATGAGAACAGCAAAAATATTTAACTTTAGCGAAACAAGCTCCTGGTCTTTTGTTACCCTTGATTTGTTGTCTTCACACAGAGCCGATACAAAAAGACCAACAGCTGATGAACTGATAACGGTCATAAAAGGCAGAATACATAAACAAAAAAAGTCATTCCTCTGAATTAGACAGCATACTGTTTGTTTATACTCTCAGCTTTACTTGCTAATATTTTTTAGGTTTCCGTTAACAAGCCAAGACTAATAGAAAAACTCAAGGACCAGTTGACACCACATCACATTATCTCTGCCTTCAACAGGAAGGTCACACGTCTGTTTTCTGTGGTAAATGCCATCAGTTTATACCAACCTATGAAAAGGAAGAATAAAGAGGGAGCAGTGTAGATGCTGCAGTGGAGGGGGAGCATTGAGACACAGAGGACAAGCAGAAGGAGCTACATCTTCATCTGCAGAAAGGCAAAACCCAGCGTCTTTCTAAGCAAAAGGATGAGTGACTGCCTTTGATAATTGTACAGAGGGATGGCGAAATTATTTTCTATTTTTGCACTTAAAGCAGAATCCAAATCTTAATTTTATTGCAATTCTTTTCCAGATTATTTCCGAGACTGTTTTGCAACTTACTGGCCAGCACACCAAACAAATTTCACTGTTTTTAAAAAAAGTAAGAATATGTGCTTTTTAGGTAAGAGTACCTTTTTCAGATTCAATCCCAGTGAGCACTCAAGTCAACTTCTGCCAAGCATAATGGACATGAAACAAGAATGCTGACATGGATGAGACATCTAATGCACTCAGTTTTGGACTTATTTGCTTAATTCAAAAGTTAATGTTGGCTTCAAAAGGATAAACACAGCAACTCTCTGGATAAGTGCACTATAGCTGCATAACAGCAAAGCGATCATATCAGTCCATTCACTTTGTTTCTGAGGAACCACTCAATGTGTAAGTGTCTATCTTGGTAATAGATGTCTGGTGCTTCCTGCATGAATTTCCCTCTATAGTAAGTTTTAAAGTGATACTATTCATGCAGTGATGTAAAGATACTTTTAGAAACAGAAAGAGGTTGTCTAAATCTAACTCAAGGGGGGGAAGGAAATCATCGAATTATGGAGCAAAGTCAAGCCCCTTCATAACCATACCGCACAGTACCCATGCAGGCTAAACCTGCTTCGTGGTGGATTCACTTCTCTCTAAGCAAAAAAACAAGAATTCAAATATAATCTGAATAAAAAGTAAAATTATTGAAATTTGAATTAGTTTAAAATGATGTTTAAGAGAGAGCATTTTAAACTTTGGGTTTACAATCTTTGCTGATCACTACATGTGCGTAACCTAATATCCATAAGCACAGGATGTGCCTCTTCGCTGCTATGAGAGGATACACAATGCACACAGCTTATCACAACACACTGGGGACTCACTTACTTCATATTCTCATACTCAGCCTTATAATGCTATGTATTCACTCAGTGTGGTGGACATTAGCCCGTGGCCTGCATCGTAACACTGTCTCTGTGCATTAAAAAGCAATGTTGAAGTTCAAGGGGGCTCAAGGTGGCTGCTTGGGAAACAGTTGCACAGAATCTGTATATGCTGACGATGTATTGATATTCATGTCTAACCCCTCTGTCTCAGTTAACCATCTAATGAGAAAAATCACAGATTTCAGTGCTTTTTCTGGATATCAAATAAATCTTTCAAAATATATAGCTATGCGTTCAGGTGGTTAACCTCAGGTTGCCCTTGCCATTTTACTTTCAAATTGTCCTAAACAAGATTTGTGTATTAAGGAATATTTATAGCTATTTACCCATAAAAGTGATCTGGGAGTTCTGGATTTCCTAGACCTTGAAAAATATTGGCCAAATGCACTTAAACAATATGTGACAGAAGGGGTTCATGATCCTCACTGCCTAAGTCTCCTCTTTCAAATTTGCTTTTTCTGGCAAACTCAAAGTCAAAAAAGGATCATTATGGAAATTTAGAAACAACTAATACAGCTGTGAGGGCAGTGCAACATATAGAAGAAGAAGAAAAAGGAGAACTTTGTTGATCCCCAAAGGGAAATTCAAAGAAGGACAGGGTTGACATCCACTCATACTCCAACTGTTAATAATCCTGACTTTCAACCAAGTATCTTGGACTTCCTTCCTTCGGGGATCTCTTTGAAGGTGGGGTCATGATAACCTTTAACCAAATTTTGAAAAAATAGGATACACAAAGAAATGATCTTTTCCACTACTTTTAAAAAAAGAGGCTATAAAGTAGACTTAATCATTAAATAGTGAAGTATTTTATGGAACTATTCCCCTGCCAGCTTCCAGAAAATCATGCTGACCTGGGAGAGGGGAAAACATATCAATCTGCAACCGAACTAGAGCAATGCAACTTAGATCAGCTCGTTATCAAGCTCTGTAATGGCTTAATAACAAGCTGATCATTTGAATCAGGTGTGTTGGAGCAGGGAAACATCCAAAACATGCAGGACAGTGGGCCTCGAGGACTGGACTTGAGAACCACTGACTTCGATGACTCTACAGAGTACACTTCTCATCTAAGCACCTCTCAAAGCTTAACCCTACAATCTCCTCTCTGTTTCCTTAATGCAAAATACATACTGGCAGTATAGCCCTACAGAGGGAAATAGAAAGTATAGGTTTGTAATTTTTGTAATATTTAATGTTCAATGTTTGTACAAAGAGGGGAAAGTTTAGTGGAGTCAAATTTCTTGTATGTGCACACATACTTAGCCAATAAAGTTGATTCTGATTTGAATAAGTTTGTTCAAAACAGCAAAAGGTCTCCACTGATACTCCTGATGAACTGTAGACTGTTTTGGGCCTCTTCAGTCCCGTTGAGGAAGCAGCAACATCTTGACAGACAGACACTGAGACTGAACACTCACTCACAGACGTGTTGACTCATACACACCAGATGCTGTTCAGTGCCGCGCAAAGGGAGACATGAAGAAATTAATGTAAACTCAGGAGGCTGTATCTGGTACTCAAAGTGTTTTCAGTTAGACAAGAGGAAAGACTGTCCGGGTAAAATGTGTGATTCGACCGAATTTCTCGGAAGAGATCAAATCCACGGGGGCAACGTTTCCCTGGATATCTGACAGAGAGAAAATTCATCCGTCTTCTCGTAAGGGTTATAAACTGTTAGAAAGCAATAGTGTCGGGAAGTGGCTGACAGCAGAAAAACACTTTTACAAGTTCCAGTACTAAGAGAAGTGAAGTCTGTTAGATCGGAGTTTTGTAGGAGTTGGAGTGTGGAATAGATTTTTAAAAATTAGACAATGAAAAATGATAAAGAGATTCAGAGTTGATAAAAAGAAGCATGTTCAAAGAGACTTTTTCATACAAGTAGTTTTTATTTTAATTACTTCAAACACGGATTTACAAAACTACTTTAATAACCAAGCAAAGTAAATATTGTATGAGGCACTTAGTGCAGCCCAGCGTATTTGACAAAGATAATCTTCTTACATGAGTCTTGCAATTTCAGGATCATTTTCACACGGTTGGGTGCGAGTCATTTTGTGTAAGTGTCAGCTGAATAAAGTTGTATTGCAATATTTTGTGTTGATACCCCATGTATTAAAGATCACTTTCCAGTCAGTACAAGGCAACACTCTTTCAGCAGCGGTCCAAGAATGAGAGGTTGTTGAAATGACTTTGTAAAATTAAACATTAATGCAGACTGGCACTGTTTCCAAACAGTTCAGTTCTGGGACATTGCTTGGCCTGTTGTGCAGCCAAGCTAAAACAGCTGCTATTTCACAACCATTGTTTCCGGTCTCACAGCACTCATTATGGGAACTGCTGAGATTCCTTTGAAAAATGACTCACTGATCTCAAACGGTAGGCAGGATTTGCTGACCAGACACACATTATGAGACTGTATAATCTAGGTTCCAGGAAAGATGAAAACATCAGGCACTGTAAGGCTTTTAGAGTACAGCAGAACAGCTGAGAGACTGTGCTTATCATGCCGAAGGAGGCTACTTGACTTCTGCAGAATCACAAATTCCCAGATGGAGGATAACGCCAAGTTAGTAATGAGACAAATTTGTTCTGTGGACATTGAAAAAGCAGCTGCTGTCCCATTACAAGCTTATCAGCATCAAGATTATGTGTGAATTCAGTTCAGTGAAACCTGGGCAACAGTTTGATATCGGAAAGACAAATGAGATTAAAGGGATTCAAACAACGACAAATGCAAGAAGTTGGACTCCTGTGAAACATTACAAAAACAGGATTTGATGGTGTATGGATCATAACCACTACATTTAGTTTAAAATTCTACAAAACATCAGAAATTAGGGATAGACTGGTTAATCTGTTGGCAGACTAATTAGAGTGATTATTGGCGTTATCTGCATCATCATATTGGTATCAGCCCCCCAAAGCATCTTCTCTAAATTATAATCCATTTTTCTTATCCTCCTTTAACAGCATTTCACATCTAAAACGGTAATTGACTGCTGTTTTAATATTGTGCTGTACTGTAAGAATAAGTATTGACAATATCAACCATATTTAACAATTTACATAGTAGCATAACTCAATATCTGCGTCTTTTCATCGATTTATTAAGAATCCCCTCAAAACATGTTACAGGCTAACGCTGCGTTTCAGCTACATCAGAAGTCACATGTCGGAGCTGGGTATGACGTTACACCCGAATTGACGGCGTTCCAGTAAACAAGTCGGAAAACTAAGATGGACGCCTACTGTTAGCTGTTATTAGCAATTGTCATCTGTCGTTAGCGTTGTCAGTTGTTGTTAGCGGTTGTTAGTTGTTGTTAGCTATACCAGTTGTAAACAACGTATAATACAGTATTTTACTCAAACACAATAGCAGCACGTTCACAGTAAAACGCTGCGCAGTACTACATATATCACTTATTTTATTTCACAAAAATAAAACAGAAGTGCTCATAAATAATGCTTTACAAGAGCTTTCAAGAGCAATACAAGGACTTTCCACGTCGGAAATCCGGCTTCAGGGGGGTGTTCCAGATGAATTTCCTACTCCGAACTTGGAAATCCCGACTTCCGAGTACAACTGGAACGCAGCGTAAGACTGCATTATAATATTATATATTGTCAATAGGTGTTAGTATGAATGGAATATGAATACATGGCTTCCTCTTTACATTTCACGTTACAAGAATAAACATTTTAAGTTGAATGAGAAGACAAGACAAGGAAAGTTGATTCAGAAAGCAACATTGATACACAGAGCAATTCGAAATGCTGTGAAAACCACACATATGACACAACCTCCAGATTTGTTCCAGCGGTTCTGGTTAGTTCTGTTATTTGAAAACAGGAATTGAAAGTGCCTGACTACACAGAAAATCATTTCCCACACATCCACATCTGTTTTTTTATTATGTAGAGCATCATATCAGTGAAACTCCCAAGGCATCATGTTATAATTAAGCCGTATTAACTTTTGTCATCTCTCTCTCTCTCTCTCTCTCTTGCAGGCCTTGCGGGTGATGGCCAAGATAATGAGGGAGTGTTGGTATGCTAACAGTGCTGCCCGACTCACCGCCCTGCGAATCAAGAAAACGCTGTCTCAGCTCAGCCAACAGGAAGGGATCAAGATGTAGACAAGACATACACACACAGACACACACTTACATACACATTATGACTGTCACCCATATCGTTAGCATTAAAACATTGTTATCATCATTATTATTCATTGATTGCTCCTCCCCTTTGGCTGTAAAGGGAAGTGAAGACTTTTCCCACCGTGTGCTCTTTTTCTTCTCCCATCACATTCATGGACAAGTCCCGTGTGAATGTGCGTGTCACACTAGCCTGACACTCACACACAGTTGGCTGAGTGGATGGTTGTGCCTGAATGGAGAAAAAAAAACAGAGGTTTTCAAGAAAGCCTCCACTCTTTTTTTTTCCACCATCTTCCTAATTCATCACATGAAGTTTCTGAAGACCCACAGGGGGAGATCTGGGGGTCCATGTAGAGCCCCAAACTCATCATCGCTCATCACACACCAAGACTGTAAGAGCTCAGACCCCATCAGGTCAACTTAAGGCCAGGCAGGGAATCACCCGGAGGAATCCCTGAGCTGCCAGAGCTTTGCTTCCATCTCCTCTCATCTTCTTCATCACCCCCCTCATTTGTATAATAGCATTTCAGTCTTATCGTAAGAGAGTAAGCTGCTCTTCAGTAGGGCTGCAAGTAACGCATTTGAAACGAAATGTAAAAATCATGTTAATTTAAACACTAAAATGTGTTGAATATAAATGGGAAAAACCCAACCATGTAATAAGTTACTGCACACTTAAGTGCATTAGTGTTAAAGCTTTATTCACAGCTGCGATTGGTCTGATCTCAAACTCCTAAAGATGAACTTTATCATATCAATCCTCAGAAAGTTGTGTTTGATTTTATCAATATTCAAACTGTTTTGACTGAACATGATCCCATATTCAAAATCAGCGTTATCAGTCATTCAGAAGACCAATGGAAAGTCTGCTCTGATGCTGTGTTGTTGTTGTTGTTTGCAGCCCTACTCCTGAGCGGTGTTACAGTAGCTTTGGGAAACAGATGCATGGACCTGGGGGGTCATGGGACATTTTGTAAGTTGCCCTGTGAGGTTTCAGACAAACGTGAGCTTCATCTGTTCTTCATCCAGCAGAATCTCTCATCTCTGCAATGTTTTTGCACCTGTTTTTTTTTTTTTCCTTTTCTTTTGCTACTGTTGTATTTCCCATCTCCCTCTGTACTGGCAGGGAAGTGGAACGGTCAGTTTAATTTATTGTGTATTTTAATTTTCTTTCTGGTGGCAGGGGATCTTTTTCTTTTCTTTTTTTTTTGCAAAACAAAACTGGACATGATGACCTCATTCATTTTTGGCAACATGCTGCAACATATGCAATATACAGTACAGTAGATAAATGTGTCTATTTTCTATACTCTGCTCTGCTAAAACCACAAAACAGCAAGAACAACGACAACAACAATCAGCTGCCACCATGCCTTCCAAGCCAGCGGTTACCGGAAAGTGCCAGTGCTTTAACAACCCAACTCCTCTCATGTCGGTTTCTGTGGAGTGCGTTTGCTCTCTCGCATATGCAGCTCCGCGCATGTGTGTGCCAGAAGGAGGTCTGGAAGAGCCATGCCGAGCATACAGCAAGCTCGTACTATGCACACCCGAGAATAGGGGAGGAAACGATAAGAAAGGGTACACACTGTGCGTCTCACAGCACCCACAACCCAGCCGACTCTCTGGTGCCATTTCATCGAAACCCTCACACCTAAACACCGGACCACCTCAGCAACAACAACTCATCGTACAGCTTCTCCTCCTCGTGAACAGATCCTGGAAACTGAGCTCCAGCACCTCAAATTATGTTAAGTCGGAAAAACAATGCCGCAAAAAGCTCATGGCGGCTTCGGAAAAGAGACACCAAGACTTGTAAGCATTACTGATGTTGCCCTATAAATGTTAACTCTTGGATTTCTGATTTTCGTTCTTCTTACGTGTTTGCGCCGTTGCTGACTGCGCAGCAGCGCGGATCAACCTTTCGAGCATCTTTCTTCTTCGTAGGATAATCAACAAATTTGAGGTACATTCATTTAAATATAGCAAACGGATACTTACTAAGCCATAGGTTTTCCAGGTTGTGTATTATTTTTTTCTTTTTCTGTGGCAAGGTCTTTTTCTACCAGAATGTACATTTATGAAAAACAAAAGTTACAAAAAATTGTTCAATGGACAATTTTGTCATTTCAGCTTAGCAAGCCTTAAGGGACCAATGCATAAGAGTCAAGATCTGCTCTTATTGTTTTTCTTTTTCTTTTTGTTTCAATGAAAAAAGATTATATATAAATATATATATATTATTGATTAATATGGTAAAAGTAGTGTCATTATTATATCTAAAGGACAAAAAATATATGTAGCACCTGATTTAATGGTTTGTTTCAGTCAAGTATTTGTCCTGTTGCCAAAATTGCCATACATGTAAACCCTCTTCATCTTCTCTTACAGATTTGCTCGTGTCTAAGTTGCGTCAGAGGCACTTGTCTTAACACACCGGTGAAAAACATATCCATGATTGGGTACATTTGACATGTACAAAGTTTCAATAATTTAAACATCCAGTTAATCAGATCTGCCAGGCAGTGATTAAAAGAAATCCTCGAGTCTCTTGATTGTTCAGCAATAAGTGCACTTCTGAACCACCGCAGGGTTTATCTGTGTGGCAATTTGGACGTCTGTGAGTCTCCCTGTCTCCATTAGTTTTCTTTTATGGATACATAATGTATTGATGTGCTGCTACTTAGTTGTCCTCCTCCCTTTGGAAAGTGGAGGTGAGCTGCTGTTGGATGTAAAAAAAAAATCCTCAGATTGCCTGAATCTGATCAGTGTGCCATGTTGCTTTTAAGCAGATCCAGCCCATCATCATACAGTTGGCAGCCCTTTCAGAGTTTCTCTGAAGTGTTTGAAAGAGTTGTTGTCAACAGACATCCATGCAGTGCAGGAGTCCACTCAGCAGCTCATTTCACTGACCGGTTCTTCATCTCTGGTTCAAAGTGCTGGTCAGTTCAGTCAGCTGCAGCCTTTGTGGTGTGGCTAAAAACCAGGGTGCCATTCTTATAAATGGGCGCTGGAGTAGCTACTTCTACCCGCTTTGATGCCCACACATAAAACACAGTTGGAAAAACTTGGACATATTTTCCTCTACTTGAAGGTCAAGTGTTGAGGAGGAGGTTGAGAAGTGAATAACGTTTTGAGGTTGAAGCTCTGTGCAAGAAAAAGAACCTTGTTGATGCCCTGAAAGCAACTGATAATGTAATTACAGATGGATAATGTCGCGATTGATGGAAATACCTCTAAAAAATGTGACTCAGTCCTTCAAGAGGTTAACTTTCTTACATTTAAAACGGGAATAATACATTTCTTTCAAATCAAAAATGCTATCCAGGACGTAACATTTCTAAAGAACATTCATACCTTTGATGAAAAGATTTTCATTTTTCACATGCTTATATATGGCCTTCATTTTTCTACACCTTTAAACTCCTGATGAAAAAGCAAAAGTTGTATTAACAGCCCTCTAAATCAAATCTATACATGTAACATATCACCAGCAATATCATAATTGAACTGAATCAACCGTAAATGGCATTTCCATGAAACTACATAACCAGTTGCTCCAGGAAATTTTCATTGAGTCTGTTTTTGTCCTCTAGAAAACTAAGACTCTGTTTTCAAAAAAGAAAGATGAACAAAAAGCAGAGAAGTTGTGTCGTATCTACCCGTACAGTTCCACTTTGCGGTCGTTCTTGTGAATGAAGTATTAAGTATTTAGAGACAGTGGGCAGTGGCAGAAGTGACATGTAAATATCTTGTGGAGTAAACAAAAAGAAGAAAGCTATTCTGATATTTGAAGAAATGTGAGTGGATATCGCTGCTATGTTAGATACAAAAAAAGGGTGACAGATTATGCTGAATTAAATGTTAAATGTCTACTAATGTGGTCAAACTTGTGGGGATAACAGGGCTTGCCAGGAAAGACCAAGTCAGACAATTCATAACGGAAAGCCATGTGAGTGTAAAGAGTAGTGTAGGGGCCCGTGACGGCATAGGGGACTTAATTTAAACATTTCAAAAGTATACCTTTAAAAACGCCCTGGCTTGCCCTGTATTGGAATCAGACTGTACAGTATGTGTATTTCACAAACAACGTCATTCTCTGGGACATAAACAACAACAAAAGCTCAAATCAACAGCACCTCTGGTATGCCTCAACAAGGACAACCTTCATTCTGTCTTAAAGTCACCAGCAGCCTTGTACTTTTTCTTTTTTAACCCAAGATGACTTAACTGTAAAAAGACATATTTGCACCCAGCTGTTTTTTCTCTTGGGCTCTTTCTACAGCTTTCTATCTGTCTTTGATTCTTGCCTTTCTCTCTTGTCATTCCATGTTATCTAAATGACCTAACAGATATCTACTAGTTACAAGGGCCACTTGTCACTGCAGCCGGTTCTCTGGCCTTTCAGAGCTTCATGAACATACTCGCGTACATCCCCTCCTACTACTCTTATCCCTCGGTCTGGGGTTATGTCTGGAACGGAACTAGCAAGTACAAGACAAAACAGTAGAAAAAACTAGAGGTGACGCTTCACACTTTCAGACAGTCTCTCCGAAAAGTAGCAGCGATATTACACATCACAGAATTGAGCAGAGTGTTAGTTCAGGCAGGCTGAGAAGTCTGACCTTGTACGCATCCAATTGGTGATCCAGTAGCCGATCTATCGAAACTGTTCTAGCCAGCCTACTCTTCCTGCTGCAAACAGCTTCCCTGCATCCAAGCTTCTCTTTTTAATCCTGTGTCAAATGTTATTTCACTCATGCCTGCTCTGGACGTCTTTGCTGCTGCTCTCCCCTCCTCAAGCTTTTGCATTCCACGTACACATGTGAAAGGGCAGGGGGCCCTCAAAACAGAGCTAGACTGCCAAGTATAACTTTTAATGCATGCGCATAAATATTTCCTTCGACCAAAGTAGTTCTTGCTTATCTAAAGTGCATATTTGTCAAGCCTTGAATATTAAACTTCACTGACGTCTTTGAGGAGAAACCGTCTGAATTGTACATTGTCACCTAAGCAAAGTCACATTTTGCCCTCTCTTGAGGCTCACTCTCAACCCACCTCAGACTGCAGCGGTATTGAGCAGAATTTGTCTTCTGATGTCGCACATTGTACAAACCCATCCGTTTTGAACATATGTCATAAAAGGGGACGAACTTAACGCTTCTCCTTTTTGTCTGAAAATCTTGGTATGAGTCTGTAAATGATGTCTGTCCTCCCTTTTATCTGACACTTTTTTAGGTTAGGCCAACATTTTTCCACTGAGGTATCTCTACAGCTTACTGGGCCCTGACCCATTTAAAGAACTACACAGAAAACCTGCTGTACCTCATCTTTGAGAATCCTACCTTGCCTTTGATGTCCTAAGCTCAGAAGAAAATGGGGGTGGGGGTGTTGTTGTACCCGGTTGATAAACAGCCACCATAATATTTCAAACTTTGGTTCATTGGTCAACACAGTTGAAGGTTGTGTTTTGGAAGCAGCAATGTACCTGAGCCATTTCGTGACCCAAGAAGTAAGATGTTCTCTGTTTGTTTGGTAAAATATTCAGCCTTGAACAGGGGGAACAAAAAACTCAAAGTTTTTTTTTTCTCCTCTGCTCCATTTGCATTGATTGATCGAAAACAGGGAGGCGACATAAACTATGCCAGCAGCTCTACAGCTTCAAACCCACGCACTGAGTATTCCCCACAGCTGTGAATGTATCGGCCCTCTCAGTCCCCCACCAATCTGAGCACAGCCTGCAGAAAACCCAGCTCAAAGCTCACAGCAGTAACTTTGTGAACATGCAACTTTCCACCGCACGGGTCTCTTTCTCTCTCTCTATCTTCTTGTTATGCAAAGTACGGGCCAACGGTGTCTGCCCACTCAGTAGTCCTTCTGGATCACACAGGTTCAACGACCAATCTATGCTAGCATGATCCACTCACTGTGACGAGGAGCGTGTTAGGGTCTTAGGGTATCGCCATCTCCCTCTTGGTCGCTCTCTGTCGTCTCAGAGACGTGCTCTACGACGGTGCTGGGGTCATTTTGGTAGTCGATTGTGAGGCTTATGCTAGGACATGTTTGGGTCACCAAAGGGTTCGGGGTTTTGCTCGGTTTAACACTTTTCCTGTCCGATGCTGCAGTGAGGCCTTTGTGGCGACAAAGGGTAGCAGAAAGCTTTATCACATTTTATTTGGTGCCTAAGTTTGACAAGACTTCTTTTACTTTTCACCTCGAATGACAAGACTGCATGTGATTGTGTCTGCATTGGTGTCTGCATTACCTGCTTTATAGATGTCATCCAAAAGCTGAGAAGTATCTTAAAAAAGCATAATTAACATATTAAAAGTCACTTAATCAAAAAGAAAATACCTCCTTTTAAAGACCAATGTGTTTTACCTCACTGTATATATTCTCAATTTGTTTACTCCAAGTTTGCAATTTATCTTTCTCTTTTGTTTCTATGAAATGCTTAAAAAAGTTGAAGAGAATAATTTTGTTTTCTTTTCAATGGTACTTTTTGTCAGATGGCATTGTATTGTGTTTGTGTTGTGCCCAAGCAGTATACTATTCCTCTTTTACCATTCTCTGTATATGACCTGTTGGTTGTGTTCTGCGTGAGCTGTACAGTCAAAGCGCTTTACAAATGTCCAAGCCCCCTTCTGAGCTCTGGTACAAATGCCTTGTTAGACATGTTCTTTTGTTTAATGAAAAAAAACCGAGAAAAAAGGAGTCGAATTGGAGGTTTGGAGGAGGTTAGAAGTGAGGGGAGGAACTGTAAAGCAAAAACCCCTCGACAACTGTTGAACCCTCCTCACCTCGTGACCCTCCTGGATTTCTAAACATATTATAATCATGACTTTTTTATATAGTGTGTACAGATGAATGAGATCAACATAGGAACTAGAGGATTGACACTTATGTTAACTTCTAACATAGCTGGAGTAGAAAATGGTGTGAATAAAGAAACCAAGTTTCACTACAAGATGTGTGTCTGGATGCTTTATTTGTTAGCGACTTCACAACTGGAGCCTGACGGATGAATCTATTGACCATCTGTTAAGGGATAAAGCAGCCTATTTCTAACACAATGTTGTTGTTGTGTTTGCGTTTTTCATTGTACACTGTCATAAAAAACATCTTTAAAGGTACAGTGCCTGGCATGAATGAGTAAACCCCTTCAGAGTTGTTGGAAAACCTTTAGTTTCCTTTCAAAATCTACATTTTCTATGTCAGACTATACAAGAAAATACTCCCCCAAACGTAGGCCATGGATTACAAACAAGATTTTTAAAGTTGCTTACACATTTTTTTTTTTTCCAATTTCAAATTAGGATGCAAAAATGAGTACACCCCAATCAAAGTTCTGGGAGCAAAGCTAAATTTTAGTTACCATATCACCCTGATTTTCATCTTATGGTAAATAAAATGTTATGTTAAACTTTGGAAATTGTACTTTTGCTCATCAAGATATTGAGAAATACATTACTTTTAATAGGGGGTGTACTGACTTACGGTGGGCACTGTATATTCTGTAGAATTTAGCTGCATTTTTTCCAAAGAATTGGAATCTATGATACAGAAAGTGTTTCCGCTATTGTTATTTCTGTGTGGCGCATCTTTTACATCCAAAAATTCGGACATCCTTTTACTTTTCAAAAGTTCGTTTTGTGGCTGTTTAGGTAACATTGGCTCACAAATATGCAGCAACCTGCAGAAGTGCTAAAAACTGCAGTTCCACAAGTACCCACTTGGGGTTGTTTGCAGAAGAAAATTGAGAGGGCTGCAGACCTCCACTGAGATGACCAGAGGTGACCTTTTTTCTCACGCACTCCAGTTTGTTTGAAGTGATCATCCTGTTTTGTATTTTCTCTTTGTTGAACACATAAATACATAAAATAAAGCCCCAAGAAAAAAAATTATAATCAGAAGACACAAAAAACATGCACTTCTGGTGTAATTGCTTTTTATTTGAAAGGCTCCGACTCAACTTCAGGCGTGAAAAAAAAAAAAATGTATTCCCTGTATATTTGCTTTTATTTTGAAAGGCTTCAAACCATTTCCAGGCCACTCGGTGGAGGTGGGTCCTCTCAGTGGAGGTCTGCAGCTAGACTGTCTTAGGAAAATTAGAGGTCTGGCTAACTGGACTGACAGAAGTGCTCACTGTCACCATTTGTGAGGAGGCTAAAGGCTCACCTCTGGAGGGTTTACGAATGTTAAATTTAGTCACTATTACCAGTATGGTGAGCGCTTCAGATTGACTCTGAAACGAGTGACATCCCTGACACTGTCCAGTTATTACACCGTCTTATGGTCATGTGAAGATTAACCATTTTATATTCTCAAACTCAGGAATCAAGTCATGTTGATTTGAAATAAAAGGCAGAAACTTTTCCTAAAGTCTGCCTGTCTCTAGACTTTGCAGAAAAGGAGATCTGTCCATCAACTATAAGGTTACTTTGACCTGATAAGACCTCATGATGGAACCTGTGCTCTGCATTAGCAAGCAGCAGCATGAGCGTCGTCTTGATGTCGAAGGTCATCTGAATTTCAAATAAACTTATATTTTGAACTCTTGTTTCAACATTTGATATGTCTTCTTTGTGCTTAAAAAATACAAAGTAAAACAATAAGAAAAGAAAGAAAGGGTCATAAACACAAAGTGTTGAAACAATTACACGTTAAGAATGAGGAGCATTTAAAAAAGAGATTTTGAAATGTTGGAGGACTTCATATCAGAGCACATTGCTCTAAAGTGTGTAGGCTTAATCAGCTGCAGGCAGGTCTCTCCATCACAAACTGTTATATTGGTATAAAAATTGATTTGAAATGAACGAACATGGAGCTGGCGTTGGAAGGCAAGCACAGGGGTAATAATATCGCTCTCTCGGTAATGAGTAAGGCTGCAGCATTGCTTCCATGAAAAAGGAAAAAAATATCAAAGGGTACATTTTAACAAGCCAGAGAAATATATTTAATAATTATCAATAATGAAGGAGGTATTTTAATTTTATTTGGTGACCTGCCTGCTAGGCTTTGACTCACAAACGTTACAGGTTTACAAGTCTTTGGATTTATAGAGTAATTTCACTCCATTTTTCTCTCAGGGAGAAAAGGAGGGCTGCTGTTTAACCTACACGGTAACGTTTAACGAAAAGTTATTGAAAGACAAAGTACTTTGTTCACACACACTTGAGGATCCAGCTTGACTGTTAAGCAAACACTATCGGCTTTATTTGCCAACTTGACTTCGAAGGCTGTTCATCTTCAGGCACTTTGGAAGCTTAATTAATTTACCAGCATTAGCTCTGTCTGATAATAACAGCTTAAGATTATTTGATTTGTAAGTGAAGCAGTCAGGGGGTTTTGAGTATTAATAAGCCTAATTAAACTTCACTTAAATGGCCTGATCTGATGATTTTTTTTGCACAAATTTAAATCGTCCATAGACGTGAAGTTGAAAAGTGAAGTGAGGACACTCTTTGAACATGAGAAGTATTTTCTTAAGTTAGAGCTATGGTCTGATGTGGTTGCGTTTGTCTGTCTGCTTGAGGTTTTGAAGGAAGACACCAGCTGTTTGTGCTGCCCAGAATTTGTCCTGCCTGCAGAGACAGCCTTCAAGCTGTCCTCTTATTTATTAAAAGATTAGTTCGGGCAGCATCAAAACATGTTAAAGGTGGACTTAAAGGTCCAAACTGTATTAAAAAGAATACAAATATAGTCAAATTTGACATGAGAACAGCAACACACAAAGGTGATCAATGAAATAATTGAAACACATTTGGACAGGTGTTTCACTAACTCAGGAAAAAAGAAGAAGCAAGCCTTCTGCTGCTGTGTGTGGGCTCAATGAGGAACATCATGACTACACCTTAACTCCGGTAATTGACGTAAACTTGGAGATAATGAATTCCTTAACAGAGCTGAGGTTGTGGGAGCTTTTACAAACTGAAACATATGGCTTGAACTTCTCCATCTGTGGAGCTAAACAAGACTCTAAACGCACCATTTAATCCCACTCAAAGTTTCGTGTTTCTATAGCTACGATTCAATGAGCCTGTGTCGAGCAAGAGGCTGGCACTCATCTAGAATATGTAATTGACCATATGGTTAGCAAAAATGATGATGATGGACGGTTGTTCCAGAGTCGAGGGGCTCTGATGAAAAAAGCATGACTTAAGGTCCTTAAACACCGGGAATGACACAAATATACAAGGCACGAAATTACGAAAATATTCAGAGGCGAATTTTGACTACACACATCAAGCGCGATGTGATTTTGCGACTTTCCGGGGGCAAAAAAGATGCGTCATGGGTGGAAGCGAGAAGACTGACACAACACCAGACTGACTGTTTTTCAGTTCTGATTAGACACTAGTGTTGAGATGACTGTCTGTCATGACAGCATGTACTGAGTCGGGCCAGTACCAGATAAGTAAATTAAACTATAATCCATAAACGTAAGGTAACAACCGAGCTCTAATGGTGCTGTGACAGCAACACGATTGAGTTTGAGACAGTGAAATTACATATGGTATGTTGTATCTGAACAGGTTAGCTTACGAGCTAAAGTTACTTAGCACAGATGAAAGTTAAAACAAAGACGTTTAGCAAACTGTTAAAGCACACAAACTATCGTCATATGAGAAATCCGACATTATGACTCTCCACAAGTTGTCCTTCAGGTCATTATCTTTGTAATGTTTGTGTCTTTTATCAAAAAGCACTCTGTTCTCCGACACGTTAACAACCAGCCAGTCGGCCATGTTGGATATACCGGTGAATCTGACGTCACAACAACACGCAATCTGATTGGTCAGAAGTGGACACACAGTTTGCGAAACTTTAGAAAAATCGACTGTGATACGAAAAAAAATAAATGCCGCAATATCGCAGGACGGGAAAAAGTCGCTGATGTGAACGCTTGTATTGACAGGATATGGGTTCGAAAAAAAATATTGACGTCCGAAATAATCGCACGAAAAAAACGCTCCCAGTGTGAAAAGACCTTTACTTTGGATTTGAGCTTCCATGTTGGACTGACCAGCAAGGTTTCACCTGAGGATCTCATACTGCAGGACGACTCATATGGTGTCATCATTTTTATGATGTAATTAGGGACAAGACTCAGATGATCTTTAAAAATGATCAGTAAAATCTTAAAATCAATTCTGAAACACACAGGGAGCCAGTGGAGGGAGGCAAGGACAGGAGTGATGTGATGTGACAAGTTGGAGGCGAGAGTGCTCTGACACAAGTGACCTGTGCTCTTTGAGTAACATACTTGACAGAGCAGGAATTGAAATCAGTCAAAAAAAAAAAAAAAGAAATTAAAATACATGCATAGACACAAACACTTCAGTGTGTCACTGAGTTTTTTTTCTTTTGAAGGACAGTTGCATTTACCTTTTCAGAGAGCTTTGAAAGCTCCCTTCAAAGGGAAAGTTGATGACAAATTGACCTTCAGTTGCTAAAAATAAATATCATCATCAATCATGATTTTGTGTAGCTGCAAAACAAGAAAAAAAAGGAAAGAAAAAAGCTGTCAAACCTTAACTACCCTGAAAGGTAACTCTTATACAAAGGTTCGAGGTGTCTTAAAGCTGCACTGTGTAATGAGGACATTTAGTGACATCTAGCAGTGAGATTTTAAAAAATGGAACATCTACTCATTCCGTCACCGCGGTAACAGTGAGAACATTCATTTCATTTCATATATTTTAATTGAACATAAAGTGGGAACTGAGATATCCATTATAAGTTTTTAATTGTTTTAGTAACACAAGCTGATATAAGCAAACTAATGCAAACCAAAACCAACATTTCTTGATGACAACGGAGTATGAAAGGACTGTATAAAAAATAAGTGTTATAAAGTCACTTTCCTAACAAAATAAAGTCAAAGTAAAATAATTTCCCTACAAGAATAAAGTCACAGTAAGGTTATGTCATGAGAATAACATAACCCCACAACCAATCCAATTCAATCCGTTTCATTTACATAGCATGATTGAAGCAAACACAAGATTTCCAAAGCGCTGCACAGCAAGATAAAGATACACTACATAACAATAGTACAATGGATAAGATAAAAAATGAAATGAGATAAAACACAGTAATAAAGTCATAAAGTAAAAGTAAAGTAAAAAAAAGTAAAGTCAACATATCATGACAATAAAGTCTTCATAAAGTTATAGTTTTGGTTTATGGTGAGCAGCCAGACGTCTGTGCCAAAGTGGGGATCAAGTGTTTCTAATGTTTTGGCATCTAAGCACCACATTGCTATGAGGACTCTGAGAGGACTGTGTAAAAAGCTAAGATATGTGTTAGCCCCCTTTAAAACAGCATTATGAGCCTTGTCACCCCAGAATCCCACTCTCACGCCAGAATCTTACCTTCCCCCTCAAGCCCCTTCTTCTGCCCCCTTCCCACTTTCCCCCTTTTGTGGGTTTTCACCAGGTCGCTCTGGTTTCTCCACAAATCTAATAACCAAAAGCAAATGAAAACTGAACTGTAAAAGTAAATCTAAATTTGGCTTTTAAAACTGTCACTTGTGTTGCAAAGATAGAGGGGAAAAAAAAATAATGAGTAACTGGAACATCATCACCTTATAGCTGACTCTTATCATTCTAATGAAACATAAACAGTTTGTTTGACAGCCAAACAAACTGAGATTGTTCAGGCTTAATTTTCAAATAAGCTAATAAAGGTTCTCTCACCCGTCCAGCAGAAAACTGACAATTTCATTGTTCATCTTTAAGCATAAGGATTTTCCATCTTTTAAAGGTAACACTAATGTTAACCCTTAGTTTCTGCTCACCCCCTTCCAGTTTTGTTTCACTTTGTCATGTTTTGATTTTTTGGACTTAAACTCTAATTCAATCCTATTCTCTATGCAATGTACCTTTAAATTGAAACCCAGACCAAACTTCAGATCCATCAATATTTTACAGTTTATTATAATAATTCCATCCTAATCATGTTGAATTATTTATGGTCAGTGAATTTCAGCATGAGAAAATATCATTTTGAAAGACAGCATATATTTAATGGGATCAAGAAGAAGTATATTTCAGTGCTCAGGTTCTCTGTTTTTCTGTCTTGAGCACATACTGAGCAGCAGCTGGGCCCACACAGAGTTATCAATACAGCTCCCTGTCGGTAACGCATATAACACAGCCTGCAGGTGACAAGAAGAACCCCCCCAAGCAGCCAAACAGCAGCAGTGCAGTATCAACAGAAAGCATCAACAGGCTAACAAGACAGTGCAGTGCAAGGCAGAGATTAAATATTAAATATCAGCATGATGGCTGTCTGCCCCCAAAAGATTCACTCAGTTCACCTCAGAAAACTTTAGAAATAACAGAAGTTTGTTTAAAAAAATAAAAAACAGCTCAAATGTGATTCACTTTGGTTGCCAATGTTCCTGCGATGCTTTCCAGAGCAGCAGGGGGAAATGAGGACAGAGAGTGATCCATGCAAACCAACAAAACTACACCAAAGGTACAGAGCAATATGTTGATGTGGCTGAGACTGTACTAAGGCTCCTATAACACAATCATCTGATTTAAATATTTAAAAGTCTGTTTGCATTTATGTACTTATGGCTATCTATCTGAATCCGAACTGCTGGGGCTCCTTTTCTCTTGATATTCTGACACTACAGCCACTTCAGATCCACCGCAGCAGCTCCTGAGCTCCTTTGCCCACCCCACGCTGAGCTCAATAACCAGTGCGAGCACTTCCTCACGCCTCTTCAGCCCTTGACTGTAGTGCTGCACACTAAACACTCTTTGAGCTGAACTGGTGATCAAAGTCAACAGAACAAGAGTATATCACAACTACCATCAGCCATAGTGGTGACTGAAACGTTGGAAGTGTCTCCAAGATATGATAAACATTAAAGCAGTCGTAGCTGGAGTTCGTTAAGGAATTCAAAATTACCTGAAAGCACAGCTGTGACCAACTTTTAACCCTCCTCCTGTGTTAGGGTCTGCACCGACCCGTTTTTGAGACTTTTTGACTCTGTCAGGAACCTCTATTTCAACAAAATTTAAATTTAAAAAAATTAAAAAAAAATTGACTAAATTATTAAATGCTGCTATTAAAATTATGGCACTTTTCGTGTTAGGGTCGCTGTTGACCCGGTTAGATCAATATCTAATAATCAGAGCAAAAACTGAAATCATAAGTGCACTTACAGTCAGATCCCCTTTCGATCATGTGAGATTTAGGAAATTCTCATTTTTGCCATGTCTTTCCCAGCACAAAAAACAACATTGGGCATGTCCAGACATGTGAGATCAATTTAGTATAGATGTCTGTGTGAGGGATATACTGACAAAGATAGGCTCAGAGGACCACTACAAAAAATATTATAACCAATATTTTCATGGATAATGACGCCTAACAAGGTAACCTAGAGATGAGAACCAAATTGGATGATAGAAATTTGTTTTTAGTGTAATTTACAGCTGATTTAAGACACGGGTTAAACCAACCCTTAATATGGTGGGTGTGTAGTAAAAGCTAACACAGGAGGAAGGTTAAGTCAAGAACAAGGCAGCAAGAATGGCACCAATCAATGTTGAAAGGATTAGATGACTTTTATTTTGAAAAGACTCGTGAAGGAATGCTATAGAGTCATGGCCAGCCTCACACTGCTTCTGATTGGGTTGGGTTTAGGGGGTTAGGTTGGGACATAACTCATAGGGAATGATGGTTAGTTAAGGCAGATTATATAACAGGGAATAAATGTTACTGTTTGCGTAAGAAGGAGCGATCTGCCATCTCTGGTCAAGACTGGATTTCAAACTCGTATCCCTGGAGTGTTTCCAACCAACAGGCCACCTGCACCTCAGGGTTTTTCAAGTTCACCAGTTAAGTGAGCAACACATGGTTTGTACAGAGCAAGAAGGGTTAGTTCCAGGTAGCTCCTTTCTGCCCGGAACAAGGCACAGCTGAAGTCAGAGACTTTGTGCTCTCCATCTTCCTCCCTCAGAGGAAAAAACGGCTCCAACTCCCGTATCGCTAGCATTTATTTTGTGCCTTTCACAACAGGTCTTATCCCAAGAGCAGGTCTAGACCATACTTGATTTGCAAAGACTCAGTGTGAAGATGGGATGAGATTGAGCCACTCACATCCCATCTTCAACCACCTGAGTGTAGCACTTTGCAGCATTTAGCAAGTTAAAGTGAACAGCCCAAAACCTTGAGTCGTGTAAGACAATCATTTCCTGCTACTGCATTGGGTTTAAAGTGGGACCAGAGGGAGATACAGACAGAAAAAGATGGACAGAGGTGAGATTGATGCACATAGTTGAAGCAGCTGGAAAGCAAACAGGTCCATCACAGCAAAAAGGAATCTACAATGGAACACAGGGACTCCCAGAAAAGACTGTGGAGTTGGGAAGGGACAGAACCTTGTCTAAATTAGTACGTTGCCTATAAGACCACGAAAAATCATGTTTTCTTTTCTAGACGAGATTTTTGTCTTAAAAATGGAAAATAAAATAACAACCCCTTTTACACATTCACATGTATTTTCAATAATGACCATAATGTACCCGTGATCTGAGCCCCTGCCAGATGAGATGTTTTCTTGGCAACTGGTATGCCTCCTTATTACAAGTTCAAATCAGGTCTACAGCTTGAGTAGAATTTGCAGGCACCATTTGGGCACCGAAATTGCATGTCCTAAGATGCCTCAAGTAGGATACACTGAGAGGAAAAATTCTGGACCTGATTTTTTCTAAAGCCTGGTTACAGCTCAGCCTGAAAGCAACATGCTTTGGCCAAAAAGAAAAGGATTTGATTACTAAAGAGGGATGGGAACAGATGAATGGCTCACAACGGTTACTATTTTTTACCATTATAAAAAGGGTCTCTCATATAATGCAAAACAACCGGATAATGCACAATAATATCCAACTGACTGATTGAAGAATACCCTTTAAAAAGACTACTCTTGGTCCCTGCATAGACACAGGATAAACATATTTCTTCACCGCACTTAAGACCAGTGTCACTGACATGAAATGTGGTTAATGTCTATCAGTAGGTTTATATGCACAGTTAAAGCTTCTTTGTGGCATTTTTCATGTTTATGAAATAGACTAATATTCTAACTGATGCATTTTTATGATATCCAAAAACAAACAAGACCATCACTGACAAAATCAACAGTTTTCATATCATGATTTTTAATGCCTGACACTGGCTCATGCACTTTGTCCACTTGTAATTCAGTGTTTCTCATATTATTCAGATGTACTGTGATTAATAAATAATAAATCACAAAGCCTGTAACTATTTAAATGAGTTTTTTTTTTTTTCATTTCTTGACATCTCTAGTTTTGAGTCAAGGATCTTTTAAACTATTCACTAAATTTCTCTACAGAATTGTTGTGAGCTGAAGTATTTTGTGAGATGTATCATAGCATCTGTATTGTTATACTTGTTGTGTCATGACGCTAAAGAAAATACACCTAATGTCTTGCATCGGCGCTGATTTCTTTAACCTATAACCTGATGTCTTGCTGAACACCCTGAGATGGTGAAGGTACCCACATGCTGTGCAACCACCAAGTTTTTTTTTTTTCTCTCACAGGTGGTCCCCTCTTTTTTTTCTCCACATGCTCAGAAGGCTCATTTTTAGTTTTTCCACCTTTTTCTGACTCATTTTCAACCAGACAATATCTTGCGGCTGCATCACCTGAGTTCTTTTTAGCAAAAATAACTGCAGCACTTTATTTGTGCTATCTGAGTTTAGGGTAATCCTTTTTTGTCATTAGGTTTGGCCCCGACCTTTTTGTTGGTTTTCTTTTATTCAGTTTATTTTTTCTTTTTTCTGAAAAGTTTTTTTTCGTTTGAGTTATTTTGCTCCTTTGCCTGGTAGCTAACAGGGTTGTTTGTGTTTTGTTTGAATATTAAACTATTTCCGCTGAGCACAGCTGAGCATCACTGAGTTAGGAGGCTAGGCACCCAGGGTCAGGGTCTCCTTGGTGTGTCCTCCACTCTCTAGTGTCTAATTTTATTTTCAGTTTAGTTTTGGCTTTATTAAATTTGTTGGGTCACTGAATTTCAAAGATTCCCTTTTTGTACTATCATTCATTATTGGTTGTGGTTTATTTTCCTTTGATTCTTCAATTAAATATTTTTTGGAGACCCATCTTTGCTGAATCCACGTTACCTCATTCACATGATTTGTGTCACCAAACAAGAACACGCGTCCAATAGCATTTTTGCCTTGACTTGGTGTGAACGCACCATTAAAGTCATCTGGGTTATGGAGCTTTCAGTTATCAGGCCCCTCTCCTCTGGAGTTATCTAACAGTCAAGGTTCAGGGAGCAGACACCCTCTCTTCTTTTAAGAGTAGGCTCACAACTGTCCCTCTTGATCAGGGGTGGGCAATTAATTTTTTACATGGGGCCACATGAGAAACCTGAACTGTGTTGGAGATTTAGACACCCCCTCGGGAGATGAATGTTGCCGACTGCTTGCTTCTCTAGTTATACCAACTTTTGTAACGACCGTACGATAGCAATACACAGCGGTCTAAGGAGCCACACACAAACCCCAACCAAACGCCACTCTATAGCCACAAATAACATTCAGAACTGCACCTAACTTCATCAACAGTACATAGAGGGTCCCAGCCATAGTACTAGCCACCAAACATCTTTTTAGTTTCGCCTGATTTCTTAGCAAAGAGACCAAACACAACTCACCCACTCTCCTCCAGCACCTCAGCCATTTTTTAACAAAGTTTCCACCCTATATTTTTTTTACACTCTGTGAATCACTGCCATAAAAAGTAAAAGGAAAGGCTCTTTCTGCAGCTTGGAGGTAATTACTTTGTTTGAGGTGTATCAGCTGTTACAGATAGCACTACAGAAACAGCTGATCCTCCGGCGGATGATCTTGTTTGCTTTTGTAGGTTATCAAGAGGGAATCAATATCCTTTTCGGTGTCTTTCATTCCCAGCTAAGTCCGTCCAGCACAGCTTTAAGTCAGAATCAGAGGGGAGTAAATTGTGTCAAACAGACTAAGCTGGGGATGTCCTTTTCTTCCATTCGCTCTCTGAAAGAGGAGGACAGGATGACATTATCAGGCTGAAGAGGAGGTTGTTTGGAAAGGTTGGCGAGCACATGTTATGCCACAAAGACTATCATCACAATTGTAAGCAGGCTGCTGAGCGGCCTTCAGATTTGGCTGTGGTTGGACTGGTAATTGCTAAAGGTGAAATCTGTCTAATAAAAACAGTCACAGTGTTTATTTACCCTGTTCTATGAAGATAGCAACAGCACCATGTCTTAATGACTGTGTGTACTGGTTAATATGCATGTATTGGAGGTTAAGGCACCAACACTGACTGTGAAGCCTGATATTGATTCCTTCGACACTATCTGGAGGCCAATAGCTCATTTGTAAGTGATATAAACTGCAGCTTGTTCTTGTGTTCATCAGGTCTGTAATGCAGTTTGGAGGCTCATTTTCTTCCATAGACTTCACTGATTTCAGTGACAGAGCTGATTAAAACAGGCTGGCTGACGGCTCTGATTTACAGGCTACCAACCAAGAAGTGACACTGAAAAACAGCGTGCGCACACACACGTTCAAAAACCACTTCATCTTTGCTGAAGAGGATGAAAACAGTTTGTGATTGTGTCTTCTTTTGGTCTTTTTAAATCCTGCTTTATTTTTAGTGCCGTGTTACTATTTCTGTAAATCCTCTGGTCTTTTTTGGCTGTCTATTTTTATCCCGCACCACCAACTGAGAGTGACTAAAAATAACCTCTCTGAGGTGTAGTGCGTCAAAGAAACCAATTGCAAATGTCACATCTGTGTGTTAGAACAGATTTCTGTGTTCTTTTCTTACATGAGCCAAACAATCAGGTTTGGATGAGTGGATTGACTTTTGAGTAAATTCCAAGGAAACCACAATTACTTCATAATGAGATAGGCGTTACTGATGCAGTCTTGCAAAATGACAGCTTTTGCAGCTGAATTTGATTTATTAAAGTCCCACTCCAATCATTTTTTTACTATACCATTTAAAGTGTTCTCAGTGGTCTTTCAATTGTGATTATCAAGTTTTTAGCGAAAATCACGTTACCCGGGTTCATTTTCAAGGACTTTTTTTCTGCAGAGCTTATTAGCAATTCGCCTCTGAGTCGTGGGCAGAGACAGCGCTGCTCTGCACACCTCTCTTCATTCTAGATTGCAGCCTAACATTGCCAGTGTAGTAGAAGTAGCAGGTAACATAGTAGCTATTCAGTTAGGGAGCTATTTATTTATTTTTATTTTATTTTATTTTTTTCTTTTTCATTTTATGACTCTTCCTTTTTTTTTATCTCTCTCTTTGGTTCCCTCCCTTATTCCTACTCTATTTCCCCTCTTTTTTCCCTTTTATCTTTTCCTTTTTTTGTAATAACATGTATTTATGAGTGTTAAGAAAAATTCTGGCTGAAGTAAACAAGTAAAGGAAACTTGTAATATGCTATGTATGAAATGAACATGTATGTTATGAATGAGCCTGCATGAATGAGACTTTAAATTTCACCTCAACCTGGATAAGGGCTAGAACCTTCAACCTCAGGAGTCCCAGTCAGTCTCCTATCCTCTGAGACATAATGTTGACGTGTTCAGGAACACTTTTCACCCCTTTTTATCTAAACACTGGCCTAGAATAATTCATCGAGTGTGGATAAGGATCGAACCCACAACCTCAGGAGCCCCAGGTAGATGATGACACCCCTGAACCACAAAGACCACATGGTCCACATGTTTTAAAGTTTTGTTTTTTTTAGGGAGCGATTCAACTCTCAGACAATTATGTCTTTAGGGACACAATGAAAGCTAATATCATAATTAGCTTTCTTACTTCACCTCACTTCACTTCAACTTTACTATGTCCCAAAATGGTCAAATCGGGTTGCAGCAGGCACAGGCATTCAAAACACTGCCATACATCATAAAAGTAAATAAATTAAATAAAATACATTTACTTACTTAAAAAAACATTTTAGTAGGTAAAAAGCATTACAGACGATTAAGAAGGTAAAAAAAAAAAAAAAAGCATTGCGAGCATTGCAATCTGCTAACACACATGCCTGTTCCGCGATCGTCCTCTGCTTTTCCGAGTGTGGCCTTCATAGCAGGGTTCTGGGGGCGGAGCTTGGATTTGTGATGTGGGAAATCTCACTGAACCTAAACCTGCCATTTGTGTTTGTGAGAGATTCACAGCGATTTGATTGCAGAAATACTCAGAAATGCATTTTTGCACTTACTTTTCTCATGATGTGTCCTGTAGCATTAAAAAATGCCATATAAACATGAAGACAATAAGAAAAGCATGATTTTTTATCGGAGTGGGTCTTTAACACTTTATAAGGCAGACTCAAACTCAGGAGTATCATTCACACACAGGAAACCTAAACTAACATCCCAATCCTTCTGGAGCTGGGCTTGTATAGACAGTAAACAACCTTTAACAGTAATATATATATATATATATATATATATATATATATATATATATATATATATATGTATTTAGGATGTAGGTGTGTGCAAGAGCCTTGGCTTTCTTTTTTAAGACCTTTGTGGGATCTTTACACCCTCTCCATTCTCTCTCCGAGTGCCTAAAACTTTATATACTGTATGTCTCAGGATCTCTTATCTTTGTGTGTTTTGGGGTGTGTCACACTCGAGGCTCAGAGCAAGCAGTGGAAATGAAAGGTCAATAACAAAATGAGGAAATCGATGCAGTGAATCATTAAGCGAGCTGCTGCTGCTTCTGCTGCCTGCAACTACACACACTGCAGTGCTGCGGTGTGACGCCCTGCCTATGGGCCTGCAGCAGTACTTCTTCTTTTAAAGGAACTGCAGTGGACCCAAAGGGTGAGATACCATATGCAGTCTCATATATAATCTGTGCAGGATGTGTGTTTTGCAGGGCCTGGATAGATTTCCCAGGAGATAGAGAGTGGGAAAGTGTGCTGCAGCAGGTTTCCTCCTGAGCGTGGTGTGAATTAAAATATGAAATAAAGAAACACACATCTGCATGTATGTGTATGTGTCTTTGAGAGAAACACACTCTAATGTGATGTTGCTTTCCCTTCCTTTAGCGCCCTTTGGTAAAACTAACCATTCCCAGCTCCTTTCTGGGGTGATGGCTGCAGATAACACCCATAAATCTTTTACAAATGGTCTGATTACAGCTCTGACACGCTGAATCACAGCCGCCTTTCCTCTGTGCGTTTGGTAATGATGATATTTCAGCCGCATTGCATTGCAACTCTAATCACTCCTTTGGGGAAGGGGACTTTGGTAAGTTGCCTGTGAAGCGGTGAGTGCTACAGTATTTTGCTCTTTTGTCTTTTTGTGCGAAGGCTAATAATAGCCTGACGGGCACAGATGAACAGTGATGTATGGATGTTGGCCGGATGCTGCTGATGATGCTGCAAACACTCTGAAAGTGCAGCATCTGGCAGCAGCCTCAGAAAGTGAGGCTTCGTCTTGCAACAGTTATGAAAAATAAATAAGATTTTTTAGTAGATGTTAGCACAGCGTATGCATTAGTTATTACTTTAAACGAATAGATTATTCAATAATGGAGCCCTGTGCTGTCGGAATGAATCTTCCACTGAGAAACAAATATATTACGGTGACCCTGACCCAGCTATATTTTGAGTTTGTGTTGATTATATTGAGTTTATTCTATACGGTACATGTGTTTTCTCTTGTTTTTCTCCCATGGTTTCAGGCTGCAGCAAAGGATTTCCCTACAGGGTGAAAATCAATGAGAAAACTCTTGCTTGAGTCGTGCCATCCATCACTGTGAACGTCTGCTTTTAACTCCTTTACTTACTGTCGCACCGGGAATCCAGTTTGAGTGCAAACTCATTAAAAAATCTGCTCTCCATTACCTCACAACAATAATGTAACTCTGACAAAAGTTATCAGAGTGAATGCTTAATGTAACATATTCTCCATCTTTAGGAGAATATGTTACAGACTTCAGCATATTTAAACAGCATTAAAACCTCAGTGAGGAGTTTGTAGTGAGTTATAAAACAGACTGAAATGAGGAGAAAGAAAACAAGACAATAATCAGCAGATGCAAACCAGACCAGTGACAATATACTTGAAAAGATACTTTCCTTACTCATGAAATATTCAGCGACTGAAACATTTAATTTCAAAAGAAAGTTTCTTTTTAAGTCAAAGAAAAACTAATCTGCTTTAATCGATCGGTGTTCTGCTGCTTCTCGCTGTTATCATCTGTTTTGGTTATTTTCTGTATTTGAATTAGCTCTCTCTCCCTCTAAACTCTTCCCCCTACTGGTCTTGATGTTGTCTTGTGTTCACCAAGTGCCCTCTATTTCTGTGGTGATCTCACCAATCGAGATCTTTCTCACTTCAGCTCTGTAAGCAACAACTTTCTTAGCTCCACATCTTGGCTATATGGCCTCTCCACCAGTGTCAATTTGTCACATCTGACCTGAGGGTTACAGAACCAGGGGGACTATGACTGTCCAGTGGGGTTTTTACAACTATTAATGCTTTTGCAGGCTGTGCTTAACTACTGTACAAGTAGCTAACCCCGGGATAAAAACGGATTATACTAAAAAGAGCTTAGACTGAGTCTTACACACCGGTCCAACCTGTATTGCAGATTTTAATGTAATCAACACTTTCATAAACTATCAAATGGTAATTAAAATTATAAGCGAAGTACAATGAGAAGATAAAAATGTTTGCAAAATGAGTGCTTATTGTTTTTGTACTGCAACACAAAGTATTTGGCTGAACTAGCCAAAAATAAATACATTTCAAAATGAAATGTGACAAATCTTCATATCCTGCTAATGATCTTGGTCCAGCTAGAAGACCTCATTCATATCAGCTGTGGTGTTGTTGTTGTTCCATCTTCTTTCCTAACACCTGTATAAGTCACTTTGGGCCTTTGTTATACTCTGACACACACCTGAAGCATTATCTGACTGAATTTGCATAGGTGCAACATGAGTGGGACTTAATATTTGGGATATGTGTTGTCTTTAATGTTTATATTGCTTTTTATTGTTTTTATTACTTCATTTTAATTTTCTATGTATTGTGAAGCACTTTGGAATGAAAGGGTTGTTGTAAAGGGTTGTATAAATAAAGAACATTTACATTTACATTTATATTTACATGGAGCTCAGGGCTAAATAATGTCATTTGTGTTCAAACAAAACTGTGATTTTATAAGACAGATGTAGCTGTGCTTTGAGTCTGGCAGCATTGAGTGATGTTTATATCATATCGAGAAAAAAAAAATCATATTAGTTTGTAGAAAGCATCTTTGTTTCCTTCATTTTTTTTTTATTGGATACAATATGGGGTAAAAAAGCTAAAATGTCTGAAATAGTTAACAGATGTTCAACTTTTTGTCCTTGCACTTGCATATTGGTTTATCTTTTTTTATCATAATTTTTAAATATACTCACCAGAAGTGATGAATTAAATAAGGCACATGCGATAAACACATCCGACTGAAAGACACCAGTTAACAGGTTCATGTAAATCAAACCCCGATGTCATGATCCCTGATTTAATTAACCCAAACCTGCAACAAAATGACTTAAAGGGGACTAGTGAGGAGGTCAAATGCCTCATCGAGTGATAGGCCTGAACGATATATCGTTTGACTATCGTCATCGCGATGTACGTGTGTGCGATAGTCACATCGCAGAGCCTGCGATATTGGAGGTGAATGAACTCATTTAATTTCAAGGGTAACCGACTGAGATACACTCCATGTGACTCTGCATGTGCTTTGCAGCGATCCACCAATCACCTTCGTCCTTAACTCAGTTGCCAATCAGACTCACTTCTCAGTTGCCAATCAGACTACCCTGCCAGCTGTCAATCAAAATCAGGGAGGAGAAAACCCACCCCTGCACATGTTCTGCACATGGAGGGAGACGTGTGTCCGCTGAGAATTACTTTCGGAACTTTACTCATGACTATTAAGCCCAACAAATAAGAACTGTATGGGTTTTAAATTGTACATTTCCGTGGACCACTCTACTATGAGCAGTGCGCGTTTTGCGAGGTGCGTGCAATTCTCGGAGGACATGCGTTTCTCGGCACAACACCGCTAACAACAACAACAACGATCGCAAAATGAACAACGAACAAGCGAAAACCACCGAAAATGAAGATTTGTTGCCAAAAAGAAAAGGAAAGTCAGTTATCTGGAATTATTTCGGTTAAAAGAAGGATGATGTCGACCAAAACACGTCTTCTGTGTTCATCTGTTGCCACATTAACGTCCCAGCACAATAAAAGCTAAAAATATCTCTGAGACAGACAGAAGCCGTTCTACTAACATTCACAAAAAGAGGTAAGATCAGTGCTGGTTAACGGTCCTCAAGATTTCAGCAGTGCAGTATAATGTTAAGTGCTTTTCAGGTCATCTGGTGAAAATACTGTATTTTTAATATCGCAATATATATCGCAGGGTTGAAAAAATCGCAATATTATTTTTTTCCAATATCGTGCAGCCTTATCGAGTGACAAATTACTAACTGGTAAAAATAAACAGGGTTGCGAAATTATGGGTCATTGCATGAATGGAGGGGCTTTCACTGCTAGGATTGGCTGTGTTGGGAAGAAATGAACAGCAGAATGTAAGGGGTCAGGTTATCATTAAAACAAAAACACAAAAAAGAGTCCAACAGCAGAAGAATCATCAGTCCCTTCACTTCAGGTTGTTCACACACAGAAAGTGTGCTTGCCGGATCACGTTTGTCCACAAATCTTCGGGGTGGTCTCCAGACAGAATCCCTCTTATTTTCCGCCAAACACACTGATCAAACCTGAAATTGAGTCAGAAATTTTCAGTCAGAGTGGAACAAAGACAGAGAGAGAACAAAAGAAGAGAGCGCAGGCATGAACATGGATTTATTTGTAATTACAAACTAGAAGCTAAGGCCCAGCTTTGTTTGGCCTGTGCTGAATTCAAATCTAAATTTTAGATGAGAATTTAGATCAATTTAGATGCTGTGGAGTATTAACTCTCCTGCACAGCTCTGTGGAAGAGTTTGGGGGTAATATAGAGAGGTGGTGATGAGTTTATTCGAGGCAATGACAGGTAAAGTTTGATTACATTTACCATTCTTGTTGTTTATTGCTGAATCACATTGTTTCCTTATTAAAAGGTGTTTTTTTTTTCTTCTTGTTTCAGAGGGGCTAGAACTGTTGCTGCTTTGAAGCTGGACAGTTTTATGACCCTCTGGATGCAACACAGTCTGGCACTCATTCAAGTCTCTCACAGTGACATTGTAAAATGTATATATATGAAATGTTTCTACTAGTTGATTAAAAACTAACACAACACAGTGGCAACAGATGAGCCTTATTTCCAGAACTTAAATCTTTATGAACCTAAAAGAAGATACTTGTTCACATTTGCATTTTAAGTAAGAGACAAAATGTTACACTGATTTGCAAAGAAAACAGCATATGGTGAATTAAATCACAGCCCATAGCAAAAATATTGAACATCACTCCTATATATGCAAGGATGAATAGTCACTCATAGTTTGGGATTATGGGGTATATATCCTAAGGTACTTTTAGACCAAAAGAACAGAGAACTTTTGGTTCCAGGGACTTTGTTTCAAGGAACGAAATGATTCCTGTGCCCCTCTGACGTGTGTGTTCTCACCGAGACCTCAAGTTCAGGGTAGAAAATGTTAATCAGGTCTCTTTCTTACAAAATAATGTGGGAATCACTTTGGTGTCATAATAATCACTTGATTATTAAATAACATGAGGTTACTGGAAATACCTGCTATACTGTTTCTCTTTGGTACCTCTTTAACTTCCTTTCAGGTCAGCTGCTCTCTGTTGGCTCTATTTTCGTGCCTCCCCTGCGCCATGGGGCGTGCCCAAGCACACTGGTATTTTGGTGAGCGGCACAGCCTGGCGTAAGTATCCCCCCTCCCCAACTCAGCTCCTTCCAGCGGCGTAAGTAGCATAGACTGTATACAGAACGGACGCTGTCTGCCTCCTTGCGAGGTGAAGCCACTCCGAGAACAGCACCCTCTGTTGATGGGCTGCAATATAGGTCATAAATCCCGCCTCCGCCAGCAAAGCTTATGGGGCTGTGGACAAACTTTAGAAATTTATTTCACAGAACATAAATTTTTCTCCCCCCTGCTTGTGATGTTGACATGTAGTTATTGTAAGACTGGTTTGTGCTCAAGTCCTCTTTTTTTCTGTAAAGCTCCATTTTTAAAAGTTATAAGGGGGTTCGTATTTGCTATGATTGACACCTGATACAGCCTATCGGCATTCAGGGATTGAGTCGCTCTCCTGGGGGATACGCTGTTTGAGCCGAGCGTCATCACAGTGACTCTCTGCGACTGCGCGGCCGAACGCGCACAATCGGAGCCACCTGTGCGTAAAGGACGCATCGTATGGGGTGCCGTTTGTAAAGCAGCCCGTTATAAAAACAACAGCAAGATTTGGTCATATTTAGCAAAACAACAGCAAGATTTAGTCACATTTAGCTTAAAACAGCATTTAAAAAAGTGATGTGAATTTTCGGCAGTCATTTTTTTGCGCATTTACAACAACATTTAAATACTAAAACTAAATGTTAAATGTTAAATCTAAATGCTAAATATAAATCTTAAATATGTATGTTAAATCTAAATGTTAAATCTAAATCTAAATGTCAAATCTAAATCTAAATGTTAAATCTAAATCTAAATGTTAAATCTAAATGTTAAATCTAAATGTGTTGGGCGAAACTAAATATTTAGCTAATATGCAAATTCACGGTCGGAAACCGGAAGTGCCAAAATAAAAGCTCCAGAAGGTCATATTGATGATTCTTGTGTCGAAGAAAACGAATTAAAACCAATTTAAGGGGGGAACAAATACTTGGGGTGACGTTTCGTGTTAATAACTACCTACAATAGCGACAGCAACAACAAAAACTTTATTAGAAAAACTCGAGTTTTCAGTGTGTCGCTTCTCCGTATGGCGCGGACACTGTACGAACCATAGACTGTATATAAGATACATATATAGTCTATACATACATACATATATACAGTCTATGGTTTCGAACACCGGCTTCCTGCGTCCCAATCGTCCGCGTTACCCGTATGGCCAATGCACTTCATGAATAGATAAGGTGCCATGGAGTACTATGACGTGTGCGCCTGCATGTGTGTGTGCGTGTGTTCGTACAGTGTCCGCGCCATACGGAGAAGCGACACTGAAAACTCGAGTCTTTCTAATAAAGTTTTTGTTGTTGCTGTCGCTATTGTAGGTAGTTATTAACACGAAACGTCACCCCAAGTATTTGTTCCCCTCTTAAATTGGTTTTAATTCGTTTTCTTCGACACAAGAATCATGAATATGACCTTCTGGAGCTTTTATTTTGGCACTTCCGGTTTCCGACCGTGAATTTGCATATTAGCTAAATATTTAGTTTCGCCCAACACATTTAGATTTAACATTTAGATTTAACATTTAGATTTAGATTTAACATTTAGATTTAGATTCAACATTTAGATTTAGATTTAACATTTTGATTTAACATATATATTTAAGATTTATATTTAGCATTTAGATTTAACATTTAACATTTAGTTTTAGTATTTAAATGTTGTTGTAAATGTGCAAAAAAATGACTGCCGGAAATTCACATCACTTTTTTAAATGCTGTTTGAAGCTAAATGTGACTAAATCTTGCTGTTGTTTTGCTAAATATGACCAAATCTTGCTGTTGTTTTTATAACGGGCTGCTTTACAAACGGCACCCCATAGCATCGTGCTCCGTGGTCTGGCTGTTTCTGAATATTGTAATATTCGTATGTATGCCGGATTGAATATTCACAGAATTTTAAGGATGTGAGAGCATTAGATAAACAGGTCGTTTTGAATGAGAGTTTCCTTTATTAAATATTAACTTCATCGTGTGTGGCTATTTATGTACTGGATATTAAATGTGGTTTTAGCTAAGTTAATTCGGCGAAATGGAGGGTCAAACACGTACCAAACGCGCTCATCGGATAAGATATAGATCAGAACATATCGATATAGATGTAAATATATGTGCTGTCTCAGATAGCTGAACTGAATGGTGGTTGTTGTTGACTATTTAATGCACTAAAATGTGCCTGACACCGTGGAAACCTGCCGGTGAAGCGTCGGTAATGTATGGGCACTGCTCCGCCGGGGTGCGCCTGAAAATAGAGCCTTCTGTGAGAGCAAAATAAAACTTTTTAATGAACTTAAGGCTTCATTTTTGACCTCTGCGTTAACCTCCCCTGTGAGCGTCGATGCCGACGTGTCCTGACCGAACACCTTTACGTTCCACGGTTGCCATGGTTTGTCTAAAATGTGCATCATTTTTAAAAACAACCATTTGATGCAAGTCAAAACCCTGATCGGCCACGCATTTCAAAGCGCTCTTGGATATTCCCACAAAAGCAAGATTTCCAGCGACAAAAACCTTCCTTTACAGGCGACTTTCTTTCTCCAGGACCCCGACGACAGACTAAAGACAGGACTTCTTCAAAAAAGTAAGAATTGAACAGTTTTGATAAAATTGTGTCCAACATTTAGCTAAACTGAACTGACCGTGACCGATGCTATCATGAACAGAACATGACCAATGTTAGCTTTAACCTTGAGATTTTGTCATTTTATGAATAAAATAATAACCAAAGTCTACAGAAGTAAACCCAAAGCTGCTGCAGGCACATGTTTTTACCAAATGAAATGATTTCTTGAATGATTTGTGGTACAGTTTTTGACATATGTATCCTGCAGCCATTTTAGTTTCTCAAATAAACATATATTTGATAGAAAAAAACAAACAAAAAACACATAACTTGCCAAATACAGTGTGTTTAGTACAACAAAGTGCAATTTTATACTAATTGAATGCTATTTTTGGTATATTTTTAGTAAAATTTGTATTTTCTCAGTACAAAATGAACAGTTTTTCAGTTGCTACCTAAACATTCAGAGGTTGTTTTATTTTTTAATCCAATCAAACCCACTGACCAGTCCTACATTTCCCAGCAGCCACAGCTGAACTATTTTCAAGTGAGAATTTCTTTCAAAACAAAGTCCATTAAAGTACTTTTATTTGACAGGACCAACACAAGACCAGAGACCAGACACCAGGTACCAGGTCCAGGACAGGACTTCCTCAGGGAAGAAAAGTGAGAATTTTGGACTTTTTTAAAGCCCCATTGAGTGAAGAAAAGTATAAATGATGTGAACCATTGAGCAAATAAAAGCAAATTGTTAACAGTTGCCAAAATGTTAAACTGTAATTCTTAAATTATGAAAATAATTTCAATAAAATCCCCTTGAAATGTTGGATGATCAGTCAAGTATGGTCAGGAAGATGTACTTCAAACAAGCTTACATGATAGGCTACATATTTTTCACTTTGTAATTAAGGTCAAAGGCAACCTGATGCGTGCACGCTCACTAACATTTTTTTATTGATTATTTAATTTGACATATTATTGATCTTGAAAATATAAGAGTATAACGACATCATTAGAGAGTGACTGTTAGCTGTTTCAAAGGCAGAAACTCACACCCTAAAGAAGTTTAAGAAGTTTGTTTTTGCCTGCAGATGGAGCAGCGCTTCACCTGGACTGCAGCTCACCACGAGGTTCCCGGTCAGCCCGAAAGCCTTCGGCTCATCCTCCGGAGGGTCCCGGTTCCAGCCTCCAGCAGCTCCACACCTGTCAGTCCCCCTGGCAGTCCCGTAAGGTCAGACACACAGTTTACATCTAATACAACTGATGTGGCTGCAAAGGAGCAACGCCACAAGACCTTTGCGGCTCTCAGTGAGATGGTGAAAGCCCGTCCTCCTAAGAGGGCATCCACTGAGGCTCCTGAAGCAGGCCCATCAAAGTCCTCTGGTATTTCTTTTAAACTGTGGTCTGAAGATCTTACAGGGTGTTCCACAGAAGACGGTGTGGAGTCCAGGCCTGGTGTGCAGGTGTGGTACCCTGAACCAGCTGCGACCCCCGGACCATCTGCTCCACAGAGGTGCCCAAGGAGAGTAGCTCGGGTCTCCAGGGCTGCCCCAGGACGGGGCCTTCTGAAGGCAGCTCTGGCCCCCAGTGCTGCTCCAGGACCTGGTTCTCTGAAAGCAGCTCTGCCCCCCAGTGCTGCTTCAGGTCCGGGCTCCTCCCGTGCAGCTCTGGGTGCCACTGCTGCTCGAGGACAGGGCCCTCCAGAGGCAGCTCAGGCGCCCAGTGCTCCTCCAAGACTGGGTCCTCTCCAGCCGGCTGAGCCTCGCCCACTGTGGGATATCCCTGAACCAGAGTGGGCGAGAGAGGTAAGACTGTACAGGGAGGCGAGAGAGGAGTGGTTTAAGAGCTGGTGGAGGAGGAAACCAGCTCCTAAACCAAAAGGTAAGTATAGAGGTAAGTAGTTTCACTCTTTTAGTGTAGGTAGTCCAAATTTAAATGATTATTATTATTATTAATATTATTCTTCTATAATAATTTCCATTATAACATTCCATTATATGCTTGTCTGACAATTGTAATATTTTTCATCATTATTATTCATATATATAATACACACCACACCACACACACACACACACACACACACACACACACACACACACACACACACAACCACAAATTCTGTTGTTTGTTGTTTGTTGTCTGTTTTGCATAAAAAAATTTTTAAAAAAACTGTGTCTGTGAAGGGGGAGATTAGTTTTTAGTTTAGTTAGTTTGATGGGGGAGACAACATAAAAGTGGACTCAGTAAAACTAAAGCAGGTAAGAGGTCAAAGGTGACGAGGAGTTATAACGAAGGAGAACAGAGGTAAGGAGGTGAGTGGTATTCATTTTATTTAAAAGGTAAGTGTTTAATATTTAATAACATACTGCAGAATATTTAGCCTATGTTTGAGTTTTTTGTGAAGATTTTAACTGTGTTTATTTTTCAGGGAAGGACAAAGCAAAAAGCAGAGAAGGGGAGAGGAGAAGGGGAGGTGTGGAGGAGGTGAAGGAGAGGAGGTGGGAGGGCCAAAGATTTCAACTGTCATTTTAAAAGGTACTTATTGATACTGGTTTACTTCATCATGATTTGGTTGATGCAAACCGCTATTGTTTGCATCACATATTTTTTTTCTGGTACTTATACTTTCCTTGATTTAACTTTACAGACAGAGACAGAAAATAAAGGAGAGGAGAGGAGAGGACGGGAAAGCAAAGCAGAGGAGAGGAGGAGGTGAAGGAGAGGAGGTGGGAGGGCAGAAGGTTTTAAACTTTCACAGGAACAGGTACATAACAATAGTGGTTTACCATTGTTCCACTTGTTTTAAAATGTCTTTTGTTTTTCTCTCTTTTTGCATTTTTTACTTTAACTTTCCTTTCGTCTGCTTTTCTTATAGAAAAAGAGGAGAGAAAAGACCTAGAGGAGAAAGGAGGAGAGGAGAGGAGGTGGGAGGGCCAAAGTTTTTCAACTCTCAAAGAAAAAAAGGTTCATATCAATGTCACTCTTTCTTATTTCCACTGAATCACATTAATGCTGGTTCATATTTACCTGAACTTTCTGTTTTTCCAAATTTTCCTGCAGAGAGAGAGAAAAGGAAGACCATGTGAAGGAGAGAGGAGAGGAAAGGATGGTAAAGGAGAGGAGAGGAGGTGGGAGGGCCAATTATTTCAACTGTCACTGTAAAAGGTACTTATTAATACTTGTTTACTTTATCATTGTTCAGCTGATGCAAACCTTTATCATTTCCATCACATGTAGTTTTTTTCTGGTACTTACACTTTCATTTAATTTTACCAACAGAGACAGAAAAGAGAGGAAAAAAAAGGAGAGGAGAGGAGAGGAGAGGTGGTGGGAGGGCCAAAGTTTTTTAACTCTCACAAAAAAAAGGTTCATATCAGTGTTACACTTTCTTATTTCCACTGAATCACATACATGGTGGTTTGTCTTTGTATTTCATATTTACCTGAACTTTATGATTTTCTAATTTTCCTGCAGAGAGAAAATGAAAACCAAGGGAAGGAGAGAGGAGAGGAAAGGATGGAGAGGGAAAGGAGAGGAGAGGAGGTGGGAGGGCCAATTATTTCAACTGTCACTGTAAAAGGTACTTGAATACTTGTTTACTTTATCATGGTTTGGTTGATGCAAACCTCTATCATTCCCATCACATGTAGTTTTTTTTCTGGTACTTATACTTTCTTTAATTTAATTTTACTGACAGAGACAGAAAAAAGAAGAGAGGAGAGGAGAGGTGGTGGGATGGCCAATTTTTTTTAACTCTCACAGAAAAAAGGTTCATATCAATGTTACTATTTCTTATTTCTCAACTGAATCACAGACAAGGTGGTTTGTCTTTTATATTTACCTGAACTTTCTTTTATTTCCTATTTTTTCTGCAAAGAGAGAAAAGGAAGACCAAGGGAAGGAGAGGGGAGAGGAAAGGATGGGAAAGGATCGGAGAGGAGGCGGGAGGGCCAAAGTTTTTTTACTCTCACAGAAAAAAGGTTCATATCAATGTCAATCTGTCTTATTTCCACTGAATCACATTGATGCAGGTTTATCTATGTTTTTCATATTTACCTGAACTTTCTGATTTTCTAATTTTCCTGCAGAGAGAAAATGAAAACCAAGGGAAGGAGAGAGGAGAGGAAAGGATGGAGAGGGAAAGGATAGGAGAGGAGGTGGGAGGGCCAAAGGTTCCAACTGTCAATGTTTAAGGTACTTGAATACTTGTTTACTTTATCATGGTTTGGTTGATGCAAACCTCTATCATTCCCATCAAATGTAGTTTTTTTCTGGTACTTATACTTTCTTTAATTTTATTTTACTGACAGAGACAGAAAAGAGAGGAGAGGAGAGGACGGGAAAGCAAAGCAGAAGAGAGGAGGAGGTGAAGGAGAGGAGGTGGGAGGGCAGAAGGTTTTAAACTTTCACAGGAACAGGTACATAACAATAGTGGTTTACCATTGTTCCACTTGTTTTAAAATGTCTTTTGTTTTTCTCTCTTTTTGTATTTTTTACATTAGCTTTCCTTTCGTCTGCTTTTCTTATAGAAAAAGAGGAGAGAAAAGACCTAGAGGAGAAAGGAGGAGAGGAGAGGAGAGGAGGTGGGAGGGCCAAAGTTTTTTAACTCTCACAGAAAAAAAGGTTCATATCAATGTCACTCTTTCTTATTTCCACTGAATCACATTAATGCTGGTTCATCTATGTTTTTCATATTTACCTGAACTTTCTGATTTTCTTAATTTTCCTGCAGAGAGAGAGAAAAGGAAGACCATGTAAAGGAGAGAGGAGAGGAAAGGATGGGAAAGGATCGGAGAGGAGGTGGGAGGGCCAATTATTTCAACTGTCACTGTAAAAGGTACTTATTAATACTTGTTTACTTAATCATTGTTCAGTTGATGCAAACCTTTATCATTTCCATCACATGTAGTTTCTTCTGGTACTTATACTTTCTTTCATTTAATTTTACTAACAGAGACAAAAAAAAAGAGGAAAGAAGAAGAGAAAGGAGGAGAGGAGAGGAGGTGGGAGGGCCCAAGTTTTTTAACTCTCACAGAAAAAAGGTTCATATCAATGTTACACTTTCTTATTTCTACCGAATCACATACAAGGTGGTTCATCTTTGTTTTTTATATTTACTTGAACTTTAGGTTTTTCTAATGTTCCTGCAGAGAGAAAATGAAAACCAAGGGAAGGAGAGAGGAGAGGAAAGGATGGGAAGGGAAAGGATAGGAGAGGAGGTGGTTAGGGCCAAAGGTTCCAACTGTCAATGTTTAAGGTACTTGAATACTTGTTTACTTTGGTTTGGTTGATGCAAACCTCTATCATTCCCATCAAATGTAGTTTTTTCTGGTACTTATACTTTCTTTGATTTAATTTTACTAACAGAGACAGAAAAGAGAGGAGAGGAGAGGAGAGGTGGTGGGACAACCAAAGATTTTTAAAACTCACAGAAAAAAAGTTTATATACATGTTAACTCTTTCTTATTTCCACTGAATCACATTAAAAGTTTTCACATTAAAGTTCTTCTTCTTTTAATAGTGGGTCATCTTTGTATGTTTTGTTTACCTGAACTATGGACATTACAAAGTTACATTGGACGAACCAGATGCATTGCTTGAGTGTGTATAGCACTAGTGCTAGTTTTCAACACCTGTCCACAGGAGGCTTTTCTAGTAAAAAAGTGTATCTAAAATCCAAAGTACAAAAACATTACAAGAAAATTACAAAAATACACTATTATTAATTAACGATATTAAACCCTTTAACAATACATAATAAAATAGAAACAGGAGTAAATATAGTCATCTCAAGATACCAGTCCAGAGTAATTATGCATGTGAGCATGATTGATTTGACTTCAGCCATGATTTGAGACCTCTGTTAAACACATTACCATCCAGTTCTAGTTTTAGCTCTGTAGGCAGGTAGTTCCAGAGGTTAGCCCCCTTCACTGAGAAGGCAGACTGCCCGAGTGAGTTCTTACATTTGAGGACAATACAGTCGCCATTTGTTATGGCTCGTGTAGCTCTACCAGTACTGAGGCGCCTACTGACCAGTTGTGAGAACACAGGTGAAACATGATTATTTAAACATTTAAAAACCAGGTTGATATTACTATAGGTCACAAAGTTTTCAAAGGTGAAAAGATTGTGTTTCCTTATAATACCACAATGGTGCCATCTCATCGGTTTCTGGTCCATGATTTTGATAGCTTGTTTATAAATAGATGTTATTGGTTTTAAGAGCGTTTGAGAGGCTTGTGACCATGTTGTGATACTATATGACAAATGAGAAAAAATCATAGCATGTATATACAGTTGTGCGGTTCTACATGATAAGACCCTTCTGATATGACGGAAACAGTTTAAGTTTGGTTTTACCTTCTTACAGATGTGCTTGACCTGCCTATCAAATTTCAAGTTTTTATCCAGGATGATTCCTAGGTATTTTACTTCACTCACTTCATCAATAATTTCGTTTTTGATCTGTACTTCAAAGGGATCTGTGACAGGCCTGTTACGTATAGAGATGCACATTGAAACGGTCTTCTTAACATTTAAGGTTAGCTGTGACATTTCAAGCCAATTGGAGATGTGCTTCAGAACTCTTGTCAGGTGCGCAGCTGCCAAAGCAGCTGTTTTGGCAGCCACGTAGATGGCAGTATCATCTGCATACATCTGGCAGTTAGCATCTGGACAGATTTTTGGAAGATATGTGCATATGTGAATAACATAGGTCCAAGGACTGAGTGTCCATTATGCGTGCCAAACGCACTCATCAGAAAAGATAAGACACCTACCGGTGAGGTATCTACGCTACGGTCTACTAAGATAGCACTAGACCAGCTGCGCTCCACCTGCGCCGAAAGCTGACCAGGTTTGAACTGGTGAGCTTTCAGCGCACTTTCTACGCCGCCGGTGAGCATGAAAGAGTCACTGCGCCAGCTGATTCTGTTGACATCTCCCCCTACAGGCAGGCGGAACTCAGTGCGCCTCAGTCTACGAAAATACCAAACTGACTGTGCGCTGGGCTCTGCCATACGAAAATACCACTGCGTGAGGTGTGCCATCCTTCGCCCTGTGTGTTCATTGTATATCAGCTTAGGCATATAATGTAAACAAGATTGTTTCCTGATAAGACTAACCCCTGAAATTACTGTAACACTCAAAAGCATCAGAGATGGGACAAATGTACAGAAACAGAGTAAAGAAATCATATACACAGTTTTTGTGATCCAGTGTAAATGAAATTGTCCATCTGTTTTTACCACAGTCAGAGCAAACTGACACAAGCTGAACTAATACAAATCCACAAACCTCTACACAGTTGGATAATTGAGGAAAATTTGAGTATTAAGAAGATAACAGTGATGATGGCCCGGCCAAAAGGGCATGAACCAAAGCAGAACTGGATGATGACTCAGATCTGAATTAATTCACATTGGTGTGTGAGCTCCTTTCTGAATTTATCAACACAGTTATTGCAAAGTCCTATTTTTCTTTTTTGAAGACACTGTCCTCTCTGATCTGTGTCTGTCTCTGTTGTGTGATGAAAAATGAAGTCAACAAGTTTCATTGCTCTCTAGTAAAGATTATTTGCCCTGCACATCAAAACTACTGCATATACTGTATATATCTTTATGGAAAATTGGATTAACTGCAGAATTCAGGATTTAGGACTTACAGTTGATTCATTGATACTGGCAGCACAATGTTAATGCTGTTTCTTTGCACTTATAGCACTGCTTCAAAGTGTTACGGCCTCAGCATTGTGTGACTGTAAGAGGATGCTGATCCAATGGTCACCAGCTGCTGATTGGTAAAGGGTCCGAGTCAGCCTGACCAATCAGGAAGGAGAGGCAGATTCAAGAGGCTGCTGATTGGAGCACCTCTGGGACAGACACACTTTGCTAGATTCTTTGTCAATAAATCTGTGTTGGCATTCGTGTGCCATGGTGATTTAATTGCACATCTTTTTGGGGGAATTGTAAGGGATAGGGAGCTTCTCAGCCCTTGTTTTGTTTTAACTTCTGTTTTGAGCTAATTTCAGAGAGTGTCATTTTTCCACTCTAGTTTAGAGTCACTTTTTGTTGTTGTAGCAGGTAGGATTCAGAGGCTGCATGCCGTGCAGCACTTCCAAAACTACATCAGCTCCTCCCCCTTTTCCTTACCCTCCTATTTAAGACACCTGTGGCAGGAGAGCTCCCTATTCTTTTGTCTGCCTGCTTTCTGCCACATGGTCTGACAGAGGTAATGAGGCCTTGTTCATGGTATTTGACCATTTATTTTAAGTCCTTTTTATCAGAGGCTAAATTGTGTGTGTTCTTTGAGATTGTTTGATTGCAGTTTGCACTTTTACCTGACTGCTTGCAGTTTGCACTTTACCTTGATTTGCAGAAGGAAACTTTGATAGATGTACCTAAACATGTATGAGCAGCTGCATTTTATTCACAGACAGCATCCAAGAAATAGCAGGATTTTGATATTTCTTAACCGTGCAATAATTTCTGTCTCTGGTTTCCAGGCTCAATCAGCTGCTGTTTTTGTTTTTTTGTTTGTTTAGATCCTGTGTTTTTTTTTTTGTTTGTTTTTTTTTTCTTATAGTTTTATTGTAATTTTTTAAGTTATTTTTATTTCTATTTTTATTTTTATTTTTTTTGTCTGTTTGATCCTGTTTTTTTTTTTTTGTTTGTTTTTTTTTTTCTTTTTGTCTGAACTTTTTTTTTGTCTTTTAGAGGTTTCGAGTTTAATCATTTCTTTTGTATAACTTTTTCTTTCTCATCCCCTACAGTGCAGTAGTGGCTGGCTAGCAGAGATTAGGCACGTTGGATGGTTCCCCACACCTTTTTGTTGCTGTGGTAGGCGCACTGGAGCACCATAGTCTACACCAGTTTGAATTGAGTTCACGTGTGGTGGGCTAGCTCCAACTCCCTGTCCCCTTCCCTTCTTGTTAGTTTTAACTATCTGGAAGTGTTTTATTGATTAATTGTTAAAAGAATCACTTGTAATAAACTTTAGCAATCAACTTATTCAATAACGGACTTAAACCTTTATTACCTAATCACCATTAACTCCCTTTTGTGTCTTTCAGCAGACATTTCCAGGTCAAAGCATTTTTATATTTTAATATTATAAATAAATTTTTTGATTTGCTCTGAACCACGTCTCTGTCTCACAGACTTTCAAACCTATGTTTGCATTTTTCTTAATGAATGGTTGAAACTGGGTAAAATCCTTGGGTCAAAGTCCCTCGGTGGTGTTGTTGGATGACCTTAGCATAAGTATGGGATAAATATATGGGATATACTTTAATAGCCCTAGTGATGATTCTCTTCAATCCTTTCATCAGTAACTTGCTGTGTCTGCTTCAAACCTTCAGTTGCTGTTAAAAAAGACTAACTTTTCTCAAGGAGACATTACGGGACTGAATAGACAAGCTCAGGGTCTCCAAAAGCCAGGGGCCATTTTCTAGCATAAGGGGTTTCTCTAAGTTTTTTCATTTCCGAAACTGACACAAGTTAAGAGTTAGAGGACTGACTGGGTGATCACCATCTAAAGGAGTTTCTTAATTCAACATCACTGAATTTGGACAGCAGGTTTATGACCACAGTGCACCCATCTCTGGACTCGGTATGTTTCTATTGTTGTTGCTGTCCCCCGTCTCTTTCCTTCCCTATCTTTCTGTGTTTCCACCAACTCGGCTGCAGCAGGTAGCTGTCCAACGCGCGTCAGGTCCTGCTTAAGGTTTCTGCCCCTTTTTAGAAGGAAACAAACACTGTTGTGATTCGGTGCTGAATAAAAATCAATTGATTGATCTTCTGGCGGCTGCTTCCAGCAGGATAATGCACCATGTCTCAAAGCTCAAATCAACTTAAACTGGTTTTCTTGAACATGACAATGAGTTCAATCCACAGTCACCAGATCTCAATCCAATAGAGCCCCTTTGGGAGGAGGTGGAACTGGAGATTAGCATCATGGATGTGCAGCCGACAAATCCGCAGCACCTGTGTGATGCTCTCATGTTATGCCAAGACACATTCTGCACATGTTACAGCAGCCTGGCTTTGATGTAAAAGAGTAAGTACCTGTCTCCCACTGATAATGTGGGGCGTATCATCAACTGCAAAATACAATCACAGAGATCCTGGACTGTTGAAAATCTTCCCACAAAGCTTGGACAGTTTGTGTCCTCAGATATTGAATGTTGTTTACAGCAAAGCTGATGTAAC